TCCTAGATCTAACATCTTGGATTGGTCAAGATTGTAAGCTTGAATGTCTGCTACTAAACTATTTACTTATGTGGACGCATAAAAAAGAGGTATGTACTTTTCTCAAAAATAAAAAAGAAGTTATACGTCCACCAATGGTTCTCTTGTAATCACAACAAAAGTCCACCAATGGTTTTTTTCTAAATTTTTTATCTTTTCTTTTTGGAAAAGTGTCCACCAATGGTAGTGGTATGTTGATCCTAGATTCCTAGGCATACTTAATTTTTTTTAATTTTTTTTTTGGCTCGATTACTTTTTTATATAAAAAATAAGATAATTACAAAATACTTTACAACGGACGCACAATAAAACTACATAATCACTAATTAGGTATCGAACTTATAATAAATACATATAATTTTTTCTATTCAAGTGAATGAAACTTGAAACCTACCCGAACCAAATGAAGAGGAATATCACTAAATAAAAACTAGTTAGTTAGTGTATACATACTTAATTCGAATTCTAAATAAACAATTTCATCACCAGACAAAAAGTAAAAATCACCTCCATTGGAAGTTAGTAAGTTAGGAAGTAGCACTAGAACATTATAAATAGTGTGATGTGCTGCTCATGTGCATTTGTGAACACACAAACGATTTGATTCTGGACCAACTAATCACCGCCAATCACGTGTTATGTTTTCAAACCCTCATCAACCGACTGGGCCCACTCCAACAGATCACCATCCCTAAGTGGGGCCCATTAGAACCAACCATGAACCTCTCATTCTCAATGCACCAACCAACACTTTGATGAGTAACAACAAAAAAACTGCCTTTGTAGTCAACTTTTTATCAATATTTTTCTACCTTGATCTGAATCTGATAGTGTTTTTTTTTAATCAATAATTTCCTAGTATATTCAAGATTGACTTTAATGGCTGGTTAACTTTTTCCCGCTAAGTTTTGGAAAATGAATAATTTTAACTCATTTAAAAAAACAAAATGAAAATATAGTCCAGCATACTCAATTATAATTTACTGTCTATAAGACTACTCTTTTAATAATTTAATCAATATTAATATTATTTATTCCGTTTGCTTAAATTTACATCGAGAGTGAGTATCGAGATAAACTGACCAATAAGTCATTTTGTGGATAGCCTGATCCACAACCCTCAACTTATTTGAGCCACAATTTTCGACAACTTGCACCTTTGTGAAATATTGTGCAATGCACCATAAGGTGCCCATTACCATAGCCAGTTAGATACCACACAAACTTGACCCTTGGATAATATCTCTCCTCCTCAAGCATACTTTAGATACAAATATGCAGTCCAAGTCTTCATCAACCCATGCAGCAAAACTTTATTGGAGAAGATTTATAAAATTTGTACAAAGTCATATAAGAATCTTGAGCAACTCCTTCGGAACTCATCTTCTCCCCCACTTGGAGAATAGGGCACCCTTGACCTCCCTCGCATCCTTCTTATTGTGCTAGTAAGTTTTTTCCTCAACGTCAATGTACTCTTATGGAGACTCATTTGTTATACTTTCTTGGATGGGGATGGTATTTTTTTAAAAAAGAGTAACACAACATGAATTTATCATTTTTCATGCACTAACATTTTAAAGAGTGACACAGCAATCATGATAGTGGCTTTTTTTATCAATATTTTTCTACCCAATTGTGTTTTATAAAGAAAATAATTTAATGAGTTATTTTTCTTTGGGCACTAATAAAATAAGAATGGTATTTAGGGTTAGTCGTGGAAAGATAATTCAAGAATAATTGGTGTGCTGATAGGACTGAAATGAATTATTGTCCAGTTTGACTTCTGCTTCTCTTTAATTAGTTTGCATGATCTTTATCTGCTCCATCAGTTTGGAATGGGGACCTCCCAATATTATCCAGGATGTTATTTTCAGTGATCTTATGTTTGGTTGGCTTGAATGAAGATCGCTTCTTATCAAAAAATAAGAATGCTATTTACCTATATTCGAGGTTAAGTAAATACCCAAAATACCCTTAATTATATTTTACGGTCCTACTCATACACACAGTTATCATGAGAGCTTGAATCCAGGATCACTTGATAGCACACCAAAGACCTGAGTCAATCTAACTAACACCCCATTGGTATTATGTTTTTGAATTAAATTGCATAATGATGTTTCAATTTTGCATAAATTTTGGGATTTGTTGGATTAGTTTTTTCCTTTTTTATAAAATTGGGTATTTTTTTTTCCCTTCTCTTATCAAAACTTGGTGTGACATATGTTTGGGATATACTCGTTGGTATTGGAGGAATTTATCGCAAATTTGACAATGTGATCATTAATTGTTTTAAATTCCACATTGATGTGTCAATTTTTGTTGTTTTATTTATATTAAATTCTCAAATTTCATAATTGTTGTGCCTTGAAAGTTCAGAAGGCAAGAACACGTTTCTAGACATGCCACCTTTTTTTTTTGTTAACTTCTAAAGAAAATGAAACAAAAAAAAAAAAAAAAAAAAAAAAAAAAAAAATCTTTCTATCTATTCTCAAAAAAAAAAAATTTGAACCTAGTTTTTTTGACTAGCATGATAATGTCATTGTAAAATATAAGATTTTTCTAATTTTATATAGGGTGCCGTTATTTTCACCAAATGTTCTCTTTTCCTATTCATGTTATTTTTCCACCCACAATGTAAATTTTACAAAAAATACAATCCTATCTTTTTACTCACCATTATTCCTAAAGTACCCTTCAATTATTAATTCAAGCACATTTTCTTTGCTAATCATTAGTAGTTGAGATATGAAGAGGATCAAGTTGTATTTGACGGACTGGATAAATGTTTTAGTCTAATATTTTGATTTTTTGAATCTTTTAGTTTTTTAATTTAATATGAAGAGTCTACGCCTTTTTTTTCTTTTTTCGTCAAACGGTAGAATAGGTGAGTTACGTGACCCATCAAATATATAACAATCTTCACCAACTAGCTTGGTCTATTGGTATTGGTCTCCACCTAATTGGTCTACGTTGGATAACAATTGACCCATCAAATCCAAAATCTATGCCATTTTGACAAGCCACTTTGAAATTCAAACATCTAGTCAATACTTAGAGACAAATTGGTATTGAATTCCACCCACAAAAAGCAAATAACTACAACGTAACTTAAATTTAATAGGAATATTTTGGGGAGAGAAAAATACAAAATTTGACTCATCAAGTAAATTAAGGAAATTTGCTTGGTTAGAGTCCAGTCAAACGATTTAAGTCACGAAAAATAGACCTATTCTAACATGACATTTTATACAAAAATCAGAGAGCCTAATTTAAGACGAAAACAAAATACTACAATTTGCAAGGAAGACATTTCGTATTTTTGTTGAAGAGGAAATCCTTATAAAACAACGCGTGAAGCTGATAAGATTCCTTGTAGTACCCTTTTTTACCAGTTGGCTTTTACTTTGCAGCTGAGTCGGGTTATTCCAGTCGGGTCAGACACAAACCCGAACTCGTATCCAATCATTAACCCTCTTTCTTTGGAAGGGAGCGAATATAAGTGTCGTCTCTTGGGTTCGCTGCTCAAAACTGGAAAGAGCTAATCTTTCGTAAAACACTCTCACTCTCTGCATACAAAGAACGAAACACAAACGAAAGTTTCTGTCTTTTTCTCTCCACCAGTTTTATTTCAATTTAATGCTTTGAGCTCTCTGCTCTTATATATCTAGCTGCCATTGCTCCTCAAACCCATCAACGCATAAGTTTTCTTTTGTTTCGGCATAAGAACTCAATGTACTGAACTGGGTTTCTTCCACATTCTTCTTCCTCTCTTTCGTTCAGGTACATACATGATACATAGTGGTGTTTTTGGGTTCTTCATAATAATGGGTTATTGTTTCTGTTGTAAAGGTCAGCTTTTTAATTATTTTAGATCCACTTTTTCTTGTTTGTATGATTAACAACCATCTACATTCTGTGTGTGTACATATATATATATTATTGCATTCATTGTATTTCATCAGTTCATGCTTTTCTTTTCTCTTCTCCTTTTCTTTTTTGACTGTATTTAAGCGTGTTTGGTAATGTTTCTTGTCAACTTATACCTTTACAAGATAATGTTGTTGATTATTGTGCTTTTCAGATAAATTGGTTAACGGGGTTTTTTTTTTTGGTTGAACTTGTATTTTTCATTGAACGATGGGTGTGTTGTGTAGTTTGAAAGATGGGGTTGTTTTTGGTCAGACTGGATTGACATGTCTCAGGAAAAAGATTGAACCAAATTGGTTCTTATTCTAAAAATGTATCAATGATTACTTATTTTAGGCCATAGATTCTGGGATGATGAGGAATCACTTTTACCTTCTAGATTTGGAAATGTTTGAATGTCTTACATAGCTGTTATGTTCCAATCTATTTGGTTATTGTGTGATTACTTTTGAATGGTCTGCTGCACTGCTCTGTTTTTGTTTCCTTTTTAACTTTACCTTTTGTGTGTGTATGTTGTATATATCTATGAACAAACAAAAGTAAGTAATCTTAATCTAAAAGGAGCCGATTTTATAAGATTAACCAACTTTATGCTAGCGGAACCTTGATACCATGCAAAGGAGCAAAAGTTGGAAAAGCTCTTTGTTGCTCATCCTTGAGCATTAAGCGATGCCAAGGCTGATATGTAGACTGGGTTGCAGGATGGTTTCTAGTTTAATGTGGTGGAATTTTTTGTTTTGATGATAAGCCTTCAAATTAGATTGCCTTGCTTTTGTTGATTCTTCTTTCTCTTTATAAATAAGTTCTGCTGAATTATTTATGCGTGTGTATATATATGTTACATATATGATAGATCTATTATCCATAGATTCTTGACAGAAATCTTTTAGATTTTAAAGTTTCAAGCCACAAGCAATATTCAATCTTCAAGAGATTACTTCAAAATGAAATGCTCTGTTTCCTTTGTCTTCTTTGTTTTTTTCGTCCTTTAGAATTGTTGGTATATTAATTTTTATGTTTGACAGGGGCAGATGGCTGATGCAAAATTAGGCCAATGGTTATTTCTTCTAGCATGTGCAGTCACACTGCTGAAAGCAGCAGGAGTTCCTGTGGAAATAACTTATGTTCATAGCGCGATCGCCAAAGGAGCCGGTGAGAAACTTAATGCAAATATGCTGATTACAGTCCTTTTCTTTTAAGTGTTCAATTTGAAAATAAGATAATTTCTTTTGCTATCCACTTTAGCTCTTGGAATTTGACATACTTTGCAGTTTGTTTGGATGGGAGTCCCCCAGCTTACCACCATGATAAGGGATTTGGCTCAGGAATTAACAATTGGTTGGTTCACATTGAGGTTTGTCCTTTTCTCTCTGCTCCCATTACAATTTCTTTCACCAGATGAAAGAGAGAAGAAAAGAAGACATAGTAATAACAATTTTCAGTCAGTTCTGGTGATCCAGAAGGATTTACTGGTAGATTTAACAAGTTCTAATATAAATTTTAATGAAAATCCGAATATTTGATAGTTATATATTTCTGTTGTCATGTTAATCCTTCTTTTTGTTTGGTTCTTAGGGAGGAGGATGGTGTAACAATGTCACAACTTGCCTTGGCCGTAAAAACACTCGTTTAGGTTCATCTAAGCAAATGCTGAAGGCAATTGCCTTTTCTGGGATTCTGAGCAACAGGAAAATGTTTAATCCAGGTTTGATATCTATTTTTTTTTCTTACAACTTACTAGAAAGAATTTATTCAATTAAAGGCTTAGTAGTTGATCAGCATAGCTTTAATTTTCTTTTGTCTGTTGAGCTTCCCTTTCTTTTTAGCAGTAAAACAAAAATTATGTTTCCAATGCCAGACTTCTACAATTGGAACAGAATCAAAGTTAGGTACTGCGATGGGGCATCATTCACTGGTGATGTTGCAGCAGTAAACCCAGTAAGTTACTTATTCAAGTAGCAGTCCAAGTTTTACATACACCATAAATTGTGTATATATATACACTGCCGTTCATTTTCTTTTTCTGATGGAGGTATTTTCAATAAAATAACAATTTGAGCAGGCTACTGGTCTTTACTTCAGAGGAGCAAGGATCTTTCGTGCCGTCATTGAAGATCTATTAGCAAAAGGAATGGGGAACGCTCAAAATGTATGATCCCTTAACAATCAACAATTTCACTTCTGTTGTCTTTAGTTCTGATGAGTTGTTAGGACATTTGACTACAGGCTATTCTCTCTGGTTGTTCTGCCGGTGGATTGACTTCTATTCTTCATTGTGACAACTTCCATGCTCTCTTGCCCGTCGGAACGAATGTCAAATGTGTTTCAGATGCTGGTTACTTTATTAACGTGTAAGCTCACATTTAGTACCTTCCAGCTTTGTCCTATATTCCAAACTACAATGAGAGTTTGCTTATACATACACCTTATACTGAATAACAGAAAGGATGTTTCTGGAGCCCAACACATCGAAGAGTTCTTTAGTCAAGTGGTTGAAACACATGTACTCTCTCTCCTCTCTCTCTCTCTCTATAATGTGGTGCAAACATCAATACTCATTTGTGATTGTCATCTTTTGTAGGGTTCAGCCAGGAATTTGCCTCCATCCTGCACTTCAAAATTGAGACCAGGTTTGGTAAGTATTGCTATCCTGTTATGCTTTTCACTTTTGACTATATCCTTGTGACTTGTAAATTCTGATGATATTCAACAACACTTTAGTGCTTCTTCCCGCAATATATGGCATCCCAAATCCGGGACGCGGATATTCTTTGTAAACGCAGCCTACGATTCATGGCAGGTTAGCTTAACTCCCTGACTCTCTCCTCTGTTATGAACTCTGTTAAGTTGTTTCCTCAAATTTATGTTCTGTTTAGCAGGATAGTATTTTCATGATCCATCTTCCTTATTTAAGTTTTATGGATGAATTAACAACTAGACCAATTTTGTTCTCTCAATGACCATTTTTGTTTTGAAGAAAAAAGAGTGCAAAATTTCAACTGGGATTTCTCTTATTCTTCATCTTAATCTTCATCTTCATCTCACACTGTCTCCATCCATCCATGCAGATCAAGAACATTTTGGCACCGGGAGTTGCCGATCCTCATGGCACTTGGCACGAGTGCAAGCTCGATATAAAGAATTGCTCACCCACTCAACTCAAAGCCATGCAAGGTAAATCTCGAAATTAGAAGATTTCAACTTAAAAAATAGGCTAAATTGTAGCAATGGTCCCTCGATTATGACCTAACTTTACTTTTCATCCCTCATGTTGCAAAATTGTTATGATTGTCATTCAATTAGATCTCGCGTTACACCATTAGTCATTTTCGTCAATTCTGTTTGTTTTTCCTTCAAAATTGATCACATGTCAGGCACATGCTAGATATTTTAGGGGTAACTAAGAATTTACCTAGCCACCACCTCCTTCTACCTAAGCCTAACCGCACGCCATCCTCTTCCCCCCAAAGCTGCCCATCCATCTACCTCACCAATCCAACAACCCAAACCATCCCAGATGGCTCCAAGCCTCCAGCACCTTCTGGTGATAAATTCCAAGTCTCCTCTGGTATGTCAATCACTTTCCCTCCAAACCATGATGGATTTTATCTGGACATAGTAAAATGCATCAGCGTAATTTTCTTTGCCTCCAACCAAAGAGGTGTAGCTCAACTTTGGGTGGTTCAAGAGCTTCTCATCTTCTCCAAAAGTCAACTTGCTGCTAAAATCAACTTCCCCAATCATTAAACCCTCCTTCCCCACATGCTCAAATGGAGAGGTTGGGTTGATTTTTTAATGAGTTTATCTGATAAATATTTTATATGAGATTTCCCAATATGCCTTTAATTTTAACAGAAAATTTAACTCCGTTGACGAAAAGACCAATAATGCAACATGAGGTGGAATTGAAGGATGGCCATAACAATTTTGCGACATGAGAGACGAAAAGTAAAGTTGGGTCTTATTTAAAGGACCATTGCTACAATTTAGCCTAAAAAATAAGAACCTTCATGACCCTTTAGAAAGAAACATGAACAACAACTCCAAGGAAATTTTCTCCTTTTTTCAGATTTCAGGGTGCAGTTTTTAAGTGTAATTGGTGGCATGACCGGCTGTCCATTAAAAGGAATGTTCATAGACTCTTGCTATGCTCACTGTCAAACTGAAACGCAGGAGACGTGGTTAATGGCTGACTCTCCGGTGCTCAACAAGACGGTAAAAACCAAACTCTGCAATTTCATGCATTGCCTTTTATCTTCATCCACTTCTTAAATTTTTTCCTGCCTCTTTTTTTTCCCTTCATGTTTCTATCAGTTCTTTTCTCTTTCTATTTTTGACTTGAAATAAAATCTACTTTTAACTGTGTAAAATACCTGTTCTGCAGACAATTGCACAGGCAGTTGGCGACTGGTTCTATGGCAGAACTCCGTTCCAAAGATAGATTGCCCTTACCCTTGCAACCCCTCTTGCCATAACCGTGTTTTTTATCCAAATCAGCACCTACTAGAACAATAGATTAATATTCATTTGCGTGACAAAAATATGTCATTTTCATTAGCTAGGTTAATAGGTTAAATTATAAAAAGGAAAACAAGTTCATAATGAAAATAATGGCAGCACACCATGGCACAAAAACCTGTGTGCTGGGTGTCTTCCCTCATTGTTTATGTAATCGATCATCAAAATCTCAATTGTATTCGCATTCTTCCATCTTGTTGTTTTTAGAGATATTCAGTTATATACCCATTCTTAGTATTAATGATATAGATAAATCCTACCCCATTTAATTTCTATAAACAAACCCAAAAAATGATAGCTGATCCTATTTAATTTAATTTTGATTATTAAATTACTTTGGATTTTTTTATTTTTTATTTTTTATAAATGAGGTTTGGGGATTGAGCTTGTTTTAATAAATCAATGGCAGGTTGTAATTTATAAGAAATTAAAAGCTTCTTAGTTATGTTGTAAATGGGCTTTATGTGTGTTTCTAAAATCCATTTAATTATAATTTTTTTAATAATAATTTGGGCCCCTATGTTGAGTATAATAGTGAATCTCCTTTTTTATTTATTAATATTTTTTTATATTTATATATATATACTTGTTGTACCTGTAATTTTGCGATAGCCGTAGTATCACAATCATATAAGTAGAACGAAGAGATTAAGTGGTTCACCCATGAATTCAGGCTACATCCACTGGTTGATGTATTTGTATATATGTATAGAGATACATTGGGATAGGCTTGAGAACCTTTACAGATGGGAGAGGGGAGAAATCTGGAGGAAAGGAGAGAGAGTTGCCGAGAGCACGCTTCTCTTGGTTCAGTGTCTTTCTTTTTTGGTATCCCCTTAGCAAAAAGAGAGAGTCCCTTTCATAGGAGAAAAACAACCGACTTCTATCCTTGGGCCTACCGACGTAGCAGCCCATTAGAGGCCCACCTAAGTGAGTTCAAACCATGCGTTAACAACACTAAAAAAGCAACCCTTTACTTGGAGAATGACATTATTAACAAGGACATGACACACAACTTTGCATGGCAACCCACATTAGATGTTGCATATTGTTCCTCTCCTTCCCAACATGCATGTCCGGGAATGGTTATCCTTAAAACCAATCAGTTGCAAGTTTGAGGATCGCTTTATCATCAAGTGAGCATAATGTGTAGTCACTAAAACTTCTAAATTTGTGGTAGGTAATTGTAAAAAATGATTTAGCTTTAGAATACCGTCAGCTCGACTTTTAGTCTTGAATGTGAAGCCTAAATCCAAAAATTTGAGATTTTGGTCTGTACTATTTCTAATCTTACCACAAAAGAGAGGGGGAAAACAGAAGAAGAAGAAAATGTGTTTAGATTTTGAATGTTAGACGAGGCACAAAATTTTTTTCCCAATTCTTAGTAAAGCAAAATATGGTTAAAAATGGACCGACACATAAAAAAAAACATTATTAAATTAAAATTTTGATATTTATTTCAGTCGAAAGTTGTTATAAGTATCTGACTCATCATAAATATATCGTTTTCATATTCGTGTCCAACTTAAACCTTCTTCAGGTAATAAATACCACTAACCAACGAGCTCAGTAATTTTGCTATATCTTATGCAAAATTTGATATATAGGATATGGCGTTAAGATCAGTCGTTGTAATCTTTTGAATTAAAATAAAATAAAATTGCAACATTATCTTGCGTGCATGAAGTTTCTAGGCATATGCTTTCTTGTACTATGCACTGACACTCGTATTCATAACACGCGTTCACCGACAAGATTTGTCCTAGTCATTGGTTCTTTGCTTTGCAGCTGTGGCCAATAATGTCGCGCTTTAGCTTTATCTTCCTCCGAATCGCTACAATAAATGTTACTCTCAAAGCTCTCTGTAAAGCTAAGCTCTTCGTTCGCGATCACTCACTTTCCAAACTCGTGTGTATTAAATAGCTTCCCTCACGCTCACCTCACTCATCCCATTTTCCTTTTATTTTCCTTCCTGCTATTGCTTTCTCTACCGTTACTCATACCATTAAGAAAGAAACCCAAGTTCACAACTGGGTTTCTCTCTCTTGCGTTCTCTCACTCTTTCAGATTTTTGTCTCTCAGCTTCTCTCATTCCAGGTACAGAGTAATAATGCTTTTGGTTTTCATGGTAATCGATAGAAGCTGTTCTGTTTTACCTTTTTTTTTCTTCTTTATTTGGTTTCCAGGGTCGAGCTTATTATCAAACATTAGTTCAGTTTCTGTTCATTGTGTAATGAAACTTGGTGTTTGAGATTGGATTGGAATATCTCATATGAGCTGAATGCAGTTTGGGTTTTGCATAAAAAACCCATCAAGCTGTTTAGACTTAATGGCTAAACAGATATCAATAGTCGCTTTGGCTAGAAAAAGGATTCTGAACTGAAGAACAATAGTTCGCAATTTCAGATCTTTTCTTTTTGTTTGATAGAATTTTCAATCTAAGATTTGGAATTGATGATCTAGTAATGTGCCAGTCTTTTGCTCTGCTTTCTTTTCCTTGTGTCTGTATGTGTATATAGTTGCCAAATGGATTTTTTTTCTTCTCTTTCTGCGTACGTATTGATTTTTCAAATTTGGGTTTTCCATCGAATGACAGCACGGATGGTGTTGGTTCAAAATGGAACTGGATTCTGATTGATTAGCTAACTTTATGCTCTTATTAGTTAACTTTATGCTCTTATTAGTACAGAGTAAAGGTTAAAAAATCCCTGTGTTGCTCTTCCTTTCACATTAAGCAATGTGAAGGGAGAGAAAATTTGTTTGGTGGATTACTTTTTGGCTGGATGTATTGGGGTGCTAGCTATGACAGGAAACTGCTAAGTAAACTAGATTGCCTTGAATTTTAGAAGAAAAAAAATGATGATACTTGTTTGGTCCTTAAACAATTATATGAATTTGGAGTTATACTTTATATGGATTATTGAGTAAAGAGAAAACTTTTTAGTTTTGAGTATTGCATTCTATTAGGAACTTATGGTACTGTTATGTAGGGAAAACTAAGTCTACCATTAAGCTATGAAACGAATGTTCTGTATACTCTTTTTATTTTATTTTATATTTATTGCTAAAATTTGTGTGCAGAATGGCCCATGCAAGATTAGGCCAATGGTTAAGTCTTCTAGTATGTTTACTGATATTGCTGAAAGCAGAAGCCATCCTGTGGGAATCACTCTTGTTGAGAATGCAGTTGCCAAAGGAGCCGGTAAGAAATATTTGGGGAATTGAGTACTTCTCTAAAAAGTTTCCTTGTTCCATTTCACTTTCCTTTTAGTTTTCATTGTTCCGATAACTGTATTTTATTGTTGTTTTTACTTTTCACTCTGTGTTCTAAAATTTGACATGTTATACAGTTTGTTTGGATGGGAGCGCACCAGCGTACCACTTTGACAAGGGATTTGGTGCAGGAATCAACAATTGGTTGGTTCATGTTGAGGTTTGTCATTTTCCTGCCATGTTAAAATGGATTTAAAAGATAGAAAGGATAGCTTTCACCAAAATAAAAAAGATAGAAAGGATAGGGTGGGAATGTTAATCTTAAACCATTTTGTGTTCTCTCAGCTCCACCTTCTAGTCAATGAGAGGGAGCTTAGAATAGATTATTGGAGAAGAGAAATCTGTATATTACGTCTGAGCTTAAACATTATGGCCTCTGAATGGTATAATATTAGTCAAATATTTTTCTAGAAGGCTGTGAACTTAACCTTTAGTAACTCCCCCTTTTTTGGGGGGCCTATAGAAAAGAATAGGCTACAAAATGTGGGGTAGCCCTTTCCCTCCCATATGCCTCTCCTCACTATACTGTTGTCCGGTCTGGACCTGGGATCTTGAACTAGGGTGTTGGTCATGCAACTAGGGTACCAAGCATTAGCTTAGTAAACTAGTTGTAAAAGACTTTTGCATTAAAGTTTGAGATTTCTTTAATTGATATTTGGTTCTTAGGGAGGAGGATGGTGTAACAGTGTTGAGACTTGCCTTGATCGTAAGAATACTCACTATGGTTCATCAAACAAAATGGAAAATCGATGTCTTTTTCTGGGGTGCTTAGCAACAAGCAAAAGTTTAAATCCAGGTTTGGTTTGCCTTCATATCTCAATCTTTGCTTTTTTGAAACTTGAAACAACTCCTAAGAATGACTCATAGTTGATGAACATACCTATTGTTTTTTAGTTTGAATTCATTTTCTTCTTTTGGTTTTTTTGTGGCTAACTGTAAAAACTGGACCCTTTTTTATTTTTATGCTAGACTTCTATAACTGGAATAGAATCAAGTTAGGTACTGTGATGGGGCGTCATTCACTGGTGATGTTGAAGCAGTAAACCCAGTAAGTTAATAAATTTCAATCAGCGACCCATGTTTTACTTTCATAAGAAATTCTGAACCTGGTGTTTATTCTACTAATTTGATCAGGCAACAAATCTTCACTTCAGAGGAGCAAGAGTTTTTCGTGCCATCATTGATGATCTATTAGCAAAAGGAATGAAAACTGCTCAAAGTGTATGTCCCATTCCAGGAACTGTACTTTTGTCATCTTGTCCTCATTTCTGATTGTTTGTTAGTACTACTTATGATTACAGGCTCTCTCTCTGGTTGTTCGGCTGGTGGATTGACCTCAATTCTTCATTGTGATAACTTTCGTTCTCTCTACCTGTGGGTACTAAAGTAAAATGTCTGGCAGATGCTGGTTACTTCATTAATGCGTAAGATGTATTTTACATCGTCTGTCTTGAAGACTTGACCCTGTATTATCTCTATTCTATTTCAGAATTCTTAACACCTTGTAATGATTCACAGGAAGACTGTTTCTGGATCCCAACACATTCAAGCCTTTTACAGTGAAGTGGTTGCGCTACATGTATTGCATCTCTGTTCTTTAAGATAATAAAGTGGACTCTTACTTCTTTCAGGAGAAGAGGGTTCTTCCATTTGTTAGGCCTCCATTCTGTGCAGGTGATAAGTAGTAGCTTCAGATTCTGATTAATCTATTGTTTGTGCAGGGTTCGGCGAAGAACTTACCCGCATCCTGCACTTCAAAATTGAGTCCAGGCTTGGTAAGTTTTATAGTGTTGTATGATTTGCTCCACTCTTTCCTAATTACTTCTGATATTTCCTTTTTAATTGTTTTTGTTCAGTGCTTCTTCCCACAAAATGTGGTACCAGTGACCCAGACCCCAATATTTTTGGTAAATGCAGCTTATGATTCGTGGCAGGTTAGCTCATTCTTCTAATCCTTGATTTATAGATCAGTACTTTCCAATTTATTGTATCGTGTAGTACTTTTCTTTCTAGTTCTTCTTTTTGTGTTCTAAAAATGATATAGAACTGTGCTGTCATTTCCCTCTTTTTTTTGGTGTGCCTATAAAAAATAAGTGATGCCAACACTTTTTAATTGTATGCAGGTTGAAATACTTCATATCATCTTTATGATCAAAATTTTAAATTCCAGCAACTTGTTAATGGCATTTATGATATATCGTCTATCTGTTACACTAAATATAAAACTGAGTAATAGTTTGGTTCATAATAAGTTTTTCTTTTCATCCAAATTATATATATTCGTAATATGTTTTATTTTATCTAATTTCCTAGAATAAACTCAGATTTTCCAAAATCCAACCCAACTTAGCCTCTCATCATTCATATTCGAGTCTCTTTGCTTTGCTTTCCTTTGTAGGCTCGATAAACAATTTGTGGTTATAAGAATTGATTTTATTATGCTTTCTTTGTTGGTGAGACAAAGAACAATATTAATTCAAGAACCAATTTCATGGAAAATGGGGGCTATGATTATTTCAGTTGTCACATATTCTATCTTATTCTTCTAGAATTGTATGAAAATAAAAGTAGTTGTAGACTTGTAGTAGGTCACCTGGACTTTGCTATGAGACTCCAAAAGCGACAATTACTAGAAATGTATATATTTCCAATACAAATGTTGTGTACTCGTTCTCATCTTTTCTTTTCCCCCACTTGTACACATTAGGAGAATACGTTAGCGTGCACTTTCTCTGATTCCTTGTTGTATCCATTCAGATAAAGAACATTTTGGCACCGGGTATTGCTGATCCTAAAGGCGCCTGGAAAAAGTGCAAGCTTGATATAAAGAACTGCTCACCCAGTCAACTTCAAAACCATGCAAGGTGAATATCAAAACCCTCCATCATACCAGCAAGCAATCCTTCACATATTGAAGCTGATGGAATCGTTTATAGCCCCTGTAAAAATTTAAACCAAGATTTGAATTTGGTTAAATCTTTTCTGTCATAGTAAAATTTGATGGTTGGAGTTTCCTAGGGTCTCATGCACTGCTGCCTGTTCCCTTTAGTCTTTAGATGATATAAGCAATTTGATGAAAGCATGGAACCACAGACAGTTATGTCCACTTATTAGCAAGACATATGAGTTGAAATTGACTGCTATGTTATTGAGTCCTACTTTTTCCAGTGAAGCTTCCTTGTACCTACCAAGGAAAGCTTCTTATGTATTGCATCATTGGCATAAACCGGCCGCTGGAAAATTTACTTGGGTTTTTAATATGGAATTTGTTTCAGAATATCGGTTGCAGTTCTTAGGTGCACTTGGTCAAGCCAGCAGCTCCACATCTCATGGACTGTTCATAGACTCTTGCTATGCCCACTGCCAGATTGGAACACAGGAGACATGGTTGGCAGCCGACTCTCCAGTGTTGAGTAAGACGGTAAGAGTCGTGTAGTCTTCACTTAATCTCCTCTCTTGTATGATTATTAGAAAATTAACAAAAACTGAGAATAGCTTTCTGTTGTCAATTTTTGTAGTTCTTTGTTTCATTGAATTCTTCTGTTTGAACGAAAATTATTGAGGTGGTTTTAAATTTTATCTACAACGTAAATGTATTCTGCAGACAATTGGGAAGGCAGTTGGAGACTGGTACCACGACCGAACTCCGTTCCAGAAGATAGATTGTGCTTACCCTTGCAATCCTACATGCAAAAACCGCGTGTTTGAGTCGGATAAGCAACAAGATTAATTTATCTATGTCAAAGTGTATAATTTTATCTATGTCGAAGTGTATAATTTTTATCAATGTCAAAGTGTATAATTCTAATGACATATGGACATGTATGTATGTCCGAGGCCTACTTATTGTTCTAAATAATGGAGTGATGCTTTTTCCACCCACCTGTATATTTCACACACGTCTTATCTTCAAATTTTTAAAGATAAATTTACCCATTTGTGACTTGGAGAAAAGGATTAAAAACCAAAACAATTGCCTCAACCTTAAAATTAAAAAAATTTAATTAAAAAAAATCCAAAGCACAAATATTAACGTCAAATTTCTCGCTTCTCAAGTACATGCGCCTTCTGTATTTTTTTTCTTTTCTATTTTTGGTCAGAGCCTTCAGCTTCTTATAGGAAAACTGAGAACAGCTAGCAGCTCGTAACTATGGGCGATTCTTCAAATTTCCTATCTCATATTATTGCACATTCTCTACCATCCGCTATTCCCAAATCTGATTGGTTTTCAACATAAGTTGTGTTCATAACTCGTGAAAATGAAAGAATCATATCCTAGCATTAATTCATCTCATTGGCATTTGATTAAAGAATAAAAGTTTCTTCAATTGCCCAATTTTTCCTCATTTTCGTACCAGCCCCAGATCCATTGTTGGAGATATATTCTTTTGTATCGTCAAAATTGTTTTAAAAGAAATATAAACCACTTGTAAATAGAGAGAAGTTCAATTATTTGTGAAATTAAAGTGCGAGAAAGAGTGAGATTTGGGAGGTTTATAAACACATAAAGATTCAGACCATTTGTTTTAAAAGTCAGATTCATACTATTGTTCTTAGTTTCATAGCTCTTGGAAGAAAGATTTGAAAAAACTAAGAACAAATAATCCGAATTCATTGTACAGAGGCAATTTATTATTTATTTATATCTAATTGTGATATGCCAACTTTTCAGCCATTAAATTAAATTTAAATGACATCACTAGTTAACAGACCTCTTAACTTAAAAGAGAATTTGCTTGAACTAATAGTTAAAGGGGTTTTAGGAATAATGGTGGGTAGAAAGATTGATTGTGTTTTTTTAAATTTACATAGTGGGTGAGAAAATAGGACAGATGAGTGGAAATAGCAACACATAATATTTTACTCCTTTGAGCTTGATTATTTAATCCGGTAGCTTTTGTAATTACAACTCAGCATGATTGTTAACAATGCATCATCCCTAACAATGCCTGATTTCAATTTTCAGTTTTCAGTTTTATGTGAAATTTAGGAATGGAAGTTTTGGGGGTCCATTGTGAATTTGAGATCATAGAATAAAAGATGTTACAAAGTATTCGTAGTATTTTGCGGTGAATTTTTTGAAATTAAGATGATTTTTTGGTGAATTTTGAAGATGGAGTTTTGGAGGCTTGGATTGAGTCCGTGGCCAAATAGAAGGTCCCAAATACCAAATTTAGATAACTAGAGTGCATGTCATGTGTCGTGATGTAAATTTAATGAATGAAATAGGAGTGCCAAAAAAAAAATGTTTCAAGTTGTTTCCAATCACTTTTTTGTAATATTTTTTTTTTTATTTCAATCAATTTTTTTTTTTTTAAACAGTGAAATGATTATCAAACAACCCCTTAGGAATTTTGGAACAATTCCTAGACCAAAATCACACAAATGGCAAGACAATAAAAGTTGAAGCGAACAAGAATCAGGAAACACAAAAAAGTTTAAGAGGTCGAGATTGTGAATCCTACATCAGTAAATCAGAGCCTTGGCTAATAATCATCTTGGACCTCTCCATTCATTGTCAAATGGTTTCAGCAGAGTAACGGTATAGTTATATACAATATGCATTGTATTATAAGTACTATAAGAAATTTTAAAAGATATATAATACAATATAAGGAATGGGTCAAACAATGATTCTATTTTTAAAAACCTAGTAGGTAACGAAAGGAAATCCCGCAGTCACGACCTTAGCCAAGTTGTTTATAAAATATCCCAATGGAACAAGAATAAGCAAACCAAATCCAAATAGAAATACAAAATGAACAAGGTTTAATATAGAATATTTGGAAATTAGACGTAAAGAAGACAAATCAGAGAGACATAGACAGTAATAAACAAACGCAGCAGATGACTGGCCCATTCTCTACCATTTCATCCCTCAGCTCAAGAGCAGCAGATGCCTTTCCTTCCTTGCAAAGGCCGCTAATTAAAGGTAAAGAGATCTGGTTTTAGTCTTTGGTTGTATGTGGTCATATATGGTTCACATCCTTCCCTTTCCATATCAGCCAAATATTCTAATGCCCCTGCAATCCTCCCATCACCACACAAAGAAACTTAACAATTATAGTGTATGTTATTACACTTGGCTTACACCCCTCACTCTCCATTTCATCTCTAAACAACCAAGAAGATATCTCCACAAGCCTTCTCTACCAAACCCATAAACTAAAGCGGTATAAGAGCACACATTATGTACAATGCCCTTCCTCTTCATATCCAATAATACAATTTTGATCCTTTTTTGTTGTTTTTGTTTAGAAATTGATAAATAATAATTAAAAATCAGAAAAATAAACAAAAAATTGTTACAAACTCCTTTATGACACTATCTTCAATTACAAAGGCCTAAAATCATGATTCCACATCTTCGATTACAGCGTCACGTCTCATTTCTCTGATATTTTTATTATTTATTTTTAAAAATTCATAAAAAATACATTGACTAGTGTTTTGGTTTGTTTTGAAATAAATTGAGTTTTTGTTGTCAATTTGAATTTTCTAGGTCAAAATATGATTTTTGAAATTTTAGGGTGAACAGAATGTCATAAGGAGTCCGTAGGAATTTTCGGTGTATTTTAAAAAAATGTATTTATTATGAATTCAAGAAGTTAAATCGCAGAAAATGTCATATTAAATTAAATTACTTGACCCTTAGTATTTTTGATGTGTGTCCATCTATGATGGCGCCATGTGTAATTTCTATTATTTTTTTAAAAAAATTCATACAACATTAATGACATGTTTAATAATCCATAATTGGATTAGGATGAATTGAATTGAGGATGAGTTGGATTGAAAAGAATTAGATTTCGGATTCCTAATGAAGTTGTTTACTATACCATATGAATTTAAGAGAGTTAGATTCCAGATTCCTATTGAAGTTGTTTACTAAACCATATGGAATTAGAGTAAGAGTGGTACTAATTACTAAAATGTACTCGTTGTTGGGATAAGGTAGATGACATATTTGGAATTTTGAAAATTGTGTGAGGATATAATAGGTAAAAAACATGAATTCCTAATGGGTTAATTCTCCAGGAATTAGAATACCACATCCCACTCAAGAATTGAATTCCTGGAGGAATTCAATTCCTAATTTTGTGTGAGTCCCACTTACTTTTTAATTACTTGTTGTGAAATAAATGCAGGAATCCTCCATAGTGGAATTCAATTCCTGATGAGAATTCCAATTCCTGATTAGTAAACACACCATAATTAAAGAAAGATTTTGACCCTTGCTGTTGTTGATTTTGTTTTCATCACTATGCGGAGAAGGTATATCAATGTTTGAAGCTTCAACTACAACCTAAGAACGGTAAGAACCGAACCAGACCGTGTCCAACGCTACTCATTAGAGCATCTCCAGTGGGGGTTATATAATGAGGTGTATGTTAAATATACACAATTTGTTATTGGAATCACCTGTAATGGGGATGTGTAAACGATTGTAAATTTCTATCACAACCCTGAAATGCAAATTTAGATGCACATGTGCATCTTTTTTTACATCCCTTGCAGAAGGGGCCTATATAAGAAAAGGTGAAAAAAGCAAACAATTATACATTTTTAGATTTACATATTTTCTATATGAGTAAAAATCATATTATAATCTCGGAGGTATACATGAGATAGAAAAGTGGTTTTACACTCCCGACAATACACTGTAGATGCCTTGTAGAAGCTCCCAACAAAGTATCCGGTCCAGGAAGTAACAGAGAAAGCTGTGAGCTTTGGGAAACAGGAAAATAGAGATGGCGGCTAACTCTACGAGACGAACCCTACAATTTTCTTCATCTTCTGCAAAAACCCTTTTGTGCCGTACACCATCTTCACCTTTTGCCTCCAAAGCTTCTAATCTTATCGAACTTACTGCCGTCAAGCCCACTTCTGCTCCTCGACTCGCTGCTCAGAAGCTCAAGTTATCAAGGTTCGATTTCTTTTTTTGTATCTTTAATTTTGACGTACTTTGGAAATTGATCGCCTGATTCTAGAGGAATAGAAAAGAGCGCTGTGACTTTGTTTGGCTTCCGAGAAAAGAAAATCTGAATCTTGGGTCTTTTGTGCTTGCTCACGGTTTTTCTTTCTTTCTTTGTAGTTATGTGAAAAATGATAAATGGAACTTGCTCCAACTGATCATAATCCTTGCATTAAGCTGATTGAGTTCAGCCTCTTTGTTTCCTTGAATTCCAAAGCTTGAATTTTGTTCAGTATTTCATTTACTTGTGATAATTGCACATGTTCACAGCTCAGTTCATTATGACAATGCCTCTATCTCAGTTCAATTTTGTTCATATATATATATATATACACGTGTAGTTTTTCTGTTTATTTTATTGATCATATATGATTGTGATAGTAGTTCTAAATGCTTGAGAGCATTATTAGGAAGACTGCTGAATTTGTTACTAAACTTACTATGATTTGGCCAAGCATAGATTTCCAGTGGAGTTGGCGGGTGTGCAATCATTGATCCCATTGCATAGTGCTACTGCTTCTGCCTTGTTCACTTCGCTCCTATCTTTGCACAATAACAGCTGGGGATGCCTATCAGAAGGTACTCTTCAGAGTTTACCTTCGTTTTCATACAGTGGCTATGTCTGTGGCTTATGACATTAAATATCGTTGCACAATATCATTTGAGAATCCATAGCATACCCCTTTCCATGATCTTTGGTTAATGATATTTTCTGTGGAAACAACGTGAATGGGGTAGTTTATTACCAAGCTGAATGTTTGTCACCAACCATTAGGGCTGTACAGGATCCAAACCAATCTGCCAAAACTGACCAATCCAATCCAATCCAATCCAATTTTATTGGTTTCGATAATATTGGGTGAATTGGATTGGATCCAAAAAATGAAAAAACCGATTGAATCGGTTTGGTTAGCGGATCAAGAGTTTGAAATCCAATTCAAACCGAACACATTGGATCACTATGGATGGAAAGGCTTTTTATTGCAGAAGAGGGTGTACCTATGAGACACTTGTTTCTCTTTTTACATGTTTTTCAAGTGAGATGAGTTGGACCTATAATTTGGAGAGTAATGAGAGAGGTGGGGGTGGAAATTTAATTAAATGTCAGATTAAGATTTCTCGCTGAAGGCAGTGCCTAGCCAGTTAATTTCTGTGAAGCTACCAAACTATGACATCATCTTTTACTTAGTATCAATCTACTAAATAGGTAACTTAAGTAATAGAATTTCCTATATCAGATATGGATGGCTAAGATACATTGTGAGTTTTGTCAGATTCTTTTTGTTCTTCCTTTTTTTAGTAGACCAGTTGCATCTCATTCATATTGGATCTAAAGGAGGTGAGAGATGTTATCGCTTAACGTTTTTATTTTTTTGGGAGAAAAGATGGGGCCATGCCCAAAAGAAAACACTAAACTACGGCCTGAGGCCTACAGAGACCACGCAGGTCATCAACAACAAAGGACCTAATACTGTCGGGAGGCACTTGAAAGGTTTAGAGACCCAAATCAAGGCAAGAGCCCAAGTTAGCAAGTCTATCAGCCACCATATTGCATTCACAATAGACATGATAAATAGAGCAGCCCCAATATTTTTGATGTAGTCCTGGCAGCCCCATAACAAGGTAGCAAGAGGGTGGAGGGCATCTACAGTTTTATTGAGAAGATGCACTGCAATGGCTGAGTCAGATTCCAACACAACATCACTGCAGCCCATATCCCAAGCAGATTTGAGACCATAGAAGATACCCCATAACTCAGCATCTAATACTTGACCATAACCAATATTAGCAGCAAACCCTTTAATCCACATCCCAGAGCTTGATCTAAGAACAGCACCAGCAGCAATGCGACCAGTCTCTCCATTTTGGCAACCATCAGTATTAATTTTGGTCGCTCCTGCAGCAGGGTACTATAGAGTGGCTAGGGAGCGGATGGGTTTATGAGCAAGATCAGTGTTGGCATGTTGCCAATCTGCAGCAGCCAAAGAATTATGACTGGGATTGGGAGGGATGACAAACCCAGGATAAAAATCTTCTTGTTCCTCCATTTCCAAAGGAACCAGCATGTTATCGGTTAATTAACTACCTAGATGAGACCAGAAGATTAACACCATTTCTCGCACCAGAAAGCATCTGTCATGTGTGTTCAAATTCTTAGATTTCTGTAAATCTCTCTAATGGAGAAGGAAAATTAATTCTTTAGTGCATTGGGCTCAACCGAATGCCTTATGTTGAAAAATTGCTGCACCAAGAAATATCGAAGAATGCAGTGTTCTTAGAATTCTTCACAGATATTCAGGTGACATGGGGGAGGAAGATAGAGAAATATCCGGAGGTTGTTATGTTATGTATAGGTAGACAGACATGCCAATTGATTTAATCCATGTAATTGTTTTTTTCTTCTTCTTATCCACGGTGTTAGAATTTCCTGCATGAAAACTCCTTGCAACTTTTACTTTTCCAGTGGTTCATTCTCTCATGTTGTCCCATTAATAACTGGGTTTGTTACTGATGGGTGATTGCAAACAGAGATCGTTGTCGATAATATTATCTCACTGAGGCTTTTCAAATCATGACTCTATCCTCAAGGTTCCCTTCAATGTCTCACTTTGTACATTGTACCTGTATGCAGGTTTTGCAACTCCTCTATAGCATGGCCGGTGAGCTGCTGTTTCTAGGTGCAAGCGCGATCATGAATAGCGGATTTTGTTTATTTTGCAGGTTTCTGATTGCATTTGAACTTAATTGTAACCTCAAAAGTAGATGATCGTTTCATTGTTTCACAAGGTATTCCTTGTTATGATAACCGGAATTCAGCATATCCCTGGTTAGAAATTTTGCACACAAGATCGCGACTATCGTGATATAAACTCTGGAGTTAGCTCAATAGTGGTTTTGAGACAATTGGTAAATCGGGTTTGATGCTTATTGGTTTCATCGGCAATAAAATTTGCAGTACGTTATTGTATCTTGAGGAACAAAACCTCCAAATTTTTGTACCACATTATTGCATGCTTTATAGGATGCAATTTTCACAGCTACAAGAAGACTAACGCCAAGAAACATAAAAGGATTCTTGATGGACCAAGGAAAGGATTGTTTTGAACACTTTTTGAATCGCATGACACGAGCAAGTCGTGATGGTTTTCATTTTGGCGCTGGCAATTTTTATTATTTTATTTTAAGGAAAAACATTTATTGAATTTTTCTTATCCGCCAATAATTCAGGACCATCAACAACTATGACATCATCTTTTACTTAATATTTTTTGGGCATTATCACTATCCTTATTTGTATATACGATTTTGTGCATCATCAATACGAAAACTTCCAATAAAATGCACAAGTGCATTCATGCTTGGTTTCCTGTTATGAGTGCTTAGCTTTGATTACAAGCATAAGATCAAGATATAATAAGTATAGAATTCAGTTTCTTCATACAAAATTTATCGGGGTGATTTTATTGGCGTCCCAAAATTTGCTCTTTGTACCCCCGCATTCTCTTTATACCATACTAAATTTTAGTAAAATTTAAAATTACTCACTACACCCTATTTTTCTTCCTAAATTGCCGTCATAAACCCCATTCCTTAACTTACCTGTGTAAATCCCACCGAAATCGTTACCTTATTTCAGTGGTAGTCCACCGAATGTGTTTTCGTTTTTTAGTGGTAGTCCACCGAATATGTTTCAGTTTTTTAGTGGTACTTCACCGAATTTGTTTCCATTTTTCAGTGGTAGTATACTGAATTCGTTTCTTGTTTCAGTGAATTCATTTCTTGTTTCAGTGATCATTTATCGAATTCGTTACTAAGTTCGTACTTAATATTGTTTTTTAGATATGAAGAGGACTCGAAGAGGTGCTACTGAGTCTTTATCATCTCGATTTGATAGACAACATCCCACAGCCTCAACGAGGAGACATAAAGTGGCGAGGTTATCCCATCAAGTGGACTAGCCCCATCATGGACCCCAGACCACTTTAAGGATACTATAGAGGTTGAAGATGTAGCTGCTACTCATGATAGTAATGTTGAGGTAGAAGTCGAGCCTACTGAGCTATCTCGAGTAGATTCCATTGATCCACATTTACTTACGAGTTTTAAAACTTACATAGCAGTTGCAATTTGGAATAACTAGGTAAGTCGTTTTACTGTAACAATAGAATGCATAATATAAGTCTGGTTCATGGTAATTAACCCAAATACGACACAACTTTGGAAGCATCACCCATGACAGCAGCGGAAACACAACACGAAGCAGATACGACAAACACGACACAGGCATGGGCACAACGGAAACACAACACGAAGCAGATACGACAAACAAGGCACATGCATGGGCACAAGAGAAAACCCTAAAAGAAATTAGGGCACACAGTAGAAAACGAGTGGGCACAACACACAGGTCACTAGAAAGTCGGCTCTGATGCCAAGTCAAACATATGGGTAGAATATTTTCAAGTTGTATTTCATTCTCCAAAAGGAGGTATTTATAATACAAGGTTACAAACCCTAGTAGGGTTATACTAGGAAATAAGATAAAGTCCTAATTACATAATATCTATACAAAAAGAAAAGAAATAGAATCCAAATATACTAGGAAGTAAATCTCCTAATTACATTAGGATCTCGCTAATAATGTTTCGGTGGCATCCTACTGAATTTACCTATCGTGTTCGGTACTGGTGTGCTGAACGCAACCAACTACGATCGTGAAATCCTAAATTTGAAAAACGCCAACAAAATAAACTCATACCTCATTCGAAGCTTCTCTAACTTCAGTCTCATCCTTCATGAATAAATACAATATATTTTTTCACCAATATAAGCATATAAACCTCGTTAGGGTTGAAGGAACATGATGGTTTGAGAAAAAAGTCTAATTAGGGTTGCAGGAATATATGTGGGGTGTAGTGAGCAAATTTAATTTTTATTTTAAATGTTTTTTTTAAAAAAATCCTTAACGGTAATTATGTATAAGGGTAAAATATGTTATTTATGTTTAAAATTTGTATGGGGTGCCAATAAAATCACCCAAAATGTTATAGCCATGCATTTTTTCATATCACTATTTGCATCCGACCTTATATCAGTTGTCTCACTAGACTTGCAAGACTTATAGTTACCGCTCCTCTCACAAGCAAGTATTACTTAAGGTCTCCTTTTGCCCTCACCTCCATAATCAGACCTTTTAATTACAATGACAATATTATTCATTTTTCCTCGTGCACGGACCCATCTAAGTAAAGCATCTCTACCATTGAATATCTACACATAAAAGTCATGTTATTTAAAGATAAAATTTGAAACATTAATGTCACGTTAATGATACTAAAAAGGATTTTAGACAAAAAAAAACTCAAATAATTATCGAATAATTGTGAATTGGTCACTATAATCCATTACACATTTTGTTCCCACACTGTTGCCTTCAATAGGGGCGTCACCTTGTTTTTGTCCCTTCAATAGTAGTAAGATCAAAATAGCTTGCATTAAATTTGTGGTCGACAATAAGTTACTGAAAAAATAAATAAATAATTTCGGTTCGTTGCCACTGAAACGTAGGTAAAATTTCGGTAATAAACCATTGAACAATGTTTCATGTTACGGTGGATCTCCACCTCATATTAAGTTCATGACCGGTCAAACACAACCGAAATAGGTGCAATGTTTCGGTGGCATCACACCGAATTTACCTATCGTGTTTGGTACTGATGTGCTGAACGCAACCAACAACCATCATGAAATACTAAACTTGCAACACGCCAAAAAATAAACTCATACCTCATTCAAAGCCTATCTAACTTCAATCTCACCATTCATAAATAAATACAAGATATTTTTTCACAAATATAAACATATAAATCTCGTTAGAGTTGTAGGAACGTGATGGTTTGAAAAAAAAGTCAAACTAGGGTTGTAGGAACATATGTGGGGTGTAGTGAGCAATTTTAATTTTAATTTCAAGTTTTTTTGTCCTAACGATAATTATGTATAAGGATAAAATAGGTTATTCATATTTAAAATTAGTATGAGGTGCAAAGAGCAAATAATAGGGTGCCAATAAATCTCCCAAAATGTTATTGACATGCATTTTTTTCTTTTCGTTTAATAAATACATAGACATTTTTCACATGTTTTCGTACTTTTCATATTTTCGTATGATATTATATTAATTGAATTGAAGAATCTATTTGAGCAAAAATTATTCAAGTAGGTGAACAAACTTCAATTTGAAGAGTTTTATGTGCTACTACTGTTGGTGATGCTCCAACATAACCACAGAGCAGGGGAGCATCAGAGTTTTACGATCATTCCAAGTTGACGAAATGGATTGGGGTTTTGTACATAAAGCTTGGGACAAGTGGGCTTCTCCCAATATCGGCTCTGGTGAGTGCCGCCTGCAGAGCCTCGCCTGTCTGTGCATATGTTCCCGATAAGTCTGTATATTTTGGTTTTCATGCATTGAAATGTTGCAGATAAGCCATTAAAAGCAGCTATATTGATCAACTATGACCCAACTGGTCCGTCTCGCTTGTTGTCTACTATGTAAGTCAGATTCAAATTCAAACTCATGCGCCCCTTTAATATTTTTTGTTTTTAGGTTTTGGCAATGGACCTATGTTCAAGCAAGATTGTAGTATAATGCGTCTTTCTGATGGGTTCAATTTAAAGGTTACAAGTCCAAATTGTTCATCCAATTCCAGAGATTAATTGATGCTCGTGTACAATTTATTTCAAATTTTGTATTTATAGTTGAATCTTCAGTTTATGAATTATCTTTATAAAATAAAAGTGGAAAGGGGCTGGCTATAGAAGGAGAGGACAATATGATTAATTGAAATGGTTTTATTTGGTTCAAATATTGGACTCCTTATTGGGGGCTAGTTTTAGGATGTGTTTAGTAAAACTTTTGCTAGTGTCATGAGCAGGGGTTGATTATTACCACTGCAACTTTTCTTTACTTTCTTTAATATATTACACTAATAAAGCCCAGCTTTTGATGACTTTGATAAGTGGGTGACCTATTCTGGAAGGATCAGGTTAAAAGCATCTTGTTTGGTGTTTCTAATATAGATGAATTAACATAAGACATGTGATATTTGAGGGGAGAATTTGTAATGTTATCATTCTGCAATTCGATTCCATCCTTCTCTCTCAATGTGAGTGTCATGCTATATGTGTTAACCTTTCACAAAGTTGGCATTATACTTTCAGGAACCTTTGTCTTCGTAGCTTTCAGGAAAATTGCTTTCTTTCCTCTGTAGTCTAGATTTCAAAGTGGTTTTCGACAACTGTGCTTCATATTCCCTACAACCCCAATTTAGGTTTTATCTCTGAGATATATATGATGTTTGAGCCATAGGCTTGTTTCAGGTCTATACTTTTGGACCACTCAATGTGTACAGACATTATGTCATGTTGTAAAATTTTATATTGATTTGAGTTGACTTGTTAGCTTGATCATCGTTCCTTCTTCAGCACCAATGACTCAATCTTTTGTTCTTTTTCCCTTCTTCATCATTAATTCATTTGCTGCACCTGCCCATTTTTTATTTTCAAGGAAAAGCAAAAAGATATGTGAATACACTAGGACAAATTCAGCTTTGCTACTTGTATCCATTATTACATTTATAAGTTCAAATGTTATGGATTAATTAAAAAAAAAATCCCTCGTAGAACTTTTTATATGGCCTATTTCCTATATGCATATATGTATGGAGAAATTCATTGGGAAATTTCGTTTGATGGTGCCTGTGGTTAGCAGTCAAATTGGAAGTTGATATGTGCAAATAGGTTTTGCTACATGTTACTTTTTTTTACATATATATCAAGATGCTACGGTTCTCTTCTCATGGATGTATTTTAGATGCTTCTAGATGTATTTGGGGGTATAAATTTGAATTTTCATAACACAAAGAAGAGTCTTAATGGAAGTTTTGAGCTTTGAAGAGGAGCAAGGATTAGAAACTTCTCATGACAGGCAGTGATAGCAATTGAATATCGGGAAAAGCCTGAGATTGGGGCTGATGATGAGCGAACTATTAAACAAGGGAAAAATAAGGAAGATAAATATCATTTTTCTTAAGTTCATCAACTGCAGATGAAAAGTGAATTAAGCAATAGTACTGATCTTCTTGATAGTTAGTATCAAGCTGTGCAGTATAGTTGTCAAACAGTCTACTCTCTAGTGAAGTTTTCCAAGAGTTGTGAATTTTTATTTTAGATATATACGTTTGTTATTATTATTATTATCATTATTATTTGGCTATTTAGGTTAAAATTTTCCCCTAAGTGTTTAATAGTGTTTTAAATTCTGATATAAAATCCTAATTTTAAAGTAAAAATGTTGCCTTTTCGTGTTTTATATGCTTGGGATCCACGTAAACCAGTCTACCAAAAGTTGCATCAATTTGGAGTTCAGACTAAAACTCAATACATATTGTTGAATGCTTAAAAAACTGGGCTTGCATGTCAATATGCTTACATTCAAGTTTGCCTGTCATGTTTTGTATGTGCACCTTCTTTCAGAAATAATGATAGGGAACAGTAACCCTTACGTCTATAGTTGCTTTCTGTTTGATTTGGCCAAGAGAAAATTTTACTTAAATGTATGATGCTTATCATTTTGTTCTGTTTGGAAGCACTGTACCTGAAGGTTGATTGTATGTATGCAGCGCAGAAGAAGAAGGGATAAAAGTGAATCCCATCGAATTGAGTCAATTCATTGATTTCATCAAATGTGACAAGCTCCAGACTGAGAGCTTCATTATTGGACCAAACCAATGTAAGTTCTTAATGTGGCTGCAATTACCACAATTACTATGTTTAATAAGTAATAACTGTCTGTTTAACTGGAGGATTTGGAGGGGCATATGGTTTTGTATTCCTTATTACATTTTTTAGGGATTTAAAGTGGCCTTATATGGTACTACTGAATCCTGTAAAGTTATCTTTCAGTTTAGATCATGAAATTTTACAGCAGGTTTTCAATATCTTGACAATGCGTGTTCTTTCACTACAATAAATGAGCTTTTGACGACAACAGAAAACTGCTGCAGAAATGCAAAAAAGGTTGCACATATTATGATAGATGTTGCATCAGTTCATGAGAACTGCTCATATATGCATCTTAGGACTGATTTGCTTCTATACGCGTCTTTTAAAAAAAAAAAAAAAAAATATACGGCTCCTAATTGCATCCTACAGATCCCATCTACAGTGATTTATGCTTTGAGATCTAATTGTGGTGAGTTTTACTAGATCTAATATTATGACAGATATAGTCACATCAATTCATGAGAATTGGTTCTGTGCAAGGTGCATGAACACATCAAAATCTACTGGTGAAGGCGCTATCGTTATGCATACAGCAGCATTTCTCTTGGTTGCATTGTAAGCACTTACCGGCTGTAATTTTTACTTTAAGCACTGAAATGAGGTTTGGGATGTGACTGTAATATGTACAGAATGAGAAACTCAAATAATGTATATTTTTCAAGAGATTTGTGATAATTTGTTGTGAATTATAATTCATTCATGCAGGTACGATGGTTCTATTGGCTCAGCATCTCGTGCTATGGTGGCTGTTGATCAGTTTGCGTGGCAATTAACTCGAAAGAATCTGTAACTTTGTCAAAAAGATAGTGTAAGTTTTTAGTGTGATATTCTCTGGCACCTTGAATATGTCTTGATTAATTATTCTGTTTTTTTTTCATCACTTGCCACTATTATGTTGCCACAATAATTATAATAATTTTATCATTATGCTTACTGATGCAGGGCAGTAGTGATAAGCTGCTGTCCAGCGGCTAAAACAGTGCCAAACCACACAGTAGAAACGGAATCCCAGCGATAAACAACACAGAAAATAGATGGATAAAGTGAAGTTGGAACTAAGATAATTGAGTTCTGATCCGAAGACACCCCAGAGGAACTCTATATTCTGTCATTTCTGAATAAAGTTGTTAAAAGACCCTTATTACAACTGTTAACTAGGCTTATATATTAGCCATCAAACCCTAACAAATTGGAAAACCTAATTGACAAAGGAAATTAAACCAAATCCTAACTGGAATAGGAAAATTATAATATCAAAAGTAACCCTAGCTAACAAATTTCTTAGGGAAATGTAATCGGACTTGACATTGAGGCAACAAAAGCTAATACAGTTCCTGCTAACAAAATCAGGCTGTTCATGCATCTGTGGTTTCAAACAGCTGATGGTGCAATGAAGCTCAAATATTTGTGACCGTAAATACTCCGTGTACCTTTCTTATACATGCTCAAACTGCCATGCTCAACCCCAGTAACGATGCAACATAGGTTAGAAATAATACCAGCATCAATTGATTCAACAACCCCTTGGACATTCCCTCCCAAAAAAAGAGTCTTAGGACATGATGGCTTTCCCATATGCACCACCTCATAAAGCAAGTAGTGTAGGGAATACCCTTATGATAACCATATTGTCACTGAAATATTCTTGTAAAATCGAAGAATGCATCAATTAGGCAACACTTTTCACTCTGGAACCTTGAAAATTCTTTATGCGTGTTCAAATCAATGATGCTTTTATCACCAGCCTTTTTTAAGTTTACCATGCTTGTTTGAAATCCGACTGCTATGTTATAGGACTTGGGAATATAATTTCTGCTTATGTTTTATTCAAGTTACAAACAATGTATGGTACATGGTATTGACATCATTTAGTTCAACAAGCCTAGAGATGATAATAATGATCACACCACAGTTGTCACAAAATCATGAAAGAAATTACTCTTCTAATCATAACGTGCTTTTATTTTATTATATATATATATATATATATATATATATATATATATATATATATACAGAGAGCTTCCATTGAGGGATCCCTCAAATAAGCTTATTTGAGGGACACCCCTTGTAGGGCCCACTCCGGATTGTATTTCACTAATCCAAACCGTCTATTTTGTAGATACACATTCAAAGATCATCTCTACAAAAAATCACTTGAATCCGATATTATTTGACCATTCAATTGAGTTATTGAAATTTTAGTATTTTCTTGAAGCACCGTGTTTATTGATTTTGTAGGACACAATTGGATGTCGAAACGGTTTCCGATTTGTCTAATTTTTTGTAAGGATGATCTATGAATGAAGACTTAAAAAATAGATGGTTGGATGATCTATGAATGAAGACTTAAAAATAGATGGTTTTGATCATTGAAAAAAAAACCCTAAAGGGCGTCCCTCAAATAAAATTATTTGAGGGATCCCTCAATAGAAGGGAACTGTATATATATATATATATATATATATATATATATATATAAGGAAAACGAAAATAAACTACAACCAGAAACCACGCGGGCATGCAGGCCCCACCAAGTAAAAATAAAACGGAACCAAACAACTTAGAGGAAGCCCACGATCCCACAGCCGGGAAGGGGCAAGATTATGGCCTAAACTAGCAACAACATTTGTAGTAAAATTAGCCTCCCGAAAGATGTGTTGAAAAGAAATCTCTTCGCAATAAGAACTCAGCACTCGAATGTCTTGCACAAGGAGACTGATGCTCCAAGGAACCGAAACCACATTGTTGACACAATCAATGATAAGCTTTGAATTGCCTTCCACCAGGATCTTCCTCCAACCATTATGAATGGCATGGGCCAGGCCATCCCAAAGAGCTAAACACTCCGCAACTGTAATTGACACTTGACCTGAGTTTGTAGCACCAGCTAACCGAACATTACCATTCCAGTCACGAATCACAAAACCAGTTGCAGCCAAATTACTACGCACTGAACCATCAAAATTTACTTTAATCTAGTCCAGAGGTGGAGGCTGCCACTTTATGTTAATTAACCCATTGGACTTCTGAGGAGGCATGAATTAATTTTCCAGTAATCCAACCCGATGCGCCCAGCCATAAGAAGGGCTCTAGCTGGGTGCGGCACAATATCTTTAAAAATATAATTGTTTCTAGCTTCCCATATATGCCAGCAAAGAAGGAGAGCTTTGGATAGAACATTAGGGCCATCTGAAGCTTTGGTATGAGGTAGCAGAGCCAACCACTCAACGCCATCAAAATTCTGTTGTAGGTACTAGGTTGCTTAAAAGAAGGCTTATAAGATGCAATGCACCCAATTTGAATGAAAATGGTTCACCCTGGAGCAGTGGCGGATCCAGGATTGTTACCCCAAGGGGTCTTAGTGTAAAAGTTCCGATATTTTTTTTAAGATGAAAATAACGCTAAAAGATAATTTTATATTACTTGCCTCTTATCGTTCCATAATTCTAAGCATGAATTAATCAAACTAAACAATCAACTTTTTTTTTTTTAAGAAACAAATTTTATTAAGACAAATGAACAAACCTATATGAGAGAACCGGGATCCAAAGTTCCTGATTTCATTAAGAATGGGAAAAAGTTCCCAAGCATGTCGTTTGATCCTACCCTCAGCTGCAAGAATGGCACTCTGAGAGTCAGACTCCATTTTTATTGGATAATCTTAAGTCTCCTTTGGTCAGTATTTTTACTTTTAATACAAGTCTAAACTACAAGGGATGAGATTGCCTCACACACACACACCACTTAAGTGCCATTGTCGTATAGATTCGAATTTGAGATTACTGGTACGCAAGTCGAAGACTTTTTCCATTAGGCTAGTGAAAAATTAGGACATCAATATCAACAAGCTTGTAAAAAATTATTATTCAGTATATGGCCCAAAGTTGCAGTCTCGGCCTGTTCCGGATTGAAAGAAGTCGGAGTTGGCCCAAGCCTAACAAGTAGTATCCAGTTGCCCAAAAACCAATTTTGAATCGCACAAAAGTAGGCAGAGGGAACGCCACTCTTTCTGCTCTCATGTCGTCCTCTCAAAAAGAGTCCAAGACTAACAGACACAAATTTACTTCGACTTTAAACATAAACATAAAACAAGTTGCTTTGGCTTAAAACTTAAAAGCCTGAAAAAGGCCTTCGTCCCATTTCCGCATCTGCGATCTCTCTCTCCTCTCTCTGCAACTGCAAGTAAGTTACTTGGTCTCAAAATTATTGCTTTTATTTTCCAAATGTAAATGTGATTGGAAACCAGATATTCCTGCTGCTGCAGCTTCTCCCGCTCCATGTATCCAGATCTCAAATGTGTGCTTCGTACTGTAATTTGAATCACATTTTGAGGGTGAAGTACTAAGGGCATTGGATTTGGAGGGGTGGGTAGAGCCAGGAAGGAGGGAGATGGGATCGGGTGGGAGCAAAGCGACGGCGTCTTCATTTTCTTCTTCAACGTCGTCGTTTGGTGGCAATGGTCGGAGGCGTCGATCCAAATCTAAATTCAGCAGAGTGCTCAAGTCGTCTTGTCTGGGAACCACATCTCGATCCCACGACAGCGACAATGACGACAAGGTCCCTCTCCTTTTGCTTTAATTTCCATTTTATCCGTTCATTTCAAGTTCTTCATTATTTCTCTTTGGTTTTGAGCATCAATGTGGAAAATTGGTTGGTATAATTTCGGGTTTATTTAATTTTATTTGTGAAATGCGGCCAATAGACTTTAGTAACAAAAAGATAATTTTTTTTTTAATGAATACTTATTTCCTCTTTAATTTATGTTTGTTGTAATGGGTATCAGATTATCAGTTGGTGAAATAATATTTAAAGAGATAAATTTTTTGCCGCTGTTTTAATTCAATAATATATTTTTGGGTCCCAAATGTTTGGTACTTTGCTCCCTGAGAGTTCTTTTGAAGAGTACAAGTCAACTTTTTTTTCAAATTTTTTGAATTGTATGCTTCTCAATTAAAACATTTAGTGTCGAGGTTGGTATAGGAGTTACAAAGATGGAAAAGAAGATGGGAGAGTTGCATTTCCTTTTTAATGTTTGGTGTGTGGTGAAAAGATAGGAAAGAAAGGAGGATTCTTGTTGTTAAACATTGGTTATATTGCTTCAGTTCCTGTGCAGACCTAATTGAATGAATGTTCCACATGTAGAAGTTTCTTCCTAAAAAACATTGTAGCTATCTTGTCGAAGACTGCTTTATGAAAGGTGGCTACTGGAATGAAATCCAGCTATCTCTCGAATCCTAATATTTACGTGTACTAAGGAAAGTTTTCTCACAAAAGATGTATTGCAAAGATGGGCCTGCCTTCCGTACACATAGGTTATCCTATACATCACAAAATCACATCGTACTTTTCCAACTATGATATTTATCCACGAGATCCCATGAATAACTCTTGTGACTGCAGGCTCACAAAAACCGCTAACCCCTTGTCCTGTGTGTGTTAAGGCTTTTTATCTGGGGAGTTCCCATTGTTTGGGCTATAATATTTCTTTATAATAAAAAGTTGATGCAGTATATGCCTCGTCACTTGGAACTTTCTTTGTCTATGGTTGCTTCTATGTTTCTGATACTAGACTTCACTTTTTCTCCTCTACCAAACATATGTATATGGTGAATGTTTCTGATAGGTTGTTATTTAAAACTTTTATTTATTTATATTGCTGGTGTGCAGTTAATTGGCCAAAAATTATTTAAGGAACTGAAGTGTGTAACTCATGCTTTAGGTATGTGATCATCAGAACAAAGAAACTAGAAATAATGCTCCATGTGCAAGTTTGAATGACACAGAGCCAGATGATGCAAAGGTTGAGTGTTTCAGAAAGGTTAACGTTGAACAACCTGATGAAATTCCGTGTATATCTTCAAATGTTCAGCTCAATGAATGGGGTCAGGCTAGTATCACTGATACTGCCTCCAGAGCTGGTAGCAGCTCTGCCCAAGCTGCTGCTCCATCTTTGAACCCTTCAAGTCGTTTCCTTTCTCGTTTTAGTTTCATTCCAGGTAATGTAAGCTTCAGATTAAGTCGGGCAACCAGTTTAGGGTCATCCAATCCTCTATCTCCAACAAGTCTCACAATACCGAACAATGAAGATGAACTTCATCTGCATTCAAGACCTGCTAGAAGTTTTGTAAATAGAGATGAAAGCCAAGAAGCCAGTGACCTTCCACAGTCACAGATGAATAGGAGCGCAACACATTTTTATGAAGAGACATCTGACAATATAGGATTAAATACTCCGGGATGTGGTTTTTCTGACAACTTGCAAGATAACCAGACAAATTCTTCAAGACACGATGTTGGTAGAAATGCTAACGGTACAATAATTGGGGTTGGTGTAAACTTGTGTTCTCCGAGAAATCATAATGAAACAGGGAGCAACAGAACTAGACCTTCTGAAAGACGCCCAGGTGCTCGGGAACCTGTTGAACGGAATGTTCGTTTCAGTAGAACTTTAAGTGTTGGAAGACTTCGTGACAGGGTACTTCGTCGATCATCATTATCTGATTTAACATTTTCTTCTTTGCAACAAGAAGGAGAAGTGAGAGATACAAATCAAGGCGATGATACAAGAACAATGGCACCTGAAGGCAATGCTGTAAATTTCGAAAATGGGTCTGGTTATCCTCCATCCAATATGTCTAGTTCATTGTTTAGCATCCAAGACTATGAGGTGGAAACATCAAGACCAAGAGAAGCTAGATATCATGATCTACTTGAACACAGATCAAATTTCCTAGAGCGGAGGAGAAGAATACGATCTCAGGTTTGTATCTGTTTCACACTGTTATTTTTTATGCTTTGGGTGAGATTATAGAACAATGAATGGCAGTTGACCGATACATCTTTTTCACACAATCAATTTTTTTATATTAAATTTTCCACCTTACCCTTATTGCAAATCCAGTTGACCAATACATGAATAGTGGTATAGGGTTGCCAACCAGTTGGCTGCCTTTCTATGGACATTACTATGTCCGTTGTTCCTGGTGATTAGTTTGGGTATAACTTGTCCAGAACTCTGCTAAAAGTGACAGCATAAATTTATTCCTTCTATAAAAAACCATCTGTTCTTGAGACGTTTTCTCATGCCTTTTACTTTTCAATATAAATTTTATAATTTACTGAACTTCCTTATGTAACTTATTTGGTTTACTGATTCCCATGCAAATTTTGTAGGTTCGTGCACTTCAGAGATTAGGGAGCCGCTTTGAAAATGTGTCTGGACATGAGAGATCTTGTATCTTATCTGGTCAACAGCGAACGGGTCGTTGTACATGTCGTATGAGTAGCCGAGATGCCCGTCCAAATGATGACAATAGTGCTAGGGCTAGCATATCAAGAATAGTTATGTTAGCTGAGGCTTTGTTTGAGGTAATGTTGATATGCGATTACCTTTTTGTCAGCCAGTTTCCTTATTAATTATATAAGTTGAACCGTTTCTATGTAATTTAATTAGGTTCTGGATGAAATTCACCAGCAATCTGTGGTTTTATCCTCTCGACCTTCTGTATCGTCAATTGGATCTGTTCCCGCTCCCACTGAAGTTGTGGAATCTTTGCCTGTCAAATTGTTTTCCAAGTTGCAAAAGCATCAGTATGAGGAGGCTGCACAGTAAGTATCCAAGTCTATCTAATGTTCGACATTCAGTTCACTGTGTATCTCTGAAGGAGGTGACTGACCTAATTCAGTATTGTTCCAGATTACAAGAATTAATCTGCCTTGCGCTTTTATGATGTTCTCAGCAGCCAGTGACTTTTCAAAAGTGTCTATTTTACAAGCAATTTCTTTACAGATGCAAAAGAATGTTTAGCTTAGGGAAATTGTTCCTTTACTTGCTATAGGCACTGGACAAAATATTAGAGTTTTATACATAGATTTTGTTTTTTTGTTTTTTTAATTAATAAGAGTTTAAAGCTTATTCCTTTTGAAAAAATATTTTATTTTCCCAATTCTGGCCATTTTTAGGTACATACTTTTGGCTTTTCATATCATAGTCATCACTCCATGTTGCCACAACATATTAGAGTATTTAAACATAAATTTTCATATTGGTAGTTAATAAGAGAATAAAGTTTACTCCTTTTGAAAAAAAAAATTTATATATATATATTATTTTCCCAGTTCGGGCCATTTTAGGTACATGTTTTTGGCTTTTATATGAGTTTATTGTCCTATTACAATGGTTTATACATTTTAGGTTAGGACCATATCTGTATCTTTCTTTATTCAGCTCTAATTTAATAAACATTATTCGTGTTTAGGAATTGGTACTGACAATTTTTTAGTAGCACGTGTAGCATGTGGATGTTATATAAACTTGCATCCTTAGTATTACATTTAGAATTTAATGATTCTTGTTTTGTTGTTGGTACTTTATTTCTCTTGGTAAACAAATGGAAGTGTCTTTAGAAGGACCATTTTTGTGGGCTGACTATAACATGGTTGCAATGTCTTTATTTTCCAAAATATATTATTTTGGTTGGGAAAAAGATTGTAAGTTACATCTGTTTAATATCGCAGTATCTTAATATCTTTTGCTTTGCGTATCCTTTAATCTAACAGATGCTACATATGCCTTGTGGAGTACGAAGAAGGAGACATAATGCGAGTACTGCCTTGCCATCATGAATTTCATAAAACTTGTATTGACAAGTGGCTCAAGGAGATTCACAGGTTTGGAATGAACTTGCTTCTTTCAAATCGTCTAATATGAATTATTTAAACACAGGAACATACACTTTATTGACTACAATAAGATAGTATGGCGAGTGTTATTGCAATAAAATTTTATATGTTCTGGCTTGGAAAATTTCAAAATAGTAATCGCTGTATAAAATTTGTCCACTGTCTGTTTGCTTGTTTAGTAGCTTTTGTATGGTAGTTGGCACTTGGTGATCCTGAAACATGCTAGTACCAGTGACATAAACTTGAAGTTGGAAAATGGTGGTTCATAATAAGTTGGAATTAAACCAGACAGATGTATGACTGCATATCATGCCTAAGAGGTTTAGCTCTAGTGTCATTGGGGAGGGTGGGCAAATGTTTAGGTCCTAGGTTCAAGTCTCAATGTAATAAAAGAAATTGCATAGTTATAAATTCCTTTCCGTTACTAGAATGGAATTTATTATTATTATTTTTCAATGTGATCACCTGACCAGTAACTTTCCAATTTTGTCTTCCGCTAAATAGTGATCTATTCCACCTTATCCCCCCTCAACTGTGCATGTCTTTTGGCTCATTCATGCAGTGCAAAAAAATAGTTTCCTTTTTCAACACAGCTATATTTTGGGAATTTTTATGAACCGTATGTTGTGTTGTTGTGTAGTATGAATTTATTTATTAATAGGAACTTTGGAATGAAGTTAAATTTGTCTTGTTCCAGGTATTGGAAATATTAATATTTTGTTTTTAAAGTTTATTGTTAATTGTAATATTTACCTCTTTTTAAAGTCTGTATAGTTTCAACAAGTATATTCTTTGCCAGCAGAATGTTTGCTAGAACGGATCAACAAGAAGTTCTTGCAAACATGAATGTTTACTAGAACAGATTTCATAAGTATGTGTACATGCACTTGTGCCATCGAATTTTACATTTGCTTTTTTCTCTTAGTGTCACATAGGAGTTTGCACTTCTTTAATACGTATTACCTAGATGCTACTTATGGGATGCCTCACCCAAATCATAATTTGGAATGTCATGTGGCCTGAACAGCTTGTCATTGGGGGAAATATTATTTTAAGGAGCGATGAAACTCAGTTGATTGTGCTCCCTTGGTGCTCTTTTAAAATAAACCTTTTTTCTGTGTACTTACAATTAAATAGTGAAAGGGTATTTGAGATTTGAGCTTTGAAGTATACTTCGTTAAATGAATAGAAGGAAAGTACTGGTGGTGAGTATCAGCAAGGACTTGGTTATGACATCATTTTCACTGCTGGGAATTCTCAGCATGCACAAGCTCTATCATCTATAGCAAACTGGCAACAGCTATAAGTCTTCAACATTCTCAACATCTCTTTCTTCTTTCCTTTCTACTATTAATTGGTTTTTCACTTTCATTTGTTCCTTGTATAATTGGCAAGAAGTTCTTGCCTTGATTTACTTCTCCATTTCCCTCTCTGAGCTCTACTTGAACCCGTCACTCAAATCTTTTTGTCCGAAACTCAAGTACTGTGTATCTCACTGCCACTGCTTGTCAGGTTGTTTTTCGCAACTAATGCAACACTTAGCTCCATTGTTTCCCCAATAAATATCAAATCCTCTCAATTCTTTCTTGTCGATGCTCATATTTGTCGCAGCTGCCAATTTTCCTTTTTGGCCTAACGATAATGTAAACTCTTCCAAAGGATGCATCAGGATTGTATTCTATTTCTGCAATGGATGTTGTTATACACCGTTGCTATTATTCAGACAATCCATTCATTTTGTCCGGCCACCCCTCTAACTAATATGGCTACTAAGTAACAAGCTAACTGATCTAACTAATTTAACCATGACAGCATAAGCTCAAGTCATGAAAATGCTAATCTCAATGACCAAGAATTGGAAATTGATACGTTAAGAAACTGTAGAATATATGAACTGCCATAGAAAGATTTTTTATTTTATGAATTGTTCATTTAATTAATTTCAATTTCTTTGTGCCTGAAATATCAATGCCTCTTGTTGTTGACATTTTAGGTTTGTATTAATATTTTGGTGCTACTTATACTGGAAATTGCTAATGTGTATCCGGTATGCAGGGTATGCCCACTTTGTCGCAGGGATATCTGTAGATCTGATGTGTTGCCTGCAGAGAACTAAGGTGCAGAGAACTAAGGTAGTGGTTTTTCACTCTTCTTCTCTGTGAATGGACAATTGAGTAGTGAAGCTTTCTGCGGAGGCAGTGTTTTCGTGTATCATTTTTTAGGAAGTTCAGTCCTTATCTGCTTGTATCATCGTTGCTGCCCGCCATTAATTGTTCTCATTGTCAAATGTAATACTGAACGTTAGTAGAAACGGACTGAACTACTTGCAATCAGCAACACCTCCAGCCAGAGGGCGAGGGGAGTGGAGGGAGAGAGAGAGAGAGAGCTGTTTCCGTTCTCCGATGAATTCTGTTAATATGCTTAGTCAGAGGCCCCATTGTTGTATCCGAAATTCTGTGCATTCCCGCTGTTTCCTGATTTTGTTAAGGTTTGGACAGATATCACATTCTCATTAAGTTTGAGGTCGCTTGGAATGTGCTTCCTATTTTTGAACTTTGATCAACGTTCTCCCTTTACTACAAGAATTTCTATAGTGTGGGCCTTAGGGCCTTATATGTGAGGTTCTATCTCTTAACCGTTGGATCAACTTAGTTAGCTGTCTTACGTTGGGTTATCTAACATGTAAGCCTTGTACATAATGTTAGATAAGTCCCAAGCCACAAATGTTAGTAAAATGTCCAATAAAAAGGGATTTTTGTAGACATGTTACATGAATTTATACTTTAATTTCAATTTGTCACTTTAAAGAAAAATTTAAGAGAAATGTCACTGGGGGGGGGGGGGGGGGGGGGGGGGGGGGGGTGGGTGTTGTGTGATGTGTTTTGGGGATGGGTGGGGTTGGGGTGGGGGGAGAGAAGGGAGAGAGAAGTCTCTTAAATTATAAGCTCAGGTGACATTTCGACAATTATCTCCTAAAAAAAAATGTTGGTTTCACTTTTGCAATTTCAACCAAACTTGTGACCCTTTTTAACAAACTTGTTAATAGCTAGTTGGTAAGCATTTGAAGACTGAAAGAAGTAGAATAAGCCACAACTTTATTCATTGCTATTAAGAATTCTAGTGCCATTAAGGGTTCGTTTGGGACTGCTTCTCTAGGAAGTACTTCTACGTATAAGCGCTTTTACCAAAAGCACTTTTATTATAAAGACGTTGAAATTTTCATAAAAATTCAAAGTGCTTATGGGAAAAGCACTTGAGAGTGCTTTTTGAAGAAGCACGTGGCAGATGCTTCTCCAGAAAGCGCTTCTATAGCCCAAAAGCACTTTTAAACTTTTCTGTCAAACGCTGTCAGAAGCGCTTTTGGTTGTCAGAAAGCATTTTTAACTGTTCTAGAAGCACTCCCAAACGAGCCCTAAGTGGTGTGATTTTTGCAACTTGCTGAAATATTTGGGATCAATGAAATCAATTTGTTTTTCAAAATAAAAGACCAGATCCTAATCATGCAGTTTCACATATAAACTCCTCTCGCAACATGTTTTTATCAAAAAATAGCCAAAATTTATTGACATTTTTGGAAGTGGGGTAAATTTTGGCTATTTTTTTTATAAAAACTGTGTCACAACCGCGCGCCTCCAATTCTTCCATCGCCATTGCCGCTCCACTTCCTCCTCTCACAGCCTCTCGCCGTCGCCTCTGTCTCAATTTCAGGTAAGTTCCATCTCGTCTCATCTCAGCCCAATTTGATACCCGGCCTCTGCCTCTAACTATCTCTCATATCCATCCTCTCTCAGCTCTATCTCAGAGGCAGAGCAGTTCACTCTCTCTTTGATAAGAGTCTCTTCCTTATGATTTTTGAAAATGTAATTACGGTTCTGTGTGGAATGAAATCGGGGTTGTGAATTAGGGTTCTCTCTCGAGAGCCTGAATTTGTTGGGCAGAGCAGATAAAAAATATAGATAAATGTTATACTTCCATTCCACTGAAAAAAGTTTCGAGTGATTACGGCAGAGCAGACCTCATCAGTGGCAGCTATAATTGTTTTCTTTCTTGTCCAAACCCTAGCCTTTGAATTTCTATCAGAGTGGAATACCATTTCAAACCTGGAGAAATGTTGACAAAAGATATCATAAAAGCAACCAAAACGATACGTAAAAGAAGAGAGAATCCCAATTTCTATCACAGTGCATGCGCATATATATCACATAAAAGTTTTTTTCGAATGCTTGAAGAATCCCAATTAGCCTTCTGTTCTGTGTATAGTGGCATCTGCAAGTAGATGAATTGTTAGCAGGGATGCATGCTTTGCTAAAGTAAAAATTGGTAAAAAGCGAAGAAAGATTTCAAGAAACATTGTGTATGTGTGTACATGTATATGAAGATTTCTAATGATTGACCACTTTTATTAATTAATTTTTTTTTAGTTTCCTTTTTTTTTTCTTCCTGTTTTTTAGTTTAGGGGCTGTTTTTAATTTTTCCCTTCAGTTTCCAGTATGGATGATTTACTTATGGCTGTTTTTATTCATTAGTTTCTGTTTTTAGGTTCTAATGGCTTGTTTAGGTGCTGTTTTTAATTTTAGTTTCTGTTTTAGTATGGATGATTTACTTATGGATGTTTTTATTCTTTAGTTTCTGTTTTTGTTGATTAATGTTAGTTTTTTGGTGATAAATGGACCAATCTGTTTCTTTGATAAGCCTTCCTTCCTTGGTCTCATATGACTCTCTCTTCCAGGTAATCCTACATCCTTCACCGAGCTCATTTTTTGTGCATTTTCAAATCACGAGCTATTTCCAAGATAGCTTCAAATTATTTCGGACCAGAAAACGAAGCAAAATCCTAACACACATAATATTACACTGTTATTCTCTTTCATTTTCCCGCATTTTCTCGGTAACCAAACGGAGCATTATGCTATTTTCTTGCTCTTAAAACTCGGAATATAATAACTAAGTTTTCTTTCAGTAAACTATTTTCTTGCGTTTGTTATCTTTTACAGGTTTCTACTTTAGAACTGTTTTATGTCTTTCTATTGACTTCTGAGTTATATGCTTCTAGGGTTTCTGAGATTCTTCCCTAATTTGAGAATCGTTTGAAGAATTGAGTGACAGGCTCAGGTATTATGACCTCTAAGAGGGAACATGAAGATAGTGTTAGAGTGAATGCGGAAGGGTTTGAATCTGACCCAAAGAGGCAAAAACGGAATGGGCATTCATCTCCTTCCTCTTCACCACCTTCACCTGCTTCTGAAGGCTTCCTTCTTCCTGGTTTTAATTATGGTGACGAGGATGACGAGGACAACTATAGAAGGCCACCTGTTAATGACTATAGAGGGGATGGTGGTGATAATCAAAGGGATCTAAAAAGTGGGGTTGAAATTGAAGAAGAAGATGATATTGATGATCTTGGACAAGGACTTTACAGGCGGGGCCGTGAAATTGAGGTCAGGAAGGATTGTCCATATCTTGACGCTGTTAATCGCCAGGTATATTACTATTCTAAGTTGTTACAATATGGCATTCCAGCTTGTCTGTATATTATCCTTACAAAAGCATCTACTGTATTGATACCTATTGCTTGATTTTGCTTTGTCCAGGTTTTGGATTTTGATTTTGAAAAATTTTGTTCTCTGTCTCTGTCAAATTTGAATGTGTATGCATGTTTAGTTTGTGGGAAGTATTACCAAGGAAGAGGGAAGAAGTCCCATGCATATACTCATAGCCTTGAAGCTGGACACCATGTTTATATCAATCTTCGAACAGAGAAAGTTTATTGCCTTCCCGATGGATATGAAATCAGTGACCCGTCATTGGATGACATTAGACATGTCCTGAACCCGAGGTTTGATTTGTAATTTTTTTTTTCTAGTCTTCCGTGGGTATCCTTTTAAGTATGCATGTGCAAACAAAGGATTTGAATTCATTTGGTTCTTTATATATAGGTTTACTGAGGAACAAGTTGAGCAGATTGACAAAAACAAGCAATGGTCTAGGGCACTTGATGGTTCTGATTACCTTCCTGGAATGGTACTGATTTTTGTTCTCACTTGCACAAGATTCCATATATGCTTCTATTGCTGCTGTTGTCAATTCATATGAGTTCGATATTATGTTTCAAATTCCTAATTGGTGCTTGTTCAATACTTTAGAGTTCCCATTTAAGTTACTTGGGATAGAAGAATTTTTATTCCTTAGCAAATAAGTAATGAGCTATTATGAATCTATAATGTGGCTAGCCAACAATTAGACTTACGATAGAGTTGTTTCACAGTTTTGATAGACTTGTATGGAGTATAGAAAGAACCAGTAAGCATGATTTCAGTGCTTACCTAATGTGGTTTTTGGTTTACTGCAGTACTCTCACATCTTTGTAATTCTCTATGTTCCGTTAGATTCTCTCTCATATGTAAGGTTAGACAAACCTATGTTGAACCACATTAAGTACTGTCTTTTCATGTGTGCAAGGGTGACGTATTTTGTGATTGATCTCTCTGATGGATACACTTCCATAACAACTTACGTCTTAACAATCTCTAGCGAGGTGTTAATTTTGGGTCCTAATTATTGTTACCTCTGTTTTCTTAATTTTCAAAAAACAGGTGGGGCTCAATAACATTAAGGAGACTGATTTTGTCAATGTCACAATTCAATCTTTAACGAGAGTCACTCCACTAAGAAACTTTTTCCTCATCCCTAAGAATTATCAACATTGCAAGTCTCCGCTTGTTCATCGATTTGGGGAGCTCACTAGAAAGATATGGCATGCACGGAACTTCAAAGGACAGGTTTGACCTTGTTGACTCCATATTTTTGTCTCTAGTTATTGTTGTTAAGAATGAATGTTCACATGTGTCAAATCTTTAATGTCTACAGGTGAGTCCGCATGAGTTCCTGCAGGCAGTTATGAAAGCCAGTAAGAAACGGTTTCGAATAGGAGCACAATCTGACCCAGTTGAATTCATGTCATGGCTGCTTAATACACTGCATGCAGATCTTAGAACTTCAAAGAAGGATAGTAGCATCATCTACGAGTGCTTTCAGGTTTTCTTTCTTATTCTTTATCTACTTTGTTCGTTTTATAACGTATTGCTGTTGCTGCACCTGAACTTGCAGTATTTTTTAGACTAAATATAATGTTCTGTGCTGATAGGGGGAACTGGAGGTTGTGAAGGAGATTCCTAAGAAAGGTATTGAGAAGAAAGAAAATGGTGATGACCAGAATACAGATGTTGTGACTGAAAATAATGGCATTGTCAAGGAAACTTACAAAATGCCTTTCTTAATGCTTGGATTGGATTTGCCCCCACCACCTCTTTTCAAAGATGTTATGGAGAAAAACATCATACCCCAGGTACCTATGTCTTAGTAGTGTGTTGGAAGTTCATTCTTTAATTGCCTTTTTTTATATTGGTTTTAATGTCTTTCTCATAATTTCCATGTTTATGTTTCTGAATAAAAACATGTTGGAATTTGCTTCAATTACATACATTGCCTCTATGTTCGCAACTTGTGGACCAGGTAACTAGATTGCTTTGCGGAGTCTGTAATTTATATATCTTTGTAGACTGTTAAGATGGATATATTCCTTATTTTCATTGGTCTGTATAGAGGCTAGTTGATTTTTTATTATCTAAATATGGGGGTTCAATCTGTCTTTGGGCTCCTGTTCTATAACGTATGTAGTTACTCAAGTTCTAATTGCAAATTAGAAATACAGCAACTGTTCTTTGTGCCAAGCAATTTGGTTCTCCATTTTTCTTGAATATTAAACTGAGCCCTGAATGATGCCAAAGCATGCCCTTTACTTTATGCATGTCTCGTCAGTCTCGCATTGTGAGCTTTTTAAATGTTCATAGCACACCTATGCTATCACTACACCTTATTCCAGAAATGGTATGTGGGGAAGAGAGAATTGATGATGAGAATTCTTTTTGAGTTTTGTTTTAAAAATGTTTTAATATTATTTTTTAAAGTTTGTGTGTTATGGTTTAGGTCCCACTGTTCAACATCTTGAAGAAATTTGATGGGGAGACTGTGATTGAAGTGGTCCGACCTCGCATAGCAAGGATGAGGTATCGAGTCACCCGATTACCACAGTATCTTATTCTCCACATGCGGCGATTTACCAAGAACAACTTCTTTGTGGAAAAGAATCCGACTTTAGGTGAGATTACATGTTTCTGGAGTTATTTTCATTTGGATAATCATTTAAGGCCATGGATCCTTGCCTGATCAAGTACAACCTTTTGCCAACTGATGTAATTCCTATTGCAGTCAACTTTCCTGTGAAGAACCTTGAATTGAAAGACTACATCCCCTTGCCAACCCCAAAAGAGAATGAGAGATTGCATTCAAAGTATGATTTGATTGCCAACATTGTTCATGATGGCAAACCTGGTGAAGGTTCATACAGGGCATTTGTACAGAGAAAGTCAGAAGAATTATGGTAAGTCTATTCCATACTTATTGGCATAAATGTAAACTAAGAGAAATGCAACTGTATGTATGGGCTGACATCTGGAAATGTTTTCAGGTATGAGATGCAGGATCTTCATGTTTCAGAAACTCTTCCCCAGATGGTTGCCCTTTCTGAGACTTATATGCAGATATATGAGCAGCAGCAGTAAACTTGGGACAGTTTCAAGTGCCAAATTTTGACGGTGAAGGAATTGATATTATATGTTTACCCAAAGAAAAAACCCTCGGTACTGTAGAGTAGGCAGCTGTAAAGTGCTGAAGGAACGTAGCAAAGAAGCTTCTTGGGCATATAAGATTATTTGCATAAAATTCAATTGCGTTAGTCTTGTGCTGCCTGCTGAGGGCTAACATTAACATTAGATTATTAAACAAACATGATTTGCAAGTGGTTTAGTGGTGGTTGTTGTCACAAGTTTAATAATTGCAAGACTACCCTTCTTCTTATTCACTGTACAACCTTTGAAGTTTGAAGCAGTTGGATGGCTCATCTCATTCATAGTTGACACAAACAAAAGATGATCTTTGAGTTGGTCAAATCTGACCCTATGATCTTACATACATACATACATACATGCATATACATACAGCCAAAGACACTAAGGAAAATTAGGACATAGTAAATGGGCTAGTTGTGTTTTGGACTTAATCAAATGTTTTTAAAGTTTTCTTAGCTTGAAGTCAATGGGCCTTGTCAAGGGCTTTAGGGTATGTTTAATTAGTATTTTAAATTACGATTTTACCCTCTTTACTATTTAGCTCGCATATTTGTTTCTGTTCAAGCGCTCTCTACTATTTCGCCCTGGTGTTTTCTTCGTTCTTTGATTTTCATTATGGCGAGCTAGATCCTTCATGCATTTCGTGATTGCTCTCCTTCATGCGTTTCGTGATTGCTATCCTTCATGTGTTTTGATGTGATTTGAGGCATCAACTGTAGGTTTTGATTTTTGTTCAATTTGTTTTCCTATTTGAGCCATTCATTGATTTGGTTTATTTTATTTTATTTTGATCAGATTGGAGTTTCTTTTATGTTTCGTTGTTGTTTCTATGATCAGATCTTGAAGTCTTGTTTGTGTTCAATTTTTCTATGTTGGGCGTTGTTCTCTTGTTATGGTTCTAGCTTTAAAACGTGCGTCTAGAAAAATATGCACCATTAAATTAAGAAAATATTGCTATGCGCGGCATAATGCACGTAATTAAAAATAGAAAAAGGGAACAAATGTTTTTCAGTGATTAATTTAAACTGGGTTAACAAATCTGGACCTTCTTTCGCGCAAATTCAAAATAAAATTTGATTCCTATGTATCAAAACTCAAACAAAAATATTATAGGTATCAAATCCTCATTAGTAAGGATTTTTATCGTTAATACCTAATTTTTCTATTAAAAACAAAGCAGAAGTGCATCATGAGAGGCTAGTATTACAGAAACGAAATAATTTGTTTTTTTTTTTTTTTTTGTTGGTAAAAGACATTGAAATATTTTCACGTGTATTTGTTTAAGCCCTTCTAAATGTTATTTTAAATATAAAAAAATTATTAAAATTGAGACATTGGTATTGTGGTGCGTAAACGGTGCACTAATCAAATTTGGTCTTGACCAAAAAAATAAAAATAAAAATTGGTCGGGTATATTGTGGATTCCCCCGAAAATAGGAGCAGGTCAAGGCCAGATCATCCAAACTGACCAGGCCGACGAAGATGGAGTACGAGAACAAACTCGTCCTTGCTCCCATGGTTCGCATTGTGAGTACCTACTTGTACTTCTCCCACAAACCCTTCTAGCTGCCGTCGTTTCTTTCTTTTCTATTTTTATCTTGGGTTTTAATACAAAATTAACTTCTAAGTACTGTTTAATTCATGCTATTTACTTGTAAATTTCTTAAACTGGTTAGGGGACGCTGCCATTTAGATTACTGGCTGCTGAATATGGTGCGGATATAACCTACGGTGAGGAAATTATCGATCATAAATTTGTCAAATGCGACCGCAGATTAAATGGTACATTTTATTTTTTGATTTTTTTTTGCTACAAGTTATTGATTCATGGTTTTGGTTATAAATTTCTGTTAATTTTGTTAATATTTTTCCTGGAGAGTTACGGAAGCAGATAATTTGGTGTATATTGCTTGTGGGGTACTTCATTTTTTGACAAGCTTTATGAAATTTTTGTGTGCTCGTTGCTCAGAGAAAATAGGGTCCATTGATTTTGTGGAGAAGGGGACAGGAAGTGTCGTTTTCAGGACTTGTGATGAGGAAAAAGATCGAGTAGTGTTTCAAATGGGTACTTCTGATGCTGTAAGGGCTCTCACGGCTGCTCAGATGGTGTAAGTTGATTGTTGTTGCATTCCATTGTTCTCCTTTTGTTGTGAAGTTCGTAATTTTTTGAGATTGGTCAATTTTATCGTAAAAAGTAACAAGAAATTAATTGATGTAGTTAGTGGATTGTAACTTTAAGTTGATACTCTTGCTTCTATTGATTGTGAGAGCTCAAGGCGATCAATATGGTTTTTATCAAAGTCATCAGGATCATGGGACGTGTGGGAAGACAATATGCTCCTGTGGTCTTGTATTCACTATTTGAGCTTGGGGTTCATTTTGAACCACTTATTGCTTCTGTAGGAAGCACAAAACTCAGAAGTACATGGGTGAATACATGAACAATTGCATACAAGCCTATAAATTAATAGGTTAAAGCATTTAGTGATTTGAATAAGTTTTGCTAAGTTTAGGAATGTTCACTACATGTTCCTAAGTTTTTTCCTTTGGATTTTCACCTTTTATTTATTTTTTTCTTCCACATATATCGTGCTATGTTGGATCATAGATAAGGTTGTTTTTAACTGTAACCCATTAAAGATTGGCTGTAATTGAATCAACCCTTAAATCTCTTTTCTTTGAAAGAATCAGGTTTAGGCAGCAACTTGTTTTGAAAATGTGGCTTTATCCTTGTTTGGGTTCATGCATAGAATAGTGGTCTGGTATCTACTCTTCCTGGCTGAACCTGTTGTGTATCTGTTTCATCTCATGCCCCAATCTGATCTTCTTACTCAATTTGGACAAAACACCCAAGTATGTGATATGGGTCTGTGTCCATCTCAATGTAACATATGGGCTTGTCTCAACAGTATCTTATATACTTATTGACCTTTTTCCTTTTAGGTGTAAAGATGTTGCAGCAGTGGATATAAACATGGGTTGCCCAAAGTCATTTTCTGTGAGTGGAGGAATGGGTGCCGCATTATTGACTAAACCAGATCTTATTCATGATGTATACAGTCTTGTTTCCCCAAAGATGCTTTTTATTTCCATCTGAAGAGTGTTTGCAGTTGATTCCTAAGTCACTTTTTCCGTTCTGTTCAGATTTTGACTACATTAAGGAGGAACATGAGTATACCAGTGACTTGTAAGATTCGACTACTAAAATCATCTCAGGATACTGTGGAATTGGCCAGGCGAATTGAAAAAACAGGAGTTTCTGCTCTTGCTGTCCATGGAAGGTGATCTCTAATATATCCTATTGGTAAAGTTGCGCTTAGCATGCTATGTTATCATTTTAATTTAGCCCCTCACTCAACTGTAGTTGAAGATGGAATCTATGTAAATGGATGTAATGGGTTCCCTCTCACAGCTGGATGTACGACATTCTAACCCCATTTTCTATCAAACCATAAGATAACAAACCAAAAAGCAACCCTAATAGAACCCTAGTTCAAAACTAGCTATTCTTACCCCTGGTTATGTGTTAGTTCAGGTTCTGCTAACACCCCTAGAACCCTGTTGTTGTTACCCCTGTAAATCCTAACTTTTGTATTAAAAAAGAAAAGAAAAGAAAAGAAAAGTACTCTTAGGTCCCAAGATTTAAACCGCCATGCTGTCCTGTATAAAGGCTGTCAACGTAAATCTTGAATTGGATTTTAGTCAAAAAGAGTTTTATTAGAGTATGATGATAATCATAAAAAGAGATAAGGTGTTGAGTTGTAACAGCTTAGTGAACATTGGGCCAAAACAAAAATTACCTTAGAAAAAAGAAAACAAGACAAGGTGAGTACCAATATTTGAGAGCATGGGAGGAATAAGAAATGTGAAGCATGGTAATTTTGGGAGCCATCATTAAGACAATGACACCAACTTTAGTCCTGTATTGGAAAGCCATTGGTTTCGACACCAATGGTAATCTGCGGATGAGACACTGCTGCCGTAAGTGAAGAGAACTGTCGAGACTGAATAGGTCAGGAAGTGGAACTACCAACTGTAGAATTTTTGGGAGTGAAATCAAACGAGGACACCTATGCCCTACCCTAATTATGCTTTTTGAAAACTGTAGGTTCAACTGTCATGAAAAAGAAATCTTATTTGCATAGGATGCTATAAAAGTATAAACTGAGGGGGAAAAACCAGCTTCAAAGTTGGCTATATGTCAATGTTAAACAAAATGGAACTACATATCCATACCCTATTGCCTTGCAATGTTACATTATAAAGAATGGAAAACAACTGACAGATAAGTTTAACATTGCAAAGCAATAGGGTATAGATAAGTTTAAATTGGAATCCCTATGAGTCAAATGCATCTTGATAGGTTTTTCATGCTACATATTGAGTCACTTCAAATATAAGGATAAATATTTTCATCCCATTATATTTCTTTAAAGTGGGATGGTCCCACTATGTCTTTGTAATAGTGAAATAATATCAATCTATTTGTCTCAATTGCATGATGTTCGGTCTGATGCGTTTCTTCTCAATAAAATGCAGAAAAGTTCCAGATAGGCCGCGAGATCCGGCTAAGTGGAGTGAGATTGCTGATGTTGTAGCATCACTATCCATTCCAGTTATAGCAAATGGCGATGTTTTTGAGTATGACGATTTTCAGCGTATTAAAGTTGCTACAGGTAGCAGTAATACAATCTTTAAATAATCTTTTGATAATAGAATTTCTTTAGGACCATATCGTACTGTTTGTTGAGAATAAAAATTTCACCTTGGGTATTTCAAGCCGTGCACCATAAAGTAGCCTTCATCTTGAGAATTAATATCCTGGTCATGAAAGTACCCCAATTTTATATCAACCTTCATGTTTGTATTAGCTTGACATATTTCATTTATGTCGAGGTTAATATATAGGGATTCATTGTCAGATAAATATGTTAGAAGCCCGCTTCATGGGACCAGGCAATTAATGTAACATTGTGTGTCATTAAAATGATAAAAATCGCAAAATATTTGAATAGAATAGATTTGGATTTTGGCAATAAGCTTACTATGGTTAGAAGAACCATAAATATACTAAATATAGTTTCTTCTAAATGACTACATATAATGTTATGTTATGAATTTGAAATGACTAGTTTCAATTGAATCCACGTATTTCCTCTATTTCGTCCTATGCAATACAACCTTTTATGCATTGTTAAGATTATGCTCACACAATTTAAATAAGCTTAAATTTGAAATCTCGCATTCCAAATGGAACTTAAGATTATGTATACATATTACATGGGTATTTGTGTGTGCGTTGAATGTATTAATGATGCATAAAGGTACCTCATCTGTGATGGTTGCAAGAGGAGCACTTTGGAATGCTTCAATTTTCTGTCCGAAAGGAAAATTACCATGGGAAGAGGTGAAGAGAGAATATGTTAGGAAGGTAGCTTCTCCTAATGATTTTATTTTATTTTTAATTTTTCAGTTGTGCGTCAAAGAATAAGATATTGGTCATTTTCCCCAAGTGGCGTGAGAGTCAATTTCATGTTTTCAACTCGGACATATTTGAAAATCTTTTACAGTGCATTTTTATTTATTATAATAGTAGGTCAGCGTATCCACATTTTCACTTTTATCATGAGAGACTGGAACTAGGCATGCTAACCTGCTTTTGTACTTTTGACTGCAGAGTATCTTATGGGATAATGATATTAAAAGCACAAAGCACACACTGAAGGAAATGATAATGCATCATTCTTCCCTTGAACTCCCAGAAGGAAAGGCTGTGATAAAATCAGATTCCTTGGTAGATTTAGCGTAAGTGTGGTTTAGATTGCTTATGCATTGACACTACCCATTATATAATTTCATCTCTGTACACTGCTTGCATGATCCCTAACCCTGGACCTGGATCACTTTTTTCCGTGTAATATTCCCTAGGGTTTGTGATGATTACTGAAATTAGAAATTCTATGAGTATTTCTATGCTTTTTCAGTTCTGTATCACTATCAGCAATATAAACCCATGTGTTGTGTTAAGTTCTCTGGGAAAGAGTCTTCTTTTAGTTAACTAATTGTACAATTTCCCCTCTTTTTCATTCTCAGGCGGCTCTATGGAGAGGAGAAGAGTTACGATTTTTTCGTTAAAACTGATTCTTTGTAAATGAAAAGTAGATATATATGATCGTGGTCCTTGTAGGGCAGTGTTTGCCATCCATCTTCGGGACAACCAAGTGAGTTTTGCTTTTCAGTTATACGTTTCATACATCTATTCGGCTAACTAGACACCAAGAATATATATTTACCACTGACCACTTCATTTTGTACCCCACTATGTTCTGTTTAAATCTGTTGCTTCATGCATGGTAGTAAGAAAATTGTTTATCAGAAGCTGGTGAAGGCTATAAAGTTCGATGTCCTGCTATCATTATTTCCCCACCTATTTGTATATTGAATGGATATTCTATTACCAAAATTCTGAAAACAATGTGTTGTGCAGGTTATATTACCATTATTGGGGACACGCTAATTTTAATTCGCCTAAGATTGGCTGGTGGTCTTGGCTTGTAACAATGCAGATTTGGTGCTTTCTAAAGCACTATTTCTTCTTGAATTTATTTATCCCAATTGTAAAAGTTTTCTCAGTTACCGAGAAATGGAGTTTGATAACAGTCTTGCAAACCTTACATTTACTTCAGGAGTATTACTATAGTGCCCTTGAATTCGGTTAAATCTTACTTTACCCCTCGAAAGTTAAAGTGACATACTTAACTCCCTTGACTGTGATTTCGTGTTCTACTTTACCCCCTACCGTTATCTTCGTTAATAACTCTATCAATTTTAAAGACATGTCATGGATATTTTAGTTTTTTTACAACAAGTGATGATGTGTCTGTGAATGGTCTACTTTTTTTATTTAAATTGAATGAAATATATAATAAAATAATGTAATTAGTTGTTTAATTATATATATATATATAATGGAAATTAATAATAAAAATTCTTTCTTCTCTATGCTTTGAAAAATCCTTCTTTTATAGGCACCTTCATAGTGCACCTGGCGCACCTGGCGCATGAGTGCGCCATTTGTCCTTTTTGAAGCATGTGTAGGGCACATGTCAATTGATTTGTAAAAATAAATAGAAGAGAACTTGCTATAACAGGTCAAGATAATAGGTTTTCTCTTGGGCCTTTCTACGCTATAGCATCTCTCCATCTTAACCCTAATCCCTCATCTCATTTGAGATTTTTTTTCATAAACAAAAAAGCTCCCACTCTTTATAACTTTGTCGACAACGACCAACAAACAACCTATCTCATAGATTGATAAGCTCTCCTCTCACTCGACAGTAACAAAGGTTTGATGCAAACTGTGTGCGGCATCTTCAATCTCAACCCATGTATAATATCTTACTGTTGTATATTCGAATCTTAAACCCCATCTCATCGCAGATTTAAGATTCACTAAAAACCCCATCCTCAGCAACATTATTTTCCTTGGTTTTGTTTCATATTCTTTTTTATTATGTTCCATTTCTTGTTTAGCCTAATATTGTATGGGTTTTATGTTGAATTTTTTGGCATTCCAAGTTACTTTATTACTAGTTGGATTTGCTCTCAACGTCTGCTTGATATGCAATTTTATATTTAAATTCCATTTTTTGGCAGGCCAGTTTGAAGTTCTAGAACTTGTTACTTATCATTCATATTATACGATTTTTGCCTGGGAATAAATATTTTTCATAATTTTTGAATTTTCATTGCTATTATTTTTCTTTGTGTTGAATATGAATGGTGCTCCTCAAGTTCATATTGAATGTTGAAATTTCCATTCATATCGTTAATAATAAGTTTGGTGGTGATTTTGGTGTCTTTTTTTTAATTTTAATAATGTACTTGTGTATGATATGGATAATGAGTGAATTTATTTGGGGCTGTTGCTTTTACTAGCACAAAACAAATGCTTGCATGTAGGATTTTGTTTGAGTTATTGTCTTCTTCCATGCGTGAACAAGAGCAGAAACTTATAGTGCAATTGTTTCAGAAAACACAAGTTTTTAATGTGTGGTGCATTATGCTATTAAGACCATAAATAGTGTCACTGGCTGGCAAAAATAAGAGCAGAAATTGTGTTGTAGTTTGTGATGTATGTGTGTACTATCTAAATAATAACACAACTCATGCAATGCAAACAAATATTTCTAATTCTGGTAGTCTCAGAAAAAAGTTAAGCGATGCAATTTCTGTTAGAAATCAATTAAAGGCCAAGTTTTGGCAAGGGATTGCATTTCTTGTGTTGATTTTAATTTATTTATGTCTGTCAATTGCATTACTATTAAATACTTGCATAAGTAACATAATGCAATAAAATGAGGACCAATATGCAATTGCTTATGTAATTCTTGTTGCTTTTTAATCTTTGAACTTTTATTGTTTTTTTCACTGTTTTCTGTCTCTTACGTTTTGCATGCTTCAGGTTTTTCTTGTTTATGTTCCTGGCTTTTGTATAAGCCTTAGTTTTACAGTCTGTCTAACCTCTTTGATATTCTTTCTATTTGTGTAAGATCTCTAATTTGATGTCAAGAAATGATTTTTCATTCTCTGTTTGACATAGAGGCTAGACCAAACTATTGGTTAGGCTCTGTTTTAGGGTAGTTTAGTTCAATGGTCATACAAGGATATCTTTCCAATTTGAATATATTTTAGGGGAGTTTAGTTCAATAAATCCGTTTTATTGAAATACCTCTCTCGTTGAATTGATTTTCAATGGATCATGACATAGTGTTGTTTTTCATAATAATCATATTCATGTAATAATTATATCCATCAAATATGTTCTTGATGTTAGAGTAATAAATATGATTGAATTTTTTATATTAGAGTAATACATAGATTCACATTCTATATTGCATTTTGTAACACAATTGAGAATAATGATTTTTATTTTATGTTTTATGTAGGTGTTCAATGTGTTTCCTATTGGATGAGACTTGTTGAGACTGATATTTATATTCTATATTTTACGATGTAACCTATAATGTTTTGAAGACAATTTGTTTTATATAGCCATTTTTTGTTGGATTTTGGTTATGTATTTAAAGTTATTTAATTTATGCTATTGTAAGTAAATGCAACTGCCGTGCCAGAATATACCAGTTACAAACAAAAAATTACAAAGTACCTGGTCTTGTTATTTTGTAGTTATACATCATTTTGAACTAAGAGTTCTCTAATTGAAAGCAAATTTTGCGCATTATTGGCAGTTGGGCAGATGTGTTCAAGCGGCCCAAAATAGGAGGGCAGAGTACACTAACACTTCATCTCTTTCAGTACCATTATCACCACCATGCATCTTCTCTACCTCGTTAAAATCATCATGTCCATAAAATCTGTCCCAACATCACCTCTCACATCAGCGACATTTGTATTATTCTGAGTTACTTCATTGCTTTCAACAATGGCAACTAAAGAACAACCCATTCGACTACTATTGTGTTGTGATATGCATACTATCAATTACATCATTTGTCAATTCTTTATCTTCTATACTCACGAGTAAGGGAACTAGTTTTGAAGGTGTTACCTCACAATTGTACTTCATAAAAAATTTGACATCATCATCGTCCTCAATCTTTATGTGCTTCCACTCATTCGAGGCCACCAAAACTGAGAACTTTAAGCAAACCTTGTCTTCCTTGCTGTTTATATTACCAATCTGATGCACACGATCCAACAGTTCAGCAAATGTGATGGTACGTGGAACTATAAGCCTTTTGAGTCACCCCCTTTGTATTTGCACATCTTCTTTGAGGTTACCCATTTTCCATTGTAGCAAACCAGAATAACAATCGTCTTCATTTCTGACCATTACAAAACAACATTTCATGAACACAATACAACCACAATAACCAGGCAATACATTGGCAATATAACAACAATACGATAGCAAAATAACAAGAGCACAATAGCAATACAACACTAACACATCAGAGAACAAGGATTCATCACAATCACACTATAGAAATCTACTACATGAAATGGAAAATCCCAAGTTTCAAGATTAACATATCCAGAATCTAAATGCAATTGGTAAAAACCCAAATGGATGAGCATGAAGATTCAAAAAACCTAACTGAAAGCAATTAAAACCAAAACCAATTTAACAAAAACCCAAGCAATCAAAATAAAACCAATTTCACAAAATCCCATAGATATTAAGAAAATAACCATCAACACTACCTATTCGAGGTCAATGATCCAGTAGAGCTTCAAGGTTGCAAGCAGCTATTAGAAGACATACCTAAAAGATGGGGTTCAAGGAGGGTTTCATTATTCAGAAGAGAGAGAGAGAGAGAGAGAGAGAGAGGAGAGAGAGAGAGAGAGAGAGGAGAGAGAGAGAGAGCGAGAGAGAACACAAAGAGAGTGAATAGGGAGTTGAGCGAGCTGAGAGAGAACTACTTTCAGCAAAAGTGATATGTGTGCGAAAATAGGACAATTAATATATATTTATAGGTGATAGTTGTAAAAAAAATTGGGAATGAGTGGTATTTTCAGTTAAAATTATAAAAAAGGTGGCATTTTGAGCTATTTCCCTTTATTTTTTGTAATTTAAACTTTCCAAACTGAGCTTGATGACATTGTTTAGATCTCAATGAAAACAAACCCAATATTTTAACATAACAAGCATCACATAGAACATCTTATTAATTTATTTTTTGTAACTTAAACTTGCTAAACTGAGCATGATGCCACTATTTAGATCTCAATGTACATATAAATAGTGCTATGTTCCCTAGGTATTTTGACAACTTTATACACATTTCATGCAATTTCAAAACCTGCTGCCTTGCACGAGCACCATTGCTAGTGTTAACTAAAAACTGAAAACTGAAAACTGAAATGGAAGAGCCGGTCAAATTTCGAATGTTTCCTTTCCCAAGTACTATTTTTATTTTAGTCCCAAGTCCCTTTTCGCCCCCTTGCCGCTTGTACTATCTTTATTTTAGTCCCTATTCCCTCTTCCGCCTTATAACAAACACCTAGTCCGCATAATTCTCAACCTCTCTATCAATGCTAAGGGCTTTTCCTGTGGTTTCCCGCCTACCCATTCCCTCTCCCACAAGTACTCAGACTACGTAATGCTCGTGAGAGACTCAGAGAACGATGGCTCAGTTTTAGCTTCTTCTTGTTTTCTCTTTCCATTTTAGTAATTTGTAATTTTTCGCAGGAGTGTTTTGAGCAGAATGAGCTCAACAGCCCCATCACCAAAATTCCCAAATTTGTTCCTGTGGAAGAGAGTACCATCCATTCGATAAGTAAACCTGATGGTATTTAATTATGCTCTTAATTTGTTTATATCTGATTATGTTTGGGTTTGTTTCTTTTGTCCATTGTGTTTTATGGTGCAAAAGAAATTCAGTAAGCATGAATTCTTTGATGTGATATTGCAGGTATCAGGTTTAGTCTTGTGTCGTATAACATTTTGGCTCAGGTATGGCTATGGCATTCACTCGTCTCACTTAATTTCCCATTTTGTGCCCAATTCATTTTGTTATTGTTTGTTCCTTTTGGTACTTGTCATATGAATTGGTATTCGACAATCCATTGTGTCACACAAAGTACTGGATAATGAGAATAATTATCTTTATTTAAATAAATGGAAGTTACGTATAACAAAACAACTGAATTCAGCTCTTCTTTTTAGCTTTCTATGCCGCCTTGTTCCTACATGGTTTACCCGATAAACAAATAACATTTGCTTCACAGTACTAGAGAGGTAGGAAAACTGAAAATTTAAAATTTTCTCATTCTCAAGTCAGCTCTTATTTTTATTTTTATTCTATAACCTTCTATGTTCTAATTTGATCAGCAATGGAATGAATGCGAACAAATGGTATTGATTGTATGCAATGTTGTGTGTGTGTGGGACATAATTTATTTTCTTTTTGTTGATGATTGAGGCAGAAGGCCCAAATGGAAAGAAAATATAGAGCCAGAAAACTTAACTAACTTAACTAATTATGCTTCTGGATTCAGTAATCTCAAAATAATCTTCCACCAAGAACAGAGCATAGATAGGCCGGGGCCCAGTAAACTCATAATAGCCCAAATTATCTTTACCGTGATATAAATTGTAGTGTTGGCTTTATTATGTATATCATAGTGCATTTGTTTGACAGACTTTGATGAATATTTTATGTTCTCATTATTCCGTGTCAAAATGATATGTTTATGTTTTATTGTAAATTTCATTTCATTTTCTCGTCCTTGGTTCTAGTAATTCTCTTATCCTGTCTTACGGCATAATTTGTTTTTGATGCGGAAACACCCTACAGATTCCATGTCGGGAATTTAAATCCCCTGTGAATGTTAACTGTCATATGTTGATTTCTGTTCTCATATTTTGATAATTTAAGTTTAACAATTCCTGGACTTATTTTTGGTATGTGTAGGTATATGTAAAGAGTTCCTTGTTTCCACACTCTCCATCCCCTTGTCTGAGGTAGAAATCATAACTTAAGTATTTTTTGAATAAGTTGCTCTATTGTTTTCTAAAATTGATATGAATACCTTTCATTAGTAGTTATTGTATTGGCATGATATTATAATAATATTGGGTCATAGTGATACATAGCTCAAAATCTTTCCTGCTAAGGAACTTAGACCCATGTATAAGATAGAATTTGGGTATCATTTTATGTATACAACAACTAGATGTATGTTTTTGCTTGCTCATATGGTATGTTTGAACGCTGCATATGCCTACTACATGGTTTTTACATTTTTTTTACATTAATTAACTTCAGATTGCAATTATCTTTTGATGGTTTGGTAATATATGTGCCCATTCGGCAAAGTCCCAGGATTTTAGGAAATTTTTTCTTCCACACATATAAAAGTCTTTCACATGTAAGTGCATTTGATCCTGTTAAATAATGAGTTTGGTCTTATGATTGATCTTATTACTAGACAGACTACACAAGAAAATTAGATAGATCTTTTCTTTTCTTTTTTGAATAGGAAACGTAATAAATAATAAATAAAAAATAGTTGTGAGAAAGATAGACAAGATGGCCATCTAAGTGCAACCAATAAACCGCAAAATTACAAGAAAGTTAAATATTTGACTAACTTATGACATTCGTCACAATGTATTTGGTACAACACTCGCTTGAAAGTATTTAAAGTTAATGTATACTTCTTATTGTTCAGATTTTATACTTATCCTTAAGATTTTATCTGGTTTACTGTAATCTGAACTGGTAATATTATGTTTGGAAATATGTTTGTTATAGGTGGAAAGCTCGCTCACAGGCAATTTTGAGTGTTCTCAAGAACCTTGGAGCTGACTTTCTCTGCCTGCAGGTTTGTTTTTCTTGCCTTTGCTATTGTATTTTAAGTTTTCTTTTTTAGACTGGGAAGTTAACATTCCTTCCCGATGGCTGCCTGTTTTGAGTTTAAATACTTGCTATCCCGTATATAACCTGTTGTTTTGAACAATATAAAATTATTTCCAGGAAGTTGATGAGTACGACAGCTTTTACAAAGGAAATATGGAGAGCAATGGCTATTATAGTTCTTATATTCAGAGAAGTGGGCAAAAGCGTGATGGATGTGGAATTTTTTATAAGCACGACATGTATGTTTTAATTGATTCCTTTTTCCAGTCCAAAATGTATGAATCAAATACTTTTTAACTAGATATGCCATCAAGAAAAATAGGACAATTTGTTTGTAATCGGGGCTGGATAATAACAAGGCCTAGTCTTCAATTTCTGGGATGAATACCTCAAGAAAGTAAAGTGGTTGATTTAGCCAATTCGTTGGGTAGTGGATTGGGGAGTTGGTGTTTGAAATACTTGGGGCTTCCACTTTAATCCATGGGTAGGTAATTTTTGGGATCTGGTGGTGAAGAAAGTGGAAAAGAGATTGGTAGAAAGCATTTCTCTCAAGAGAGGTAGGTTAACTTTGATTCATTCAGTTTTAAGCAGTTTGCTAACCTATTATCTCTCTATTGGCCAGTTGAATAGAGCAATTGATGAGGACCTTTTTGGGAAGGTTTTGATTAGGGGAAGAAGGATGACTTAGTTGGAGCTAGTGTTTCCGGTTAAAGAGAAGGGCGGTTTGGGAGTTGCCAATTTGATAAAATAGAAATAAGGTGTTACTTGGTAAATAATTAAGGAAATTTCTGTTGGATAAGGTTTTCATATGACATGCTGTCATTAGTAAGAGAATGGACAATTCTAACCCAATAGCAGCGCCAAAGAAGGAAGATGGAAAGTATTCTTTGTAGACTCGCACCGCTAAGAGTTTCATTTCACTGCCCCTTGAAAGACACTGACCAAGGTTTAGACTCTTTTGTGTCTTGCTGCCATTTTGGGGTGGATAATGGAGGGTCAGATTTTGAGAAGAGAGTTGGGTTGTGGATACTCTGTTGATAACTTTTTTGTGTCTTTACAGATTGTCCATACACCATAGTTTTGACATATCTAGAACGGTCAGCTCTTTGCTTCCTTTAAGTGGAGGTTTAGGCTTTCACAGAAACTTGAGTGGATCTGACATTGGGTAGGTCACTTCTGTTCTAATTTCATTGGAAACTGTTATTTTGCAGCCCTCTAGTCCCGATAGGAGGAGATGGACGTTGGATTCTTCGGGAGTTTTTCTTGTAAATGTTATTTCAAGGAGTTATTTGAAATCCATCTATTTTTTCGTTTCAACCCTATTCTATGATTTGGAAGGTTTAATTTAAGTGACTCCTATGTGCCCTTGGTTGGATTAAAGGTCATGGTAGGGCGAACACTTGTAACTTGATTCAATGATGAATGTTTGTCTTCTTCCCGTTCGTATCATGTGCAAAGGAGGAGGGAAACTGTGGACAATTTATTTCTTTGAAGCTCTCTTTTCAGAAAGGCACACTGCTTTTGGGGTGGAAAGAAGGCTAAGGTGGTATGAAATTATGAGGTACCGGCTGTATTCTGGGTAGTGTGGTAGGAAAGGACTGAAAGGATTTTTAAGATTTTAAAGGCGAAGGGCATAGGTTGAATTTGATAAACTAGGTTTTGTACTTCATTTTGGGCTTCCTTTTCTTTAGAATCTTGGGAAATTCCATATTTTTTTTTGCCAATTTTGAAGATTGGAAAGATGTTTATCTAGATGTTATGGTTTTTATTGTACGTTAGCTTGATTACATTGTCTCTTTGTATTTAGTGGATACCTCATCCATGAAAATTTTAACTGTTCTGATTCTAAAAAACTTTTGTTTCATGTCCAAAAAAAAAGGGTTAATCCAAAAGAAGGGAGGGGCTAAGCCTAGCAGGGAAGTAGTAGATTAAGAAATACAAGAGTTAGGTTAAGTGAAAAGCAATATTAGGGTTCTTGAAAAAAGTTAAAGAAATATTAGGCAAGTCATATTTATTGCCTATTGGGCTCACCTACAATGTCAATGTCATGGTCTCATGTAGTAGTTGATACTAATGCTCAATTATTTGAATGTCAAAACTTTTAACATTGTCCCTAGCAATGGGAGATAGATATTGTGACAAATTTACATTATTCCTCTCTAGCCATTTTAAACTTCTCAGCTTTGTGTTACGTATTCAAATTTGAATCTAAAACTATCTTAATTGTGCTTGTTTAAATGTTCTTCGTCCTTCAGGGCAGAGTTGCTGTTAGAGGAGAAAATAGAATACAACGATCTTGTAGACTCAATTCTAGATGGAAATAGACTTGGTGATGATAAACCAAATAACAAAGAAGCTATCGAAAACAAAGACGATGGACCCAAAATTGGTAACTTGTATTACTTATTCATTGTTTTTAAATTTGATCACTTTCCATGTTCATGTGTTTGTTTGGGTGCTTTTAATCACAGCTTCCTTCTGTCCGGTTACGGATTTTTCCACAGTATTATTGATCATTGATGGCTACAATCTGGTTTCTGGTAAAGTTTCTTCACTCTGTCTTCAGGTTCAACATTACAAAGCGCCCTGGATCAGGGAGACCCTGATGATCCTCGTGTCAGACTGAAGCGTGATTGTGTTGGAATTATGGCAGTGTTCAAGCTTAAAAATCCTTCTAATCCTGTTGTTATTGTGGCAAACACACACCTTTACTGGTAAAAGTGGTTTATTCTTTTTTATTTGTTTCCTGCTATATTATGTGGTGTTGTGTTTATGCATCTTGGTCTATAAGCGTGGATTTAATATTTTTTATTGGTTCAAATTGTAAAGTGTATTGATGTTTATGCTTCAGGGATCCAGACTGGGCTGATGTTAAGCTTGCACAAGCTAAATATCTTCTGTCACGTTTAGCTCAATTTAAAACATTGGTCTCCCAGAGATTTGACTGCAGTCCTTCATTAATTTTATCTGGTGACTTCAATTCAACTCCAGGGGATAAGGTTTGACGCCCTTAAACTTCTTTCAATTTACCCAGTTTCCTCTTCCTATTGCCTATGGCTTGGTTTTGTTTGAATTGGTTTAGTTCAGATCCTTTGGGTTTTAGTCATTTACCATAGGGGGTGGGAACATGGGGAGATTGAGAAAGTAGGACATGTGGGTGGAAATAGCAGCACTCATGAGTAACAATATTGACATAGATTAATATGAGAGGTAAAAACTTGCCCGAAGTTTGGCTCAAATACTTTCTTCTTTTAGTTCTTCTAGTTGGTGGTGGCTTGTTGAAAGAGAAGTACCCCAGGGGATAAGGCTTATCATACACTTTCATTTCTTAGTTGACTTGGTTTCCTCTTTGCGTTGCCTATTGCATGTGCTTTGTGTGAATAATTTCAAATTCTTTAGGTTTTATCCTTGGCCCTTTCAGGCAGGTGGCGATGCATGCCTGCATGGGGTGCACATAAAAATAAAAAGATAAATTGATGCGAGTGTGAGTAAAGATAAAATAAGAATGTACAAATTGTTTGTGGAGATGTACTACCTTATCTGTACGGAGCTCCTATAAGTATACATGCAAAAGATTTGCAAGCTGAACTAAAGTTGCCGGCAAGTAGCTGGGTCGCTTAGAAAATATTTTACTTCAATGACCTCGAATACTTCCACTAGTTCTAACATTTTGAACATTCCAGGTTTACCAGTACCTTATTTCTGGCAACTCTTCATCTGCACCCTCGATAGATTTTGTAGATCTACCCATTCCCTTGTGCAGCGCATATGCTACTACACGAGGTGAACCACCATTTACAAATTACACTCCTGGTTTCACTGGTACACTTGATTATATATTCTTTTCCCCTTCTGACTGCATAAGACCAGTCAGTTTTCTTGAGCTTCCGGAACCAGGCTCGTCTGATCTTGATGGTGGATTACCAAACTTCAGTCACCCAAGCGATCACTTACCAATTGGTGTTGAATTTGAGATCTCCAGATAGGGAAAGAAACATTTGCTTCCTCAAGTTTTGTTTTATTTTTGCAAATTGACGCATAAGATTTTGTTTACAGTACCGTATTGTTACCATTGGAAGAGGTGAGTTTAGACTCGACAAAATTGTTGAAAAGTGGAGGCAATTTAAGGGGTAAACAAATTTTATGTTATCAAATAATTATTGTGGACAAATAAATAATAAAATAACAGATGTTTTTAATATTTGCCTTGAGTTAAACAGATGTTTGGAAATCGTTACCGAAGAAATATTGAACAGAACATGTAAGAAGTATTGTCCTCGTCTCTAAAGGTAAAGACCTATATAACTTGTAATTTTCATTGCCTTTAGCCTTTAATCATGGGTTTTTAAATTATCTTTTACTCTGATCTTGGATGTGAGGTAAATACTCTATTGGACTGGAGCTACAAATTCCTCACATTAGCAGCATAATTTTGGGTTAACTTCTCCAAATTGAGAAGAAGAAAAAAAGCAATTATAAACTCCCCACTTTTCGTAATTAAGAAAAAAGTACATATATAATACTGAGGAGTTGAATGGATATCACATGTACAACATCACGAACATTATAACTCTCTTCACTAATTATTAATTACAGAATTAGTACGTAAAATTCCATTAGATATAGAAAAGGGAAAAAAACACATCATTTTTCCATAGGTAGGTTCTCATCAATTTTTAATTCTTCATGCATGCAATAGATGCTCATGACTTATTAATTAGCATCCAAGGAGGTGAAAGGAGTAACTGGGATTGACAAAATAAGGATCCACCAACATGACTTCATCATATCCCAGTGGCCCTTTTACTATCATCACCATCAAATAATGCACCACAGCGAACTCGTTGTAAAATGCTCTTGCTTTCCTTAAGATGTAGCTAAAACAAGATGTCAGGTACCGAAACCCTAACTGGCAGGCAGCTTCTCGTGCCTCGAATCGTCCCTTAAACTTGCTCTTTTTTCCCTTAACGTATTCTTCATCACTTTCCAGCTTAACATGGTTCAAACTGTTATGCTGGTGACCGAAATATCGATGTTGCAGTGAATCGGGTGATGATGTATAATTCATCATGACTCTTTCTCTGCATGATGCTAGTTTGGTGAACTTTCTGCAATGGTGCTTCCTGGGGTTGGACTAGGCATAAGAGTTGGGAGGCCAAGAGATAGGTAAAATTGATTAGTGGTATGAAGTGAATGTGAAGAATTGGACCACGCTTTGCTGTCCTAATTGTGTATTCATTTTTATGAAACTATTCCACTAAGTGTGGTTGTGCCCAAGTCCTAAGTTTCATGTTGTGTTTATCATATGAAATCTGACTTCACATGATTCTTACCAGATGAAATATAACCCATTCCCAGCACCAGAAAAGGGGGAGAAAAAGAAAAAGACAGACAAAATCAAGAACTGGATCGAGGATTGATTGATTAAGATCAAAGGCTACTGCTTGGCGTGAGGTTGAGGAAAAGTGCCTTGTCATCCTTGCAAGCTCATCCTGTGCAATAAAACTATGATAAACTATGAAAACCAACAAGCAAAAAAAGAAATCAAGTAACAAAAGATTATCTTCAGCCACGTAACCAAAGAACAAGAAGAAAAAACAAAAAACAAAAAAACCGAAAAATGAAAGTCGAAATGAAAGAATCTCTCCACAGGTACCGCTTACCAGACAGGGATGAGATAGGTCATATGATGATTTTCCTAATTGGCATGCACATTTGAATGTGAGTTGTAAATAAGCCACTAGTGTAGAGTGCGATGTGTTTTTTCCGTGGAGACATTTAGGATCATGTCAACCATCCGACCACTCTTACAAGAAAGGAACTTTTGATGTGTTTTTTCCGTGGACACTTTTAGAATCATATCATCCGTTCGACCACTCTTACAAGAAAGGAGCTTTTGAATTTATATTTCATCCTAATCAACGTGGATTCCACCACAAATACAAGTGGCATTTTAGTGAACATGCCTTGACAAGATGCATGGTGATGCCTTTCAAGTCTCAACACATTTATTTATGGTGACGAGCACTTAGATATATAATCACATCTTCTTTTGTAATGGAGCATAAGCTATGATATATTGGAAGTGGGCTAGCAAGCAAGCAAAGGTCCCCCAAAATTTATGGAACTATACCTGTCGAAATGGGTTGGCTAGTTATGATGAGAACTTTTGACCCTCACACCAGCTAATGGGGAATACAAGACATGGAATCTGTACATTTCCTTACAATTAAATATGTCCTTGTGATGACCCTCACATCAGCTTCCAGCAAAGTTCCGTGCATTCTGAGACTTCTTTTATGATTGGCTATTTTACAACTATATCGCATCGTGGTGTTGATAAATCTTCTCTTCATAATCATGCTGCCTGCCAAACTTGAGGGCTCAAATGTGTTCTTTCACCTACTCATCATCATCACCAAACACAAACTATTGTTTTTTATTCAGTAAATGTGATCGAATCTTTCTATTGGAAGGTACCAAGGGCCATACAAAAGTTGCATTATATTATTACAGTAAATTCCAGAGTAGAACCATGTCCAAGTTGGGCCAAATAATGACTATAATTTATGGCAAAAAGTCACTTTTGGTTTTCGTAGTTTGCCACTTTTATCATTTTGATTCATATCGATTCAATTTGGTCAATTTTGTTCATCTTATTTCAATTTGAAGCAATTTAAAGACAATCCTCAATTTCTATCAAAATTTTTTTTTAGCTCCTGTTAGTTGTAGAGGGAAAATTCGGTCTATAAATTATTTAAAAAAAAATGCATTCCTTTTTAAAATAAATAATTAAAAAATAAATTTAAAAAATTAAAAAATTAAAGCTAACCCCTCTCCCCTCCCAACCCCACCCCTTCGACGTCACCCCAACCCAGCAATGCCCAAAAACAACCATCCACCGACCACCACCTAGCCAACCGCCGTCTACCGGTCAAACCCCAGCCTCGCCCAGAGAAAGAGAGAGAGGTAGATTCATAGACAGATAGACAACCAGCCTTGCCCAGCCCTCATCCCTCCAAACCCGACACCCATTCCCACCCCAACCATATATCCAGCCCACCCCTTCGCTCGGAAAATACGAAACCTAGACCAACCAGCGCACCGCGCCCACCCCCATCCCCAGCCAACCTCCCTCTCTCCATATCCGACGAGCCCCACACTAGATTCGTCATCTTCATCTTCGTTGCCAAGGCCTCATCACCGTCTTCGTCAAGGCCACGCCATCGTGTTCGTCGCCAAGTTCTTCGCCCACCGCAACCCACAGATCCATCCCCACTAAGTCTAGATGCGAGAGAGAGAGAGAGAGAGAGAGAGAGAGAGAGAGAGATATATATATATATATAAGGAAGGAGGTGATGGTTGCGTTTGTCGGAGGAGGAGGGGGTAGCGTTTTTGGATGGGGAGAGAAAGAGAGGGAGGAAGGAGGTGGAGAGAAAGGGAGGGAGGCGGTGGTGTGATGAATTTTGGTGGTTAGTTGGAGGTCCGACGATGGAGTCTTGGACCCTGACGATGCTCAAGGTTTGATGGACAAGGCTGTGGGAAATTTTTTTTTTTGTTTTTTTTCCATCGTCATGGACAAGAAGATGCTCTTTGCGGTGGGAAAAAAATTTTCTTTCCAATTTTAAGATTTTAATTTTTTATATTTGTCTTTAATATTTATTTTTAAAATGAATTAATTTTTAATAATTTGTGAACCGAATTGCCCCTCTACAACTAACAGGAGTTTAAAAAATTTGATTGAAATTGAGATTGTTCTTGAATTGCTTCAAATTGAAACAACAGGGACAAAATTGACAAACTTAAAACGACATGGACCAAAGTGATAAAAGTGGCAAACTACAAGGACCAAAAGTGACTATTTGCCATAATTTATTCAAGTGGCATATACAAGAAAAAAAAATCATTCATGTGAATGCAGCCTTTAAAGCATTATCGGTGTCCCTCAAATTAAGTTGATTAAGTGAGCACTTATGCCAAGTTCATGTAGGATAGATGGATTAAGTGTATACATTGATGCAATGTAACACGAAAAGAAAAACAAGGGTAAACCCTACAATAAGTAAGCTGAAATCCGCAAAGGGCTTGTAACTAAAATGGTTAAAAAGCATTTATCTCTACACCTGAGGTCTTAAGTTCGGCTCCCCCTTTCTCAAATATTGCTTCCATATAAACCAAAAATAAAAGAGAGTTGAGAGAAACCTATAAGGGCATGTTTGTTACAAGGGCTTGGCTTGGACAGCCTTGGTCAATATAATCCCATGTTTGTTTCACATGGTTCAAATCTTAAATGGGATTACTAATACTGGGCCCCACCAAAAACACCTCCTTAGGTGTTCTTACGGAAGCCTGTGTGGAAAAGGGGGACAAATTGTCCCGAGCCCTTCACTAGCGAGCGATGTCTCTTGCAGCATCAATGTGCCCTTTCCCTTAACCAGCAACATCACTTGCAACCAGCCACAACCAACAACCACCAAGAGCCAACATACTCACCCACCACCATTGCTTTCTCTCTCCTCCAGCCACAACCCAGATTCACCATATCTGCCATACTTGTTTGTACAAATTTCTCCAGGGAGAATATTTGCGAATCATTATTCTCTCTCATACGTTCCCCTGCTAGATTCCTTGCAAGATAAATGGCAGTCAACGGAGAACCACAATTGTGGTGGTGACCAATGGCCCTTCGATCCCTAAGTCAGTAATATGGTATGGGAAGATGTAGATAATAAAGAAAGGATGAAGATATTTCTCTACAGGAGAGATATGTGGATTTGGAGCCGAGAGGTGGCGACAGCCTGAGCTGGTCAGCCACGAGTATGAAAGCAGGGGATAATTTCGTCTAGAGAGAGAGAGAGAAAGTAATGTTAGGGATTTTTCTGAGTTAGGAAGAGTTTAGAATTACCTTCTTTGTCTTCTCCTTCTGTTTAAATATCATTTTGTCTCTATAATCTCTTCTTTTCCATTTAAGGAGGGAATAATTCTCTTTAAAGAGAATTATTCATTTCTTGAATAATTTGATTGAGGGAATTTATGGAATTTATTCCCTCAACTTAAATAGGTAACTTCCTTATTAAATATATTATTAAACCTTATTTATTAGTTTAAACAATATAATTCTAGGGTCAACCTCTTTTCCATATGGCACATTTTGATTGGACGTTGGATTTATTTGCTTCCACAAATGCCCCCCAGCTTCTGCATGTCACGTATGGGGCATGTAGGAGATGTGAAATACTTGTGGGGCTTTCCAACTGCAGTTAAGCTACTTTTGAAAGTTGGTCTCCTGTCTGGAAGAGGCTTTTGAGATTCCTTCTTTGAGTTGGGGCCAATCGCTGGATTGGCCGAGCATCTATGCTATGTTGAGGCTGGTTTAGATCGAGTAGCTGTTGAGCTGGCCGACCGGTGCAATGTTTTGCTATGGTATGTCTTGAACTGCTGCTTTGCTTTACTCATATATCCAGTAGTTTTATTATATGTGAATTCTTGTGACTATCTAACTTTTGTCTTTTGCTTACAGTTGACAAGATTAGTAAAAGATTTGATCTTGTGTAGGACATGGCTAAAGTTCGCCAAGCCATGAATGCATGAAGGTGTTCTGCCCCTAGCTAGAGATGTTGAAAGATGGAAACATCATGATCCTGGCTTGGATGCTCAACTCGATGGAAGGGATGAGTCTTTAGCCCACTTGTCTGGAAAAGGGAAGTATGTTCCTGAGGGAATGAGATACTTCATTCTACCCTATTAGTGATAAAAGGGTTTAGCTGCCTTTTTGTTTTTTGTTTTCCTTGAGAAGTCTCCTGCTTAAGGTGAGTAGGATACCATTAAAAACATAGATGCAAACAAGGAGCAGATAGCTGATAAGGCTGGAGCCGACGAGGATACGGTTGAGGAGAGTTTTCTGCTTAAGGTGAACAAGATATCGTCACAAACATAAATTCGATTGAGGAGCAGGTAGCCTATGTGCATGAAGTCGACAAGCATGTGGCTAAGGAGAATGTAGCTGATGAGTAGAGAGCCGATGGGGTTGGAGTTGAAGAGAATGCGACTGATGAGATTGGAGCCGAGGAGGATGTCAACAAGGAGGAGTCTCTTGCTAAAGTCTCAAAGTAGATGAAGATATTTTCTTCTTTGTAGCTTTATTCTTCTTTAAGCATTGGTGTCGGTTGACTATAATATATGTTCTTCTAAACTTGGGTATGTTGGCCGCTTATTAATATATTTGAACTTATGGATCTGTTGATAGTCTGTTCTTTGTTGAGTTTTTGGCTTCCTAACTTCCTGAGTGGTTTGCTTGCGCTTTGAATGTGAGTCTGCTAACTCAATGTGTGGCATGCTGATGCTTAATTGGGGTTGTAAGTTGTCGCTAAAGTGGACCTGTTGGCCGCTTGGGTGGGCAACTATAGCCGAAGATGTATGTTGTCGCTTTGATGGACTTGTTGGCCGCTTGGTTGGGGAGCAATAGCCAAAGCTGTGCACTATTGCTTAGGTGGACCTGCTGGTCTCTCGGTTGGATAGGAATAGTCAGAGCTGTGCGCTGTTGCTTAGGTGGACTTGCTGGCCGCTTGGTTGGACAACTATAGCTAGAGCGTTGAGTTGTCTCTTACGTGGACCTATTGGCCTCTTCGTTGGACAACTATAGCCGGAGCGTGAGTTGCCTCTTACGTGGACCTGTTGCCACTTGGTTGGACAACTATAGCTAGAGCATTGAGTTGTCTCTTACGTGAACTTGCTGGTCACTTGGTTAGACAACTATAGTCGGAGCGTTGGGTTGCCTTTTATGTGGACCTGCTAGCCACTTCGTTGGACAACTATAGTCGGAGCATTGAGTTGTCTCTCAGGTGGACCTACTAGCCTCTTAGTTGGACAACTATAGTCGAAGTGTTAAGTTGCCTCTTATGTGACCTAATGGCCGATTGGCTAGACAATTATAGCCGAAGCGTTGAGTTGCCTCTTATATGAGACCTTCGAATTCACCTTTTTTGCGATTTGCTGACCGCGTGGCTGAGTTAATGGGTTAATTAGCAACCAAATGAGTTACCATATGCTCGACCTTGTGCATCTCCTAGGGCATGAAGTTTTTACCCACCCTTATGGAAATGGTGTCATCTTTTGTTGAGGGGGACAAATGTTCAAAGTTGGACTTCTCGAATTTGTATTTTTGTGATTTGCTGACCACATGACCGACTTGAAGGATCAAGTAGCTGTTGGTTTGAATTCTCTTGAGTAGGGTGTTGTGCTCTGCTGGGGAATGAATATTTCTTGAACATTTCCTTGAATGAAAAACTTTCTTCGAATTGAAATGGAGTGGACTTAGTCATCTGCTCGGGACGAAGTTGTTTTTTTGTTGTAGTAGGACATCAATTGCTACTAATAAGTTGCAACTCGTACAATGACATTTTCTCATTCCTCTTCGAGCAAGTCAAGGTTAATCTTTATCTACTCGCAGTTCTGATCAATGTTATCCATTTAAGGAGTGATATGAAGAGGAATGATTGTCTCGGTTCTGAAGGCTAAGGAAAATGAATTTTTGCTAGTGGATCTGCGATAAGCCCATAGTACTCTGGGAAACTTGTCTACCCATTTTCCCTCGGCACCTTCCAATCTCTTCTTCAGGTAAGCGGTCACAAATTTGTTGGAGACCTGTGTTTGATTGTTGCCTTGTAGATATCTCAGAGTTGATAAGTATTTCTTTATACCATACTTGGCGAAGAATCTAGTGATCTATTTGCTAATGAATTGTGATCTGTTGACGATGACCAGCGACTGTGGACAGCCAAAGAGGCAGATGATATTCTTCCAGATGAATTGTTCCACATCAGATTCTTTAGTAGAGGAAATAATCCATTTAGTAAAGTAGTCGGTGGCAACAATCATCATTTCCTTCTTGACAGGTGTCGGTAGCATGGGACCTACTAAGTCAATGGCCCATTACATGAATGGTCATGGGTTGTTTTGTGGGTGGTACACTTTTTCTGGTAAACCAGGAACTGGCTTATATCGTTGGCATTGATCACATCTTATGACATACTCCATGGAATCGTGGCGCATGGTAGGCTAGAAGTAGCCTATGCTTAGGGTTTTATGGGCGAGTGACTTGCCCCTAGAGTGATTTCCACATTCGCCATCATGAATCTTGAAGAGCATCTCAAGAGTTTGAGGGTACTTTATGCATGTGAGATGAGGCCCAAAATATGATTTACTAACAAGCTTGTTGTCTTGTACATAGTATCTTAAGGCGTTCTGCTAGATATTTGTAGCCTTATACTTCTCTTTTGGCACATTTTCATTCACCAAGTAGTCGATGATAGAGTCTTGCTAGTTGGGATCCTCATTGATCTGCATCAAGTCTGTCTGCTCTGCCTCTTAAATACTTGGCTGATCAAGGTGCCAACCGAGATTGAGCTCCTGAACTGGGCGTGTAGCGGTGATCCTAGGCTTGCCAGCTTATCTGCATGACTGTTCTCTGCCCGGGGAACTTGCTGGATAGTGAAGGTCGGAAATTCTTTCAAAAGTTCTTGAACCTTGTTGAGGTATTGGATCATTCTTGGGTATTTTTCCATGTACACTCGTTAAGCTTGATTAGTGATAAGCTGGGAGTCTACATAGATGGCTAACCTTTTGATCGACAATTGTTTTTACTAAGCATAGTTCAACAAGCAATTCCTAGTACTCTACTTCGTTGTTAGAAGTTGAGAAGCTAAGTATAATGGCTTATTGATGTGATTAGTTGCAAGTGGATAATATCGCTCAAATTAGTATAGTAGTAAATAGAGTATTGTTCCAACATGGATCAAGTTAATCTATTAAATATTAGAGTGATTTATTTCTAATTATATTTGAATTAAACAATAAGAGAATTATGATGATTAAAATCTAATTAAGCAAGTAAAATAAATTGAGATTAAGGAAATAATGTAAAAGATGAAAACAAAGATGATAAAGCACTAGGGCACCGATTTCACCTAGCTAATCTCACCCAAATCCTTCTAACTTGTTAATTCTAATTACCTAACATGTTGATAATCATTTTCCCTTACCTCACCAATACTCTCTTCCGAGTTGTATTCCTTACTATCAACCCACTCTATTCCTAGTTATGGATTTAGATAGCTTAGAACCCATTAAGATTTATGGAAAACATTGAAGATTACACAAACCATAACCTAATCTTCCGAGTCCTCTATGTAATTTATGGTACTTGTTACAAGAAGCTTTTTACTAGGAATCTCCTTCTGGTCTCAACCTAATTCTTCCAATCATGCAATTAGTGGCCAATTAATTGAAAACATTAAGAATGGTAACAAACACTCAACATGTATAGATAAATAAAATTAATAATATCAAAGAATTTGAGTATTCATAGATAGGCTACATCGTAGCCCTAGTAAAAGAAATTAGTTCATGAAGGACTTATTGAGAATCCTGATGGTTGATGAAGACATGGAAGACACTAAATTCTTCAAGTAGAACACCAAGGTTACGCAAGCTCTCTTCTTATGCTCCTTTAGATGTCTCGGCTATGAGTATGAATGTGTAGGAATTTTGATTGTAGATGATGGAGGATGGAGCATGATGGATATGATGACCTAAACTCCCTATTTATAATACTCATACAAATCCTACCTATCTAAGGTATAATTATAATTGTTATAAAAGTAGGATTCCTTATAAAATAAGGTCTTCTTTATTTCTCCTTGTCTGACTTGATAAGACTTGAAGCATCTTAAACTAGGAAATTTGACAACATTCCTTGCGACAAAAGGAATGATTTGGCTTCTTGACTTGATTAATCTCCAATCTTCATCTTCTTGCCCTTTTTAGCACACTTTCTCATATTTCACAATTCCTTCACAAATCTCACAAAACCAATTAAACAACCAATTTAATCCAAGGAAATTAACAAATAAATAAGTAAATGAGGCATAAAATATAGGCTTATCACTTACTCCAACATATTTCGATCCGAGGTGACTATGACAACGCCTACTCCAACTCCCTTATGATTTGATGCTCAATCTACGCGCAACTACCACATGTCTTTGGGTTGGTCAGGTTCAGCGGAGGATCTCTCTTCTGCTCTCGAACTTTTCTTGTTTCTGTTGACCAACTTCCCTTCTTCGGATAAGGATGAAGTGAATTCTGCAACAAAATATGCAAGCTTTTATAATAGTCTTGGGCTGGTAGAAGAGGTCATATTAACTCAGTTCAATAGTCATTTCATGAGTTGTTGAGAAGCATAGGGGCTATGAAGAATCGATCTCAAAGAAATTTTGTCATGATGATTATACGGTGAGCTTCATAGTAGGGTCTTAACTTTCTCGCAGAAATTAGCAGGGCCAAAATGAGTGTCTGCATCAAGGAAAGCTTTTGATGGTAGAATACCAGATGTTGTGTTCCCAGCTCTTCTCGAATGCGATCTGAGCTGACTGCTGAGTTGGACACTTCTTGGTAGATGAACAGGTCATCGCCTAGCTTAGGCTTTGAAAGCAGGGGATGTGAAGTGAGGTATGCCTTCAAGTCTTGAGAGGTTGCTTTGCATTATTCATCTCACTTCTCTCTTTGTCCTTCAAGGCTTTAAAGAATGGCTTGCACTTGTCGCTATATCTCCAAAGAAATCAGTTGAAAGCAGTTGCTCTACTCATGAGGCTTTGGATTCTTTTGCTGTGATAGGTGACTTTATGTTGAGAATAACCTTGATTTGGTTGGGGTGGGCCTCGATGCCCATTTGAGTGGCTAAGTACCCCAAGAATCTGCCAGATGATACTCCAAATGTACACTTAGTTGGATTCAACTTCATTTGGTATTTTCTGAGCAGGCTGAAGGCTTCGACATGGTTTTTGATCTGATCTGCTTGCTGAGGAGCTTTGACCAACATATCATCGAAGTAGACTTCCATGGTTTTATCGATTCGCTCCTTGAAAATTTTATTCATGAGCTCTTTGCTTTGTCTTCCTCGTGCATCATAATTTGATTGTAGTCGGAGTAGGCATCAATGAAGTTGAGCAACTGGTTTCCGGAAGTTGAGTCTACAAGTTGATCAATCCTTGGCAACAGAAAGTTGTCTTTTAGGCATGGTTTGTTGAGGTCTGTTTAGTCTACACACTCTCCTTTTGCCTTGGTTCTTCTTTGCCACCAAAACAACGTTGCCCAGTCATTATGAGTAGGAGACTTTTTCAATGAAGCCAGCAACTAGGAGCTTGTCAATCTCAGCTTCGATGATTACAATTCGCTCCGAAGCGAAATTGCGTCTCTTCTGAGTTATAGGCTTGCTGGCTGTGTTGACATGTAACCTATGGAAGATGATCTGCGGATCGATGCCAGGCATGTCAAATGGCGACCATAAGAATGCATCATTGTTTTTTCTGAGGAAGGTGGTCAGCTCCACTTTTTCTTCTTTGCTAAGGTGTGAGCTGATATGCGTTTTTCTTTTTGGCTTGTCAAGATCAAGATCTATAAGTTCGACGTCTTCTTCGAGCCTCCGTCCTTGTTCGGGAGAAGTCTCAGAGCGAACTCTTTCCTCTCAATCTTAGTTCTTTAATTGCTATTGAGGAGTGGCTAGTTCTTTTCCCTTCTAGTCTGCTAGACTCACAGGAATGAACTCCACAATCTCCTCTATCAGTTTTTTCCCCTCCTGGTCTGCTCGACTTAAGGAATGAACTGGGCTTGTTTGCTTTCTTTTAGCTCTTGGGCTGAACATCTTCTTACCATTGCCTGATCGATGTTCATCTGCCCGACTCCACCTCCTGAAATTGGGTAGCATACCTTCTGATGTGTAGCAGATGTGATTGCATTGATCTTGCAAATCCATGATCTGCCCAAAATTCCATTATAGAGGGAGATTGCAAAGATGATCATAAAGGTTTGAGAGATGATCACTGGAGGAGAATAGACATCTAGATCTATTGTTCCCACTGTAATTGAAGTTGGTCAATGACCTGGTAGACAGGGGCGGCTCTAGCCTGTGGCAGGTTGGGCTCATGCCCGGCCCAAATTTATGTTAAATAAATATTACCCACACTTTTCTCTCTCCTCTCTTCTCTTTTGGCCGACCCTAATTTTTGTTAAAAAAAATATTACATACACTCTCATCTCTCTCCTCTCCTTTTTTTTAGGGTAATGATTTCCCACTCCAATTTTATCCACTTACACTCCTTTTTTAGTTATAAAATGGAGTGTAAATGGATAAAATTGGAGTGGGGAAATCACCACTCTTTTTTTATTCTTTTCCTCACACTCTCCTCTCTCTCTTTTTTTTTTTTTTTTTTTTTCCTTCTCTCCTCTATATCTCTCTTTTTTTTCCGTTGTTTTCCTTCTCTCTTCTCTCCCTCTTTTTTTTTCTTTCTTCTCCTTCTCTCATCCCTCCTCTTTTTTTTTCCGTTCTTTTTCTTCTATCTTCTCCTCTCTATCTCTCTCTCTCTCTCTCTCTCTCTCTCTCTCTCTCTCTCTCTCTCTCTCTCCTTCCTTCATTATTATTTCTTCCTTTTCCTTCTCTCTTTTTGTTAGAAAAATATTACCTACATTACTTATGATTATTAAAAAAATTTGTCTTGCACAAATATAACTATTTCAGAAATTGTGAAACATGATTGATAGGGCTATGGAGCTCGAGGTGGAAAGCTAAAAACGGATGTCATAATAAACGTTTATAAAAGGAAACAAGGAGAGAAATGAGGTCACAACTCGTTAATAAAAAAAAACCTAGCTCCGCCAATTTTCTTCCTTCCCATTTCTCTCGAAATAAATCTTGTTTTTTTAAAATTAATGTAGTCTTCTATATTATCTTTCTTTTTAATGTGAAATAACTTTTTGTTTCTATTTTTTTCTTTTAATTTTAATTTTGGTTTTTATTTTAGTTTTTGTATTTGTAGATATAAATGCATTTGAGGATAAGGCTTATTACGTCTCCTCTCACTATGTAATTTTTTTATTTATGTTTATTAATAAAATTCACTCGTTTAATCAAGTTTGTTATATAAGTTTTGCCCAGTTGGTTTTCGAATCCTGGAACCGCCACTGCTGGTAGATGTGCTGATCTTGTTCTCCATGCCCATCTGTTGGGCAACCGAAAGTTGCAGTATCTTAGCAGCATTACCTTCGTCTACATGGATTCAATCAATTATGGCCTGTGCAACTTGGATGTTGATGACTAGGTATCATTATGCGGCAGTTCAAGCATGAACATGTCTTTCTTCTGGAAGCCGGTCATAGGATAGTCTTCTACCAGTCGAACGTTGGTTAGTTATTGGGAGATTACAGTAGCCTGCTTGATCTTCCTATTTTTCTCATTACTGGTCATCTTGGACTCCTCGGAGTCGGCTAAGGTAGTGTTGATTCTTATGACCTTTTATGGAGGTTCCTTGGCAGCATCATGATCCTCGATTTGTTGAAAAGCTTTGTTGTGAGCCCAAACGAGTGTGAACATTGGTTTGCAAGTTTAATCTCGAACGAACGCTTGTCCTTCTCTGGTCACGATCCCTTGCAGATGTCTCTAACTCGTTAGCTTGCTGATCTACACGTTCCTGCCTTGTGCCTCTCCTACTGGTTTCTGCCAGATCTTTATAGGACCTCTCGAATCGCTTGCATGTACGCTCGCTAGCCTTTCTTCCTCACCGACTGGTCTAAATCTGCAGTTGCAGATCAAGTCAATCTTCCCGAGTAGTTGATTGACCTGGTTATTTTTGTCCTCGAACCTCTTGGTGAACTTGTCGACCTTGTTATTGAGATCTGCTTGGCTGCTCTGATAAGCAGAAAAGAATTGTGTGGAGTCGAGTTGATGATGACCTAGGGTTTCTCTAGTGGCGTGAATAGGTTCAACACTTGAAGGTTGCGGCGGCAAAGGTGGATGTGGCGACACATGCTCCAACACTGGTCCAAGCAGGGTAGCGGTGGCGGCGGTACCATGGGGACTTGGTGTCGCAAGAGAGTTCGTGGCTGCCGTCTTGCTCCTCTTAGTGACACTTTTCACCATGGTTGTTTCGAATGCTTCAAATAGATTTGATAAATGGAAGAAAACGGATTTCCTTATTGAAATTTGTGAGCGCTTCACTTTGAGTATATTTCGAGACTCTCAATGAAAGCTCCAAAATATTTGTGCAAATTTCTCACGGGAGAATATTCGTGGATGATTCTTCTCTCTCATATGTTTCCCTACTAGATTAATTGTAAGACAAAGAGCGGTCAATGGATGACCATTGGTGTGGTGGTAGCTAAGGGCTCTCCTATGCCAAAGTCAATAATATGGTCTGGGAAAATGCAAATAATACTAAAAGAATGGAGATATTTATGTATAGGTGAATATGTGGCTTGGGAGCCTAGTAGGTAAGAGAGGTAGCGATAGCCTGAGCTGGTCAGCCACGAGTATGAGAGTAGAGGAGGATTTCAGCTAGAGAGAGAGAGAGAGAGAGAGAGTAATTTTAGGGATTTTTCCGAATTAGGAAGAGTTTAGAATTACCTTCTTTGTCTTCTCCTCTTGTTTAAATATCCTTCCATCTTTGTAACCTCTTCTTTTTCCGTTTAAGGAGGGAAAAGAGAATTATTCATTTCTTGAATAATTTGATTTGATTCCCTCAATTTAAATGAGTAACTTCCCTATTAAACATATTATTAAACCTGATTTATAGTTTATATAATATATTTCTAAGGTTAATCTCTTTTTCACGTGACGCCTTCTAATTGGACGTGGGATTTATTTGCTCCCACAATACCCATTGCATCATCGTCCCAATAAGCCATAAACCGTTTGAAATTCAAAGAAAAAAACACCACACAAACTCACTGCATCATTGTCCCAGTCTTCCCCCACCCCAGTAACATCAATGTGCCCCTCTCCCTCAACTTCCTTTCTCTACCCCTCTCTGGAAAAAAAAAAAAAAAAAAAAAAAAAAAATTTTTGGATGTTTTGTAAAAAACAAAAAAGATTCAATTTTTTTCTTAAGAAAAGAACGAAACATGAGTTTTTTGGGATTTGGGGAAGGGATTTTTGAGATGATGTCGAATTTTGAGGGTAGGAAAGGGTGATGGCGGCTTGGGTTCTTTGCTGGGCAGAGGAGGAAAGGAATTTTATTTATTTTATAATTTTATTTTGTGTTTTTCTAATCTTTTTGTTATTTTTAATTAGTTTTTAATGTTTCAAAAAGTATTTATTAATATTTTAATATATTTAAATTTAGTCCAAACCAATCATATACCAAACACAAGATACGTGTTATCCAACTTAAGCCAAGCCAAGCCAATCCAAAACAATCCCTAAGCATAGTCCATGTCAATTGACAGTCTAGCGGAACAAACGACCTCTAAGATTACTTGAAATACTCTCTTTTTTAATTTTTTTAATTTTTTTTATTTGTAAATAGCACGAGATGTCCCCACACTCGAATGGTGGGATTAATCCCCACTCGGGGTTCGACTTGCCCCTGGCCACAAAGCACTTCCAACGTAACAAAGTACTTTTTTTATTTTTTTGGTTACATTGAGAGGAAAGAAATTCATTGAGTTTCGAACCTAGGTGTCAAGTAAGGAGGAAGAGGGAGGCCATCACTGTGGTATCTGCTCTCGACATAACAAAGTACTTTAAATACTTCAAAACGTAACATTATGGGCTCAAAACGAACACTAAAACTCAAAATTTAAAAAACTCGATTTTACCTCTTTTAAGCTTGTGCATGTTAGCTGCTTCATAAACTTAACCACAATCTATAATACATCATACGTACATTAACACCAACTCCAATAAATATATATATATATATATTTTCATTCTATTTCATATAAGTGATATTGAAAAAGGGGAAAATTGTTCCATGGAAATTCATTCAAGTGCGGAAGAAAGTTAATGAAAACAAAACAAGTCATACAATAATATGTAGGGTGGGAAAATGGTAGATCTTTAGTTTAAATCTTTATCGTATGTAAAAAAGAAAAAGAAAACAGTAAACCTGTGTCAACTTCGGTTATTTTGTTATTTCCAAAATAATTATAGCCCGTGACGCATTATAGGTTATGTTGATGGATCTTTTGGTAGGATCCTAGCAACATTGGGTCATGCTTGTCTCCATTACAAGCTATAAATATGCTGATGAGGAGGGATTTATTCATTGCCATAGAGAGAGAGAGAGAGAGAGAGAGAGAGAGAGTTGTTTCAAAAGCAACCCAGCTAAAATATTTTGTAATGGGAGCAGAGGCTGATTTTGAGGTGAATTTCACCACAAAATTTATTGTCAAACCTACAAATCCAATGGTGGATCACCCTCATATCCTGAGTCTCTCAAACCTTGACTTGCTCTGTGGCCGGTTTCCAGTCTCATACTTCTATTTCTATCCCAACGAACCACATGATCTTCATGCTGCCACCGACTTCTCCTCCATCATTGAGTCCCTCAATACCTCCCTTGCCAGTACTCTCAACTCTTACTACCCATTCGCTGGTCGAATCGTTCCAAACCAGCATACGAACGAGCCCGAAATCATGTGTGACAACTCCGGTGTCCTAGTTGTGGAAGCTCATGCCAACATTCCTTTGAAAAAACTAAATTTCTACGATCTTGATCAATCTCTTCAAAGCAATAAGCTGGCCTCCATCAGCCCCGACTTCCCTTTTCAAGTTCAAGTCACGTTATATACATGTGGAGGCGTTTCAATTACGTTCACTTTTGACCATGCACTTGGGGATGCCACTAGCTTTGGTAACTTTCTTCTCTCATGGTCTGAAATAGCGCGAAAGAAGCCTGTTTCATGTGTGCCGGATCACCGGAGAAACCTGCACCTTCGTGCACGCTGCCCTCCTAGCTATCACTCTTCCTTGGACCAGAGTTTTGTCAAGTGCACCATGGAAGAGATCATGAATATCCCAACAGCCAAAACCTTGATTAAGCGCCTTTATTACATCGAAGATTCGAGCATTAAACATCTGCAGAGTCTTGCATCAAGAAATGGTAAGAAGAGAACAAAAATTGAGGCAGTCTCAGCTTATATATGGAAAACTATGGTCACTGCCATTGATACAAAATCCCATGGAATGTGCAAGATGGGTTGGTTAGTAGATGGACGGTCTAGGATGCACAAGAAAGAAAACCAGATAAATCCCATGTCAAATTACATTGGGAATGTTCTGTCTTTGGCTTTTGGAGAGGCAAGTGTGGGGGATTTGAAGCAAGGTTCAATATCAGATGTGGCTAGTATCGTTGGTGAGGCAATTTCAAAGGTAACAAATGAGGAACATTTTCTGGACTTGATTGACTGGATTGAGTGCCATAGGCCTGGTCTTATGCTGTCCAAAGTTGTGTTGGGACAAGGAGGCCCAGCACTTGTTTTGTCATCAGGAAGAAAGTTTCCTGTTGCTGAGCTGGACTTTGGGTTTGGGAGCCCAGTGCTCGGGACTGTTTGTTCCACAATAGAAAGGATTGGAGTGGCTTACATGAACCAAAGGTCAAGTGCAAAGGGGGATGGCTCATGGACTGTCTCTTCTATCTTATGGCCTGAATTAGCAGCTGCTTTGGAATCTGACTCCATTTTTCAGCCCATCACCACCGCCCATCTTCAACTTTAGACTTTAGTTGTCAATTAATCCGTACTTTGCTATGTGATTTTCTTACTATCTCATGAATATGTATGTAGGGGATTACATAAAACAAAATATAAAAGAGTATTGGTTGGCCTAATTATGCTACATGAGGTCTCAAATTTGGAATTTCTCTAAGATTTAATTTTCCTATTATTAACTTCACGATTTTCTTTTTTCATGGTTTTCTAAAATTTTAGGATCTATTTTTTCATATGAAAAATGGAGAATCAATTTTATTCTTTTTTGTTCTTTCTCTTTCCTAATAAACCCTTACTCTGCATTAATTTCTTTTTACTGTACTTTTATATTTTTTTATACTTAATTTTCCTACTTGTACTCCATTTTTAATATAATAGAAAAGAGAAAGAACAAAATTGATTAAAAAATAGAAGGGAATGTAAGTGGACAAAAGGGGAGTGGGAAAATCAGCACCCATAAAAAAAACTGTTAAATACTTTTTTGGTCACTGAGTTTGACACGAAAATTCAATTTGGTCACTGAGAAAAAATTGAGAAATAGGCAGCTTTGTCCCCATCTCCAATGTTTTATTCAATAATGCCATCTTTTTGAAACTCATTCAAAAAAAACCCTCTATAAAAGGTCCCTGTTGGTCCCATATCACCTTTTTATCAATTTTTTGTTGTCTGAAATTGGTCTCTGCTCTCTCTAAATTTTGCTTTCTTCTTCTTCTACTATGCTCTCTTCGAGATGACACCCCAAATTTCTTTCTTCTTTGCTTTTTCTTCTCTTATCTATTATGCTCTATCTGAGATGAAACCCAGTTCTGCATCTCTTCTCTCTCACTAATTCCCAGCCCTAATTCCCAATTCTCCATGTTCTTTTCATGGGTCCAAAAACTCATCTTCCTCATCCACACCATTAGCCACCACAAGCACCACCAACAGGTTTGCAAACCCAATTTGTGATATTTGATTTTTGAAATGGTTGACATTGATCAACTTTAAATTTTTGTTTGAAAAAGAAGCATTTATTTGTTTGAAACCCAGCAAAAAATTTCCAAGAAAGACTTGAAAAAAAAAATGATACGACAACGATAGAATAGCAATCCGGAGGCAACACGACAACAATAAGAAGGCAATACAAAAACTCTATACTCTCAACTATATAATTTTATTTCCAAGACATACTTCAGAAAAAAGGTGATATGACGGCAATATAATTGCAATAGGGACAGAATACGACGACAATAAGAAGGCAATGCAAAAACTCCATACTCCCAACTATATAACACAAGCAATAAAAAGGAAATACACCATCAATAAATTACTTGGTTATGCTTTTCATGAAAGACACCGTATAATAGAATCAACTACATTGAATCTGCCACAAGTCACCATTAAGAAAAGCATAACCAAGTAATTTATCAAACTGATTTTTATGAAAAATACGAATACTTTCATCATCACCATTATAAGAAAAACCATCCTTAACAAGCTTTGAAACTGAAAGTAAATTCCTTCTCATTGAAGATACATAAAGAAAATTGTTCAAGACTAAAATAAAACCAAATAACAACTTTAACTTAACAATACCAACATACTTTACTTCTACTTTTGCTCCATTTTTAATAAAGACTTTGTAGATCTCTCCATTTTGCTCCTTCTGGTTTTTGAATCCCTACAAATTTTCTCTGTTAAGTTTAAGACAAGAACTAGTGGTAGCAATAGAGTTTTGAGCAGGCACGACAGAGTTATTAGCATTTTTCTTTCAATTGGAATTTGAACCTGTTTTAGGTGCACCAGTCTTCTAATTGGGATTTCCAAACTTATTGACAGTAGCTACTTTCTTTCCTTTCACAGCATGAACCAAATTGACAACTTCACGTTTGCCCTTTTTCAATCTCTCCTCCTCTTGATAGCAAATAGCAATAAGTTCATTGACAATCCAAGTCTCTTTTTGGGTATTGTAGTTGATCTTCACTTGCTCATAATCGGAAGACAAGGAATTGAGAGCCACATGAACAAGGAATTGATCAGTAATCTACAAATTTAGATTGTTGAGTTTGTTTGCCACATTACCAAGTTTGAGGAGATGCTTTATTATGCTTCCAGCTCCATCAAATTTGGTTGAAGTGAGAGTGGTAAGATAAGAACTAGATTTAGCCTTGTCAGACCTCTTAAACTTTTCCTCCACAACTGCCATATGATCCTTGGCAAGATCACAGCTTGGAATGCCACCTATGATGTTCCCTTCCATTGAATTTTGCATTATAAGAAAAGACATAACATTTGCTCTCTCCTACTGCTTAAAAGCATCCTTTTCTTCTTAACTACTGACATCAACCAAGGATGCTAGCTTAGGCTCCTTAAAAGCTATGGTGAACACAAGTGATCCTAAATTCAGGTCAATCTTTTACTTCCATGTCTTGAAATTGGTCCCATTCAGTTTCTCAATGTTAATAAGGTTTAACATATTGAAACCTGCCATTAATTATAGAAACAGAACATAAGCGTCGAAGTTCACAACAATTGTGACTAAAACTGAATCTAAATGCTTTAGTCATACTTAAGTTATAGAAATTGATCACACCTTTGGGCAAGAAATCACTCTATAAATGTAATGAACTATCAAAAAATTTGCATAACCAAGCATAAAGCACAAGAATTAGGGCAAATTAAACACCTTTGGGTGAGATGAAACAATACTAACCAAGTTTTCCATGACTCACTAGACATTAGTTTATAGTCAAACCCAGTAGACAACTTCTTTGGAAGAAAATCTACCTATTAATGCTTATAAACTACAAACTGAGCATCAAAATTTATTTTAAATAGCAAAGGATCAAATAAACCACTTTGGCAGTTTGCCCATCCAATCCCAAAATCAACCCAATATAATAGTCTTGTTAATTAAATTAAATCAACAAAATTCATAAAAGAAAAAACCATCAGACAAATCAATTGGGACAGAATATGATTCCTAATGTTTACTGATCGAATTGAATAATCGGCTAGCATCACAAGTGCATCTTAATAAATGATATAAAATCACAAGGATAATCATTAACATATTGGAAAAAGAATCTTTAAAAATAAATAAATAAATAAATAAACTCTAATCATAAACGACACAATTTTGATAAACTTTAACAAAAATAAATGAGTTTAAGACTAAATTGACTGCTTTGATACCACATGTAAGAGTTTACTGTATGAAATATTTCTAAACCAGTTGAGCACTTAAACCACATCTTAACTTAGAAAGACAATTGAACAAAAGAATGATTAGAGATAAGACTTACTTGAATTAGCCATAATCAAATATACAAGACGATCTTCTCCTCTCAGTATTTCAAAATGTCAAGGCTTACAATAGGACAAGCATACATAATATGAACGTATGAATATGAGACCAGAGACCAAGCATTTTATATAAGTTGCTTTACAACTGACTCACCTATTAAGAGACAACTGCTAGCCAAAACGTGTAGATAATGAATGATATCCACCTCTTGCAACAATTGTTCCATTCAGTCATTATCTAAATAAAAGTCTCATAATGTTAAGAGCAAGTACCACAATGGTGTCCTCCCCCTTCCCCTTGACACCCAGGTTTGAAACCCCAAGGGGTTTCTTTCCTCCCAATGTAACAACCAAAAAAGAAGTCTCATAATATCTTAATTTAAATATAACTCTATCTATTTTTTATATGACACCTCATAATAATGAAAAGGCAAACTCACAAAATACAAGGAAAATCTTACAAGCCCATCATGACAAGCAATCTTTACGGAGTGCTTGTGAATTGGATGTTAAGCACATCTTGGAAGCATCTGAGCGGAGCCGCACCTCGAAGCATATCAGGACTTGATCTTATGATGATTGAAATCATCTTGGCTGTGAATCCATAGCTGGATGTTGTGGAGGAGGAGGTACTTCTTGGAGTAGATTCTTGACTTAATTTATGATGATTGAAATCATCATAGCCAAGAATCCCCACGGATCGTGTTTGTGCAAATATTCTCTCGAGAGAATATCCGCTTGAAGATCCTTCGCCCTTTGAACTTCTTTCTCTCTCTTCCTCGGCCCCTGTAAAAAATACCGGAGTAAATAGACCACACCCAGGGGGTGTTGGCCAAAAGGCTCTCCAATGCCTAAGTTAGGTCGATTGTATCTAGGAGAAATAATAGCTAAAAATGGGTACAGAGTTTTCTCTACGGGGAGAATCGGGTGGCTGGAGCAGTGTATGAGAATATGGAGAGAGGAGAAAGGTGTGGCTAGCGGCAGTGATAGTGTCGTCAGGTAGGAGAGAGAGAGTGTGTGTGGAGAATTTTGGGTATTTTCACAGGGTTTCGGGATTAGGTTTAGAATTACCTTGTGTATTAAATGAAACCATGTATTTATAGAGCTCTAGACATCTAGAGTTTTTCAAAGAATAATTCCTATTATGAAGGAATTTATTCCTTCCTCAAATTGTAGAGATTGAGTCCGTTAGGGATTTGATCGATGTTTCCAAATTAGGATAATATCTTAATTTGTGATATTATCTTACCCCTATTTTTAACATCAATTAATTTACCAAATAAATAGGGTTCAATTAATTAACCTAGGAGATGTGCTTCCTATCCACGTGGCGCCTTGTGATTAGAGGCCAAAATATTTACTCCCATAGATTGATTGTACTGGATGCTGAATGCAACCTTGGAAGTCTTTGAGCAGAGCCTTGCCATAGAGAGATTCCTAACTTTATTTATGATGACAGAAGTCATCATAGCCAGGAATCCTCTTGGGTTAATTGTGAATTGAGGTGCCCAGAAGCATTCGATGAAACAGTGAGGTTACCTTCTTCTGACGATGGGTCCTCCTCTATGCCGATGCTCCGCTTGCGTGCTTGCTCCTCCTCTTTGTTCCTGTGGCGCCTTCTTTTTTACTTAAGTTGTCATGCCTTTTAATAGGCTATTGAATGGAGAGTTTGAAGTGATGTTGATATCTAAAGCAACACCTTTCTATGTCATGAAACTAAAGCCAACTCAATTTCTTTGATATTTCAATTTGTGTTGGAAACAAATGAATATATGCGTGGGGATCAGACCCACCCCTTTTAATGTTTCAAACTTGCTTACAACATATTTCATACTTGTTCAATCCCACAAAATTTTTTGAACAAATATCTTCTCTTTTTTTTTCTTTTTTTTTGTGATTTTTTTTTTCCTTCAATTTCAACATTATCAAAGTAGGTATTTGTACAAATAATCTCGGGGAATACTCGGAAAAGATCCTCTTCTTCACTCGAGCTTCTTCGTTCTCGATCCCTGTAAAATAGATTCAGTCTATGAAGCATAGCCGGGGGTGTTGGCCAAAGGCCATTCGATGTCTAAGTCAATTAAATGGTCTTTGAAAGATGCAGAAATACTGAAAGGATGGAGCTTTCTCTTCGGGTGAGAAAGAAAGGGGTGGCGCGTGGCCGTGAGAGAGAAAAGAGAGAGTGGCTTGAGAGAGAGAGAGAGAGAGAGAGAGAGAGAGAGAGAGAGAGAGATTTCTCTAGGATTTTTCAAGGTAGAAAAGGATTCAAGAGCTAGCTCATATGTGGTGTGTGGCCATCTTTATATAGAGACTCCTTATTTGCTAGGGTTTGTAGAGATAATTCCCATATAGAAGGGAATTATCTTTTCTTTAAATGGAATGATAGGATAAGATCAAGGAGATTTGCTGGGAATCATATCATTAATTTAAGGAGACATTCTTATCTTAAATCAAAGATAATTTCTTAATTAAATCGAATTTAATTAACACAATTATTTGACCTAAGGAATCTTCCCTTATTTACGTGTCACTTTGTGGTTGGATGCCAAAATTCATATTCCACAGTAGGATAACGACATTGTCCACATTTCATATAGGTGTGTATGCATGCATAAAAAGGTGTGCTACTTGACAATTTAAAGCTGACGGCAACAGTCCAATTTCTCCCATAATTTCTGCTAAGAAGCAAACAAAGTAGGAAAAGTCAACAAACTTGTTCACATAAAACGGATTCATATACGAGTAGTATGTTTTCTTATCTCAACTAGTTCAAATGTAACTAAGTGTGTTTGAGCAAAATAATACAAACCCGAAAACAATAACAACACATTAATTAAGTATAGTTGAGAAAACACGTAGCTTAAGAAACACATTAATAAGCAGAGTGAACCAAGTTATCCACATCTCATATGCTATATTAAAAGCCGTGCTACTTTTGAATTTAAAGTTGAAGGGAACAATCTAACTTCCCTATTCTTTCTTCCAATAAACAAAGAAAGTATGAAAATTCAACAAAATTGTCTGAATAGATCGAGTTCACATATGAGTAGCATGTTTTCTCATCTCAACTAGTTCAAATGGAACTAATATTTGGGCAAAACTATTCAATCTCGAAAACAATGACAATCATTACAAGGGTGGAACTATGAATTTTTTAATAGGTGGGTTAGCTAAAATTTTTAGCTTAAAATTTAATATTTCTTTTAAACAAAAAGAAGGAAGCAATAAATCAAAAATGTAGCTTACACGTTTATAATCTACACGTGGATGCCTGTCATTGGTTTAAAATAACAGAAAATAAAATTAGAAAAGCCTTCAAGAATCACATATGGGGCCATATAGGTTTTTTCTTCAAAAACTCCCCAAAAAGAAGCAGACTTGTTGTTGTGGGCCAATATAGATATAGTTTTTCTTTCAAAAGCTACTTGGGCTACAGCCCACCTTTGTCGTGGCTGGTTCCGCCCTTGAATCATTAATCAAGGGTAGTTTAGAAAAAACGTATCCAAATAAATACTTTAGCAAAGTAGAGTCAAGAAAGTTACAAAGTTTTTCGGATCTCATATATGTGTGCATATTTAAGAAAGCGTGCTACTTCCAAATTAGAGCTGAAGGCAACAATCCAACTATGCTCATTCTCATCTCTAAGAAGCAAGCAAAGTTGGAAAAGTCAATAAAAATTGTCCACATAGAACTAGTTCATATATGAGTAGCATGTTTTCTAAGCTCAACTAGTTCAAATATAACTAAGTAGGGATGGACTCAGGATTTGAAAATGTTATTGGCTAAATTTTCCTTACATACAAATTTATTGAAAACTCGACAGTACTAGTGAATTTTATTAATGATAAAAAAAAATACACGGGGAACATATAATGAGTCTTACCTCTCAAAAAGCTAGTACAACATACTTAAATAGTTAAATATCTTATCAAAATCCAGAAAACATCATCAATTGTAAATAAGAAACTAGGCCCTTATCACATCTTCAATCAACATGTCAGCAACTAATCAATTTATCAAAATCCCTAATTGATAATTCATACAAGCAAGAACACCAAAGTCAATTTCAACAACTAATCAATTTATTTGGATTGCCTAGAGTAGGGTATTAATTTAGTCAAAAACAACAAAAAAACCAAGTTTCCTGGGCAGGTTAGCTTGTTCATGAGATCGTCCCTAGTCTTCCCCAATCCTCAATTTTTAAATAAAGAAAAACTTTTCTTGACATAATTAGAATAATTAAGCAAGCTTCGTGATTGTTGTTAGTCAAACTTAAATTTCAAAGACTTTATAGTTTCTCTCCCATTCCTTTTTTTTATTTTTTGAGGAGAGGTTTTTTTTTTTTTTTTTTTTTTTTTTTTTTTTTTTTTTTTTTTTTTTGGGGGGGTATTATTAACTCTTTCAGATTTTTTTCACATTTCTCTCTCTCTCTCTCTCTCTCTCTCTCTCTCTCTCTCTCTCTCTCTCTCTCACTTGTGGAAAGACATAATACTTTATACTTTGTTGTTTGTCATTAGTGGCGGATCCAGGATTCTTGGGTCATAGGGTTACTGTGTAAAAGTGTCGAAATTTTTTTTCGCTAGTTTAGGCATTTTTTAGGACAAATGAGTCATTTACTATTCAATTATTTTTATAAAAAAACAATTAAATAATAAAAAATTTACTCTACCATCAGCTCCAACCTGCCTTAGAAAAATCTAATACCTGGAAGAAGAAGGGTATTTGAAGATCTCAAGTGCAATAATGTCTATTTTAATATATCACACACACATCTCACGCACATCTTGCACACATCTTGCACTAATTTCTCTCTATCCTCTTTTAGCAAAGATCATTCTCCTCTCTAGGAAGCAAGCAAAATTGGAAAGGTCAACAAAAATTGTCCACATAGAACTAGTTCATATATGAGCAGCATGTTTTCTAATCTCAATTAGTTCAAATATAACTAACTAAGTACATTACGATAAAATGATACAAGCACGACAACAATTACAACACGTTAATCAATGATTGTTAAAAGGGATATTTGTTGAAATATCATCTAAACTTACACCTTAGTTTCAATTTGTCACATGAAATTTTTTTTAAGTGAAATGTCACCTGTATTTTTCAAAATCCATGATTTGTCACCTGAGTTTAACATAATCCAATTTTCCATATATTTTCAAGGGTATTTTAGTCTTTTCATTTTCAAGAATATTTTTAAAATGGAAAAAAATTATTATTAAAAAAAATAAAGCTTAAATGTAAAAATGGTTGGGGGTTAAATGTGAAAAGATATATAATTTTTGTAATTTCCAAAGGTCTTTTCATAATTTTTTTATAATGATTTTTCCATTTTTAAAATACTCTTGAAAAGAAAAAGACTAAAATACCCTTGAAAATAGTTGAAAAATTAGATGAAGTTAAACTACTCAGGTGACAAATCATGGATTTTGAAAAATTCGGGGTGACATTTCACTTAAATTTTTTTTTCAGGTGACAAATTGAAACAAATGTATAAGTTCAGGTGACATTTCAATGAATATCCCTTGTTAAAACAACATAGTAATTTGTCTTTCGACGAGAGAGAGAGAGAGAGAGAGAGAGAGAGATGAAGCTCGCTTAATTATTCTAATTATGTCACGAAAAAAATTATCTTTATTTTAAAATTGAGGATTGGGAGGAACAGTTGGTTCTTCAAGTAGTATAATTGGTTTAATGTGCTTACATCCGAATGTAGAGCTAAAGGCACTACTCTATTACTCTCCAATATTTTAATCTTCCCTTCTCTGTTTTGAATTTGCCCAACTTGAGATGATGAGGTCGTGGGATCACTGGGTTGAAGAGGCTCTTCAGAAACTCCAACACCTGCAACTCGTTGGATCTCTCAGACCCATTCACCTCCATAGTGCACCAGCTCTAGAAGCCCAAAAACCTATTGAAGATGAATTCAATGTGTTCGATGAACTGCAACCATGGGATCGATCCGCTGTGCAGGTTCAAATTACTGAAGCCACATTCCAAAAATGGGTCCATGACATTCCCAGTTCAGGTAGGGTTCAGTTCAACCATTTCTCACTTGTTTTGGAATTTTTTTTCTTTCTTTCAATTTTGAAGTTACGAGTCACGTTTCTTGAATTTTATAGGAGACGATGATGGTATCCAGAGTTTCAAAAAGCTGCTACTATTTTCTGCGAATGATTATTTGGGCTTGGGTTCACATCCTACTATTGGAAAAGCTGCAGCTAAGGTTGACACTACCAACTTGTGCGAAGATTGTATCATTAATTTACTGTTTACTATCACTTTGAAAACCATGCAATAATAATATAATTATATATATTCAACCAGGTCGCCCTAGAACACGGAATGGGCCCAAGGAGTTCTGCTTTAATCTGTGGATATACTGATTACCATAGGTTACTCGAGTCATGCCTGGCAGACTTGAAGGAGAAAGAGGTATGAGCTGCTAACCTTTTACTTTTTCAAGTAGTGGACTTATATATAATATAAAATACCGCTTTCATTCTCTTATGGTCATGTGCTACTCACGTGATGTTTTAGGTATATTCAGTTGAAAATGATGCAATATATCTTGTTTACAATGTATCCTCCAGGATTGTCTTCTTTGTCCAACGGGATTTGCAGCCAATACGTCCTTAATGGTAGCTTTGGGATCTGTTGGCACTCTCTTGGCTGCTGGCAAAACACCTTCACCTGATGAAAAGATTGCCATTTTTTCTGATGCACTGAACCATGCGTCAATAATTGATGGTATTCGTATTGCTGACAAGCAAAAGTCTGTACAGATATTCGTCTATAGACATTGTGACATGAATCACCTTGATGCCTTGTTGTAAGTCTTAAACTTCTCTTTTAATCTTCGTGTGCCTCTTCTTATAATTAGATATATGTACTTCATTTTTTTCATAGCTTAGCATTGCATTTGTGCTTTGATAGATCAAGTTGCAAAATTATGAAGAAAGTGGTCGTGACTGATAGGTTAGTGATGCTTTCTATAATGTCATCTCAGTTTCGAATCAATTTCTGGTTTAGATATAGTGTTTCTATTTTGATTTTCTTTCTTATGAGTTGCAATTTTCTTATTACAGCGTGTTTAGTATGGACGGAGAGGTTGCACCAATGGTTGAGCTTGTGAAGCTACGCAAAGAGCATGACTTTTTGTTAGTTATTGATGATGTAAGTCCTCTAGGGCAATCCATCAAGAAAGTTGGCCCCCGTATTAAGCAAAAAAACTTGTATGAAACGGGAATAACACTATTTTACTATCTCCAGCCAATCACAGTCTGCCACATGAAAAAGTTATCATGCATGACATACTGTGATTGGCAGGGAATAACAAAATAGTACTATTCTCATTTCTTATAAGTGTTTCTTCGCATTAAGAGACCTATATAACTGTTTAATATAAATATAGTAGCCCCTATGGCACCCGCGTGTGTACCATTTGGGGTTTTTTTTTGTCATTCTCTTGATCTCCTTTTAATTTAAAAACTAAGTTTTATAATTATTTTATAAATATATATATATATATATATATCTAAAAGGCTTAAAATATTGAAGGTGGTTGTCTCCTACTTTTATCAGCAACTGCAGAACATGTTCATTTTTTCTTTTCTTTTTTAGCCTTTCACAAGTGTTAATGCACGTGCAGAAAAGGCGTTTCTTACCGTACATATTTGAGCGAGGGGAGGGAGAGAGAGGCCCCATCCGTATAACAAAGTTGTCAAGGGGATGGAGAGAGAGGGAGAATTAAATAAGTGAATTATTATTGGCTCTAAAAAAAAACATTTTTTTGTTTTGTTTTTCGAAAGAGTATAATAGTAATAGAGAAGTTGATATAGATTCAAATTCATATTGAGAAGTTGGTTTAATCCTTGGAGTTGGTGACTTTGATACAAGTTCTTTGACTTTTGTGCCACATAGGATTACATTCATTTTTAAATATTTTATGATGTAATCTTTTTATTTTTATTTTAAATAATTTTTGTTCCAAAATGTTGCCCTTTATGCCTTAAATCGGGTAGCTGTAATTTATGTGATAATTATAGGAAAGAATTGCATCCATGATTTTGTATATTAAGTCTTGTTTTTTTTTTTTTTTTTTTTTTTTTTTTTTCCTTTTAAACCCAAACAAATTGGCTTTCTTTCTTATTGTTTACCATCACCACCCTTCTCAATACTTGACACCTGTCTATGAGCATAACCATAGTTTCTCAAATACAAGGTAAAGAGTTAACTATGGTTAGATCTTTTGACACATGTCAAGTGTTGAGAATGATGGTGGGGGTACATCTTGGGTTAAAGTTGTGAGTAAAAATATTTCCAAATTCTACATATATATATATATTAATATAAAGCACATTTGCTCATAGTACCTATATATTAGGTACATAAAAACGTCATCAATATTTCTCTTGTTTATATTGTTTTTCTAACGTTTTTTATTTGTTGCTATGCTTAAACACCACGAATCAACTAGATAAGTATTAAACATTTTGTGTTTTCAATATTTGGGTGTTTACTTGATGCATAGGTACATAATTTCATGTAGGTGTTGCCTCATCGATTAGTATGATATGTGGGTCTTTACTTTTATTGATTAAATTGTATTTTATCCATATATTAGGTAAATATTCACAAGGAAAGAATTCAAATTTTAAATTCTGAAATTCAATTACAATGAAATAATGCATTAAATTTGGATTTTCAATGTGTTTCCTTATTTACTTCAAAAGGGTAAAATCAACACCAAATAAATAAATAAAAAGTCAAAGGACCTGCATCTAAAACTAAAACGAGAAGGACTCCGCCTAATGACAACTAATCGTTTTGGATCTAGATCTAATAAGTCCTTAAATTTTTTAGCACAATTAAGCCCCAATTTATCACATTTTTTATACGGCTTCTTTTGCAGAATTTGGGTTGTCTTGGCCCCGACAATGTCAAGGCGGATTTGAAATGCTCTTTATATAGGTATAAGATATTAAAAATCCTAAACCTACATTTTTATTCAGGCTCATGGTACACTGATTTTTGGAAAAAATGGCGGAGGAGTGGCTGAGGAATTCAACTGTGAAAGAGATGTTGATATATGTGTTGGCACTTTGAGTAAAGCTGTTGGTTGCCAAGGCGGATTCATTGCATGCAGGTAAATATATATTCTTGCTTTATTTTCCCTTGATTTGTAGCAACAATACAAATTGTGAGATTTAGGGTTTATAGTTGCACGTTTGATCTCTTCATCTTTTAATACAGCAAAAAGTGGAAGCAGCTCATACAATCAAGGGGTCGCTCTTTCATATTTTCCACAGCTACGCCAGTACCAATTGCTGCTGCTGCCCATGGTAAAACCCTAGCATTAATTTATCATGCATGCATTATTCACATGTGTTAACACTACAAGTATAAATTTGCAGCTGCTCTTATTGTGGCAAGAAAGGAAACATGGCGTAGACGGGCAATTTGGAATCGGGTGGAAGACTTTCGTGCTCTTACTGGGATCCCCATAAAAAGTCCCATAATCTCTCTTGTCGTAGGGAGCGAAGAGAAGGCTCTACAAGCTAGCCAGTTTTGTTTCCTTCCCTCTCTATTATCTTTTTTATGTGTGATTAATTTAGAGATCGATCATACTACAACTGCATATATCTAACTGAATTTGTTTATGATCGTCAATTGACGATGAACAGGAGTTTATTAAAATACGGTTTCCATGTCACTGCAATCAGGCCCCCAACAGTGCCACCCAACTCATGCAGGTTTGTTGCAATTCTTCATTAGCGGTCACTTTTGTTGGGGAATTGAAACCTATAACTTTCTAAACTTACATCTTCATTTATATTTTTATATTTTTATATTTTTGTGCTCAGGCTACGAGTGACATTGAGCGCAATGCACACAAGGCACGATATTGAGAAGCTCGTGGATGCACTCTCCCGTTGCATCAATTTCCAAGAATTGATGTAGCAAAAATAAACTTTATCTATAAGCTATGTGTAAAAATAAGACGGCTCTAGCAGATAGTCTAGAAGCTAAGCTTATAGATATTATCCTTATGTTATTGGATTGTGTTTGTAAGTACTTTGGGATCTTTGTGATCCATAAGCTATGTGTAAAAATAAGACGGCTCTAGCAGATAGTCTAGAAGCTAAGCTTATAGATGTTATCCTTATGTTATTGGATTGTATTGTAAGTACTTTGAGCTCTTCATGATCCATAAGCTATGTGTAAAAATAAGACAGCTCTAGCAGATAGTCTAGAAGCTAAGCTTATAGATATTATCCTTTTGTTATTGAATTGTGTTTGTAAGTACTTTGGGCTTTTTGTGATCCATAAGCTATGTGTAAAAATAAGACGGCTCTAGCAGATAGTCTAAAAGCTAAGCTTATAGATATTATCCTTATATTATTGGATTGTGTTTGTAAGTACTTTGGGCTCTTTGTGATCCATAGGCTATGTGCAAAAATAAAACGGATTTAGCAGATATTCTAGACGCTAAGCTTATAGGATAATATCCATTTTCTCTTATTAAGTTATTTGTGTATGTTGGTCTATATATATGATTAGGTGTGCTTTGATGTAATCAGTATGGCCTATCAATGAAGCCTTCCTTGACTTGTTTGGCAGTAAATTGAACTTGTCATATATACCCTCTTAATACGCCCTATTTTGTACAAGTGGTACATACCACCGATTGTTATAATCTTAATTTTTTGTGGCATGTTTATTAATCCGTAATCAAATTATGATTACGGACTACTCATATGTTTACTTCATATAAAGGAATGAAATATACAAGTGGAGCCCACATAAAACTCTTGATTTTAAAGGAATGGGACTCTTGGGTGCGAGGTGGTATATTCTATTTCTTAGAGAACTAACTCATTAGAAATTCATATTTTTTACCCATTAAATCCTCACATAATTTTTAAAATTTCAAATTTGTCAGTCATTTGAACCCAACAAAAATTTACAATAAAATAATTTATTGAGAATAAACGCATTTTAGTAATCAAACTGGTTTCAATTCCGATTAAGGGGAATTTAGTAAACAATTTATAGGGAGTCAATACCATTCCTACCCCGATTCTAGATAGTTTAGTAAACAGCTTCATTGGGAATTCAAATTATACTCCTCCTCAATTGAACTCCTACTCAATTCAATTTCTCCTCACCGATTACTAACTAGTAAAGATTTACACTAACTTTTTTCCCCAATCATATATTTTGAAGAAGACAAAAAAGTTGTGTCATTTTTGCCATTAATGCATGCGCTGTGGGGCTTTGGCATATATATCATGCGTGGCTGAGCAGCCAGGTTAATTGTATAATTAAGTGACCCATTATCTTTAACGACGTGTCCATGTTTCCAATTTGCCGTTCCAAATTTAAGGTTGAACTCTAATGAAAAGCAATAAAACCAATCCCTCAAATCGAATACATATTTCTGGGAAACTCCTGGCTAGTTGGTTCTGGCAACTTCCATTAATTATTGCAACATTGTCCAAGAATATATTTATTTTCTCAGCACCGCCAGAACAATAGCCCATGCATCATCGTGGTCCACGTAATATTGCCTTGTCCGTACATACCCGAAAACATAAACCTGGAAGTATGAATTTTTTAACGACATAATGAAACCGAAAAAAAAACATATTAAATACAATATAAAAACATATTAATAAAATAAAAATATGTTCAGCAACAGAATTTAAATTGTACCTATTTATGTTGTGTTCTACGATCCTTGAGAGAATTGAAATATTTTGTTATTGCATATGAAAATGTAAAGAGTCAAAGTCGTGAATGTTTAGGAAGCGATTATGTCTCTCAATTGAGCAAGCAAATTAATATAAGATTATTATAAACCTATAAAATTGAGTGGACAATAAATTACTAGGCTGCATTTGGTGAACTACTAAATTTTTATTAAATCACAGTTTTTTTTTTTTTCTTTTACTGCCCCTGGAAGCAAGGAGAAATGTAACATCCAAATATATTGACAAAACTTGAATGCTTGGACCAATGACATGCATGTGCTTCCGAAGATTTTTATTTTTATTTTTTGTATTATTTATGTTTTGGCAGCTGATTTGGATTGGAGGTAATGAATGAGAACAAGTTCATGGAATTGATTCTTCAATCTTGCAAATTAAGACAAATAATTCAGTACCTGCCAACATGTCTCTCTTCGACAAAGCTTGGATTCTAAAGGTTGATCAACTACACATGATTAAGCTTTTTTTTTTCCCCATCTTGTTTAAAACAGAAAAGGAATAACATATGTTAATAAAACCTGACCAGCTAGATTGATTTGTGATCATTCATAGAATTAGAGAGCATTCAATCTAAAATTAACTAGGGCATGAAAAAAGCTATAAGATTTTTTCACTACTGAGTGTAGAGTCACTCGAGCAAAACAAGTGGATAACATGACTTTGATACGCACCGTTACATAGCTAGATTTAGAACAATTCAACACAAATTAGTTGAAAATACGAGACGAGAGACTCAAGTTCCATTTCTTGATGTAGAACAATACTCTCTCAACAGTAATAATATATATATATATATATATATATATCATGGTTTGATATTATGAATATAAGTTTTGGACACAACTTATAAAATTATGAAATGGGGAAATCTTCAAATATGATATGAAATTGAAAAGAAAACATTCGAAAGAAAGCATTCAGAAAATCCGATACGTTGGTCCAAAAAGTTCTTGAACTATTTGGCAAGTGGTGATGAGGGTAGGATTGGTGGATGCTGTGTGAAGCAAATCCCTTCGCGTAGGAGGATAAGAAACCTTTGGTGAGATGTTTATAACCCTGCGTTTCCGACTTGAGTACAACAAGAAACAAAGATAGATACATCTTATCAACATTCATTAGTACTGCGCCAAAAGAGGTAAAGAATTGAAAATCGATCGGATATCATTTCTTGTGATTCTTATGGACTTTGAATTTTTATTTTTATTTTTCTTGAGTATTTGATAATAAAAGCATCTCTGTCTCAGATGACAAATGACTAGAGGAGATGCCAAATTGAGGCCCACAAAACCTCCAAGCAAATGTTACTAATGAAGTGGATTTAACTTCCACCGTTTGAAAGATAGATGAAAAATATAGCCCTACAAATAGTTTTATTAGGATTTCATGTAGCTATATCACCAAGATCTTTTAAAAGATCTTAAGCACCACCATTGTAACCAACCATTCAATCTACCACAATTGTATGAGATGAGAAGGATGTCACACGCTTCTAATAAAATACAAGCGTGTTATTTTTCCACGTACAGGGCTAGGAGTAAATCTGTACATGTGTATGCAGCTCTTGTACATATGTAATTATGTAATATTACTTAAATTATGTGTTTTTTCAGATTAATCATGTTCGAGATTGTGAATCCTTGGATTTATTGAAAGGTATTATAAGATCATGTTCCAATATTCCAGAAAGGCACAACCAAATACAGCAGTGATGGGGAAATTAATTTGTTTCTTTCCCCTTCAAAAGAATTTTTGGAAGTGCTCCTCAATGTATCTTGAGTGTTTGCATGTGCATACGAGTAGTTAACCTCGAGGGCAGACTCAAGGGAGGTAATGACTACCTAAATCTCAATACGAAATTCCTAATGCATGCACGTGCATATGGTCTCAAGTCTAATAGATCGTGACCTAAGCTTGCTTCTTAGGTTGGAATAGGACCCACAGAATGGCCTTCAACCTATTATTCCGACTATTAATTAATTAATTGATTGATATATTCTGATATTGTGATCCTCATTCTTCTCCTGAAACAAGTGAGAATATTTATACAATGGCCCACAACCAAAAACCCCTCCTCGTATGATCAAGAAAATTATAAATTTTTTGGGGGTCACGATCATAGTGTTTGGGGTGTACAAGATCTAATCCAATTCACTCAAATCGACTATTTCAATCCAATCCAATGCAATTTTAATCTGTTTCGAAGATTTGGTGCTTTGGATTGGATCCGATCCGTAATTTTCAAAACCAACATGATCGGATCCAATCCAGTCCAGTCTAGTTAGTTTTATACTTATTTTGCTCTTGTAGGTATTTTTCTCTAATATTTCATTTATATTTTACATTTATGTCTATTAATATGTTTGATTATATTAAACATTTAATATTTCATTATTGTCTTTTTCTATTATCAAAACTGATAATCCAATCTAATCCAATCCAATCCAACATCAATTGGATCGGATAAGATTGGATTTAAACATCTAATATGTTTGGACCGGATTAAAAAAATCACAATTCAATGTATATTGGATCAGATGCAAATTAACTAAATTGTATTGGTTTCAAATTGACGTACACCCATACATAGTGTTATGTGTTATTATTAATTTACTTAAGTTATATTAATACGTGTATTTATTTATTATAGAAATTTGGGATAAGTCCAAAATTGAGAATATAAGTTGGGATTAATCCTTGCATTTGCTGCAGTTGATATAAGTCCTTTGACTTTTCTGTTAAATAGGATTACATTCATTTTTTGAATTTTCTAATATAGATCTATTATTATTATTATTTTAATTATCTAGTTATTCCTATTATGCCATTGAAGTATAAATTGTGTAGAAATTAATTTATAGTACAATAATGACGAGATTTTATTATAATTTTAATAGAGAGACATACATAGGTTAATAAATCCCATAACCATTGGACGTTTTTCTGTCTTGCTCTTTGTCTCCATTTCATTCTTTCTTGTTCTTCTTCCTTCTTCTTTGTTCTCCATCTATTTTTCGCTATGTTAATATACATATTCTTCTTCTTCTTCATTCTTCTTAGTTATCCATCTTCATCTTTTCTTCATCTATTTTGTGCTATGTTAGTATACATATTCTTCTTCTTCTTTTTTCTTCATATATTTTTTGCTATGTTAATGTATCTATCTTCTTCTTCTAGGTGGCAGAGAATTGGTGCATTCCATATTGTACCTATTATATGGGTTAATTTAGCTTGTACTAATACTAACACAACGTTGGCTTTGTTGGGTTTTTTTTTCCCATCAGAATAGGTATATCATATTTTCTTTTTTAATCTAATTTTTTTTTTATATGCTTATGGCATTTTGTAGGTACCTAACTTTACCTTATTATGTAGGTAAAGTAACATATGTATGTTTTTCTATGCTCCTGACTTGATGAATAGTAGGTGTTTTAGTTTATGCACACGAGTTTAGGTAACAATTTTTTTTTTGGTCATCCAATGGTAGAGGCATATTATATACTTTTGTAGATATATTATCCTATGGTGTAGGTATGTTGTCCTATTGCCTATTGCATAGGTATATATATATATATATGTTTTTTCTTATTTTCGACAATGTGTAATAGTATTTTATGTACTTTTTATTTTTATTTTTATAGGTAACATATGATTTTATTTGTCTATTTTTGGTATATGACTTATAGGTAGTCTTCTAAATTATGTTCCTAACTTATAGGTAGTCTTCTAATTTATGTTCCTAACTTACGGGTAACATTATTTATCACTAAATTTTTGTTGTTGCTAATAATAACATTATTTACTTGTATGTCGACGACATAATTTCATGTGAGTGCTTGTCTAATAGATTGGTATAATATGTGAGACTTTACTTTTCATTGATTACATTGTATTTTATCCATATATTAGGTAAATATTATCAAGGAAAGAATTCAAAATTTAAATTCTGAAATTCAATTACAAGGAAATAATGCATTAAATTTAGATTTTCAATGTGTTTTCCTTATTTACCCCAAAGGGTAAAATCAACACAACAAAAAAGTAATAAATGTCAAATGACCTACATCTAAAACCCAAAACGCGTGGCTAAACCCAATAACAGCTAATAGTTTTGGACCTAGATCTAAGAAGCCCTATTTATTAATACTATATTTTAGGTTTATGACATACTAATTACGTTATTGTTCACTCGTTTTGTGTTTACTTCTATGATGGAAGGGCAAAGTTCCCCACTGCCTTGAGAACCATAAACTGGTCAACAAGTCAGCTTTCTTTGGTGTGCGAGCGTGCCACTGCAAGCAAAATTTCTAGCAGACTTAGTTTGGAATGGATAACTTGCGTCCCAAGTTACTGATTTCTGCAAACAAACGATTGTGAATTTGGGTGAGGAATATCTCCCAAGTAAGTTCTTTTCCTGCCTCAGACTGGGGAGGACTTTAACAATTTATCTCAGTATAAAGAGGTTGCCTTGGCCAGAATGGTTGATGGGATTTAAACTGTTTTTTTAGGCGGAACTGCCTTTTACCAAAATATAACAGTGAATACTTATGCTAGAGAAAGATGAAGAGACAGCCGGGACTTTATTTCTGTCGAGATAGAAGGTTCTGGTCTGGACTGGACTGGAGATGCCCGGGCTGGACTGGAAACGCTTGGGCTGGACTGGACCGTTGACAACCTTGACTGCTAAGCTTCAACTTGTAAATCGATACCAAAGGCTGATTCTGGCAGAGCTTTGATGTACCTCATGCTTTTGTGAAGCTTTTGAGTGGGCAGAACTGCAGTTTTCTCAATCTGCATGGGCAGGAGTGACTGTTTTTGAGGGCTTCAGTGGGCTAGAGACTGCACTGTGAATTTTGTTGAGGTTTTCCATATTTGGAGGAGACTCAAACCCTGCCTGTTTTGGTTTTTTGCTGAACCAAATTTGTAACGAGAGAAATCTCGTTTTGAATGACTTGCTTCTTAAATCTGGATTTTGGGAATTCTGATCTGGAGCTGGTTTCACTTGAAATTCAAGTGGGCTCGTTGGTTGATTTTGAACTTGTCTATTTGACGGTTTTCTTGTGTAGGATCTTTGTTTTTTTGGTGATGAATTTTTTGTTGTCCTTTACCCTGTTCACTCCTCTTTGTATTTATAGTGAAAATTAATAATGGGCGGCAAATCTCTTTCAGAAGATATCTCCCCCTTTTTTTCTCTTTTAAAATGGAAAGAAAGAAAGTAGGATTTTATCAATTTTGGCAGATAGGCTTTCAACAGATAGGCAATCACTTCCCTGTTTTTGTTGAGAAAGAACCTAATCTCTCTTCTTAATTTCAACTGCCCCTTGTGAGATTTCACCCGTGATGGTTATTTCTGGACAGATCCCTACTTTCCTGCTTATCTCTCTCTGAGCTTGTAGCTTGCTTATCTCTTTGGGAGAATTACCCTCTCTGTAGAGTAGAAAAAAGATCTCTGATTTAATATATATATATATATGTATATGTAAGAGGGATTTTTATCTTCTGATTTTTCAAGGCTTTTTTTCAGAACAGCTTGATGACATAAACTTTTCAATCACTTCTCTTATGACAGTTGCCATTGTTGACTTTCCTTCATCCCAGAGATGTCACGTGAGTTTGTTTCCTATTTCTGGGCTTCCTCCTTTTTATCACAATGGGGCTGTGAGGCCCAGGTTTTGGGCTGGGCTTTTCTTAGATTTTGGGCTTCATTTTCGCTGGGCTGGGTGTGTCAATTTTTAGGCCCAAACAGTTATCTAATTAGTTAATAACTATAATTTTTTTTTTATCAGCTATATGAAAGAAGAAGGGAATTTAACTTAAAACCTCGAGTGCACAATGCTCTTAATCACTTAAACTACAAACTCTTATATTATATCTCGTAGTTTTTTATATGCTCGCCAAAAATAAGTCATAGATGAATACTGTTACGTGGCGGTTTCAACCAGACCAACGTAACGAGTCGACTAGCGATCCTCATCGAAGCCAAGTGGTCTCTCGCCCTTGGATGCTATATCACATTATCACATGCTACCAAGTTACCACGAATGACAGCCTCATCATTAATAGAAATCATGGTCTAAAATATCGATGATATCGGAAATATCGATAGTCCAAAAACATGGAAATTTCGATGGAAATATCGGGATATTATCGATATCTATAAAAATTGAATAAAAACCACAGAAATTGTAAGAAAAACTTGGAAATTTTTATTGAAACTTTGGAGAATGTTTATTTAGTCAATTATCTATTAATTTATCAAAAAGAAGGAAATGCATTACATGATGGATTTAACTTATTTAAGTTGATTATACAGCGAGCTAGCAAACACTGTGAGTGTAGAAAGTATGTAGTAATTAATGAAAAAAAAATTAAACACACCATAATCATTTATATATAATGATTTACCACAATATTTTACACTATATATTGCATGGTAAGATACATGAGTGACTTAGTACCATATAGAGTTCCTATGAGGTTCAAATTTTTCACTATCTTCATCATCTCTATGTGTAGAGTAAGTGTATTGTGAAGAGTATTCATCAAACGATAAATCCCCAAAATAGTTTTGCATGTAATTGTTAACATGTCACCCATATAAATATAAATATTTTAGCATATTATCACTAAAACATAAGTGATACATGATGGTTAAGGTGTTGGAGTAAAATAGGAGGGGTTCAAATCCCCTTTGTGTGTTTTTCCTCCCTTTTTTCCCTTTTTTCCCTTTTTTTTCTTTTTTTTTCTTTTTTTTCCTTTACATCTATATTTTCGATATTTTAGTGATATTACACCATATTTTGACAAATATTGCTGAAGTGTAAGCGAAATTATCGACATCGATATTTTTCGATATTATCGTCGATATTGTCGATATTTATACGATATGTACATGGATATGTTTCGAAATATTTGCGATTCGAAAAAACTGAAATATCTTCGATATTTCGTCGATATTATCGATATTTCAGACTATGATAGAAATCACCTCCAAAAATAAAATATAGTAAAAAAATCCCCCCCAACAAATATTGAATCTGGTAGAAACAAAAAAAACCAACACAAAACAAACATAACAAAAGATAGAGAAGCGAACGTCAGCATCATTATTACAAAAGCGACAATATTGCGTGGCCCCCAGCAAAGCGATATGCGGGGATCATCGGTTTATAAATGAGGCCACGTAGAGAGACCGAGAGACGCAAACCATTTAACAGCACAAACTGAAGCAAGCAGCAGCGCCCGTTGTGTTCTTATTCGCGGCGAAACGTCGCCGTTTCCGCCGCAGCTGATCTTTTTAGGAGGCGGAGCCACCAGATTGTGAGAGCGATAATATTTGTGATGGCGGGGCAGTCGAGAAAATGGATGATTTTGGTGGTGACAATTTGGATTCAGGCGTTTACAGGGACGAATTTCGATTTCTCGTCGTATTCTTCGTCGTTGAAATCTGTGCTGGGGATTTCTCAGGTGCAGCTGAATTATTTGGCGACTGCCTCTGATTTGGGGAAGGTGTTGGGATGGTCTTCTGGGCTGGCTTTGATGTATTTTCCTTTGTGGGTTGTGCTTTTCATTGCTGCCTTCATGGGCTTCATTGGCTATGGCATTCAGTGGCTTGTCATTCGGCAAATCATTTCCTTGCCTTATTTCCTGGTAATTTTATTCGTCTTCTCTCTCTCTCTCTCTAATTTCTACAACATTCTATGCCATTGCCATGCTGTTTGTGTTGTTTGGTTAATTGGGATTTCATTACATTGTTTTCCTTCCTTTAATTCTTAATTCTGTTCTGGGTTTTCTGTGTTTGATGCAAATTCATGCTATTTTGTTGCCAGTTTCATGTTGCTCTGTTTGTGGTTAGAGTTCAACTAACCCAAACCCCTCTCTCCTCCAAAATAGAGACTTTCTGTTATTTTTTCCTTAAATGTTTTCTTCTTTTCAGAGTTAAATTGGTTAGGCAAACAAAAACAAAGGAAAAAGAAAAGAAAAAAAACCGTGACCCAACCTTTTCTTTCTTTTTCTTATTGGATAATTTATTTATTTATTTTATAGCTAGATTCTTTCAAATTTATTAATAGGAGATACTGTTCCAGGAAAAAGGCATAGTCATCGTTGATAGATAGATCTGCATAATTCTGAGGTCGGGGCCCACTAGAGGGCCATCTCACTAGTATCAAGTGACTTTTTGGTGGCTATCAGTATCAAGTGGACCCCAATTAACTCTTTCCAAAAAGGGCCTAATATTATGTGTTTTTGTACTTTTGGTTTGGAGGAACATTAAATTTACGAAATATTATTTTATATTAAAAATTATTTGGTGGCTTTTACATGATGAACAAACTTGGTTTTGTTTTATCTTTCTCCAAAATTTCAAATTGGGAATTTAGCATGAAATTTTTTCCATGTGAGACCAAAAAAAAGTTGGTTGGAACTTGGAAGAAGCTTCCTTTAAAATATCTGCTTTCAATCCAAAATCTGCTTTCAATTTGGGCCTTAATATTTGTACAATAACACATTGAATATGATGACCAGACTTGTTGGAACGAGCTTACTTGGTAACTTCTTAGACTTGTCAATTTTCCTCACCTTTCCTTGCCTTATCTTTGCATTTGGCTTTCACTATTTTTGTTTTTGTTTTTATTTTTCGTTTGGAGCTAAGTTTACATGCAGAAATTACGGACACGCATGTCCAAATAGATCAAAATAAAATGGGAAAAAACGGCTTAAAAGCACTACTAACTAGTTGGTTATTTCGTACCTAAGTTCAATTTCCCCTTGTTGATGAAAAAAAATTACACAATATACTTTACCTTTGCCATTTTTTATTCTCTTGAGGGACAATAATATGTTGGACAACAAAATTTGAATTCAATTGGCTATTAATATTAGAATTTGAATATCCATCCAAAAATCGTGTGACAATAGGTGAAGATGCTCAACATCTTTTAAGCTCTTAAGCTAAACTTTTATCCTTCGACGTGGGATACTTTTAACAATCATTTAACTCGTTATTATGAATCATGGATATTTCCAAATGTATATTGGTTAGTATTGCTGTTGAGCATGTAAACGTTTTTATGTTGGAATTTTTCGTTACAGACAAAAACAATAAGTAATTACTAAGTCCTAAAGTTTCTTTCTCCATGTTAAAATTCAGACCTTGGAATTTTTTTGGTTCGCAGTTGATTGATGATTCTAATTCTAGTGATGACCTAGAATGTAATTATCTTTCATTGACATTGAATCTATTTTGATGACATGGTCTTGACATCTAAACCACACAATTATAATCAACAAACCTGTTTGGTGCTCCATCTCTTTGACAACGAATCCTCATACCAAACTTTGAAACCTTGCATGTGTGGAAGATCCATAGCTTTACTGTCATTTTTTATTCTTTTTCATGGGAGTAGCTAACTTATCTTGTTTTTGTTTTGTATGTTTGAATTTCACGCAGATGTTTCTTCTGTGTTTGTTGGCTGGGTGTAGCATCTGTTGGTTCAACACTGTGTGTTTCGTTCTATGCATTCGGAACTTCCCAGCCAATCAACCTTTAGCAATATCACTCACAGTAAGCTTCAATGGTGTAAGTGCAGCCTTGTACAACCTTGCTGCTGATGCAATTGATTCATCCTCTACTTCCTTATTTCTCATATTGAATGCTGTTATCCCCCTTCTCACTTCTGTAGCCGCCTTGATCCCGATTCTCCGCCAACCCTCCCTAGACCCTCTTCCACCTGATGGAGTTCGCCGCGACTCCCTCATCTTTCTCCTTTTGAATATCTTGGCTGTTCTAACTGGAATTTACCTTCTTCTCTTTGGTTCAACCTCATATGATACAGCAACAGCTCGTCTCTTCTTAGGAGGAGCCATTTTCCTACTCATTTTTCCTCTATTTATCCCTGGCATTGTCTACGCTCGTGACTGGTTTTGTCGTGCTATTCATTCTAGCATCCGCCTTGAAGGCTCGGGCTTTGTTCTTGTTGATGTTGATGACCTCGAGCTTCATAAAGAGCTTCTTACGCGCGAGAACAGTATTAATTATGGGAATGGATCGGTTGCTCAAGTCTTGAACAATAATGATGGCCCTACTACAACTTTGTCATTTAGACAGAAGAGTGGATATCAGAGCGCAGGGTGTTGTGGGGCAATTGTGGGCAAGAATCAGTTGGCAATGCTTGGGGAAGACCACACAGCACGAGCGCTTGTACGAAGGTTGGATTTTTGGCTATACTACGTTGCATATTTTTGTGGGGGCACTATTGGTCTTGTGTACAGTAACAATCTGGGGCAGATAGCTCAATCACTAGGACAGAGCTCCAATACTACAACACTTGTCACGCTTTATTCATCCTTCTCCTTCTTTGGCCGACTGCTCTCCGCTGCACCGGACTACATACGTGCGTAAGTAATCCGAATGTGTAATTAATAGTTTGTTTGAAAAGACAATCCAAAGGGATATGTTCATTTCTACATGCTTGTGTGATTTTTACATGTTGATCAACTAGGCTAACAAAATATTGTCACCAAAATTTTACAGGAAGCTTTACTTTGCAAGGACAGGGTGGCTGGCGATTGCACTTTTGCCTACCCCAATTGCTTTCATGTTGCTTGCTTCCTCAGGTGGTAGCCTTGCTTTGCACACCGGCACTGCACTAATCGGATTGAGCTCCGGATTCATTTTCGCTGCCGCTGTTTCCATCACATCAGAGTTGTTTGGGCCAAACAGGGTAGGCGTCAACCACAACATCGTCATTACAAACATACCAATCGGTTCACTCGTCTACGGGCTTCTTGCCGCAATAGTTTATGATTCAAATGCGAGCTCTGGCCTAAGCATCTTAACTTTTAGTGATTCAGTAGTGTGCATGGGGAGGGACTGCTATTTCCTAACCTTTGTGTGGTGGGCATGCATTTCGGTTCTGGGGCTGGCTTCAAGTGTGCTTTTATTCTTAAGAACCAGACATGCCTATGACCATTTTGAACATAACCGTTCGACGCAACTCTACTAATAGAATTATTATAGCTTGCTGTTTGGAGGCAAAAGATATAGCATTAATTAGGTTTTCTACTCTAAATTTTGGAGGGAGAAAACATATTGGCTTGTCAACAGAGAATCAATCAATGAGGCAGCTTGTGGTCCATGTATTATTGAGGGAGTATTTGTAGAATATTCATGAAGGAATACTTTAACGATGTATTTCACATGTATGATTAACTAAGAGATAAATTAGATTAAAAAGTGACATCAATCTCAAACCGGCCGTTGCTAAGCTCATATTTTGCTTAAATGTACCTCATAGTGTTGCCATGTGGGCCAGTTTTTATCCTTCTCTGTATCTCTAGAAGCCGTTAAGTTTTCTTTTTAATAAAAATTCTTAGTTTTTGTCCATATGATATTCGTTAATTCATACATCATTAAACTGACGTCTGAGTGCTCTGTAACAATACATATAGGTTAACTCGATATATTGGACGAAGGGGCGAGTAGTGTAACAATTTTAACTTCAAGGTTCTTTATAGAAATTCTAAATTATATGGACTAAACAATTACATCCCCCAAAATATAGGGGTGGAAAGTCTAATTAACTCTACTAATTATAATGAAGAAGATGAGTTTATGGTAAAATTTAAAGCCACCCAAAGTTATCCTCATTTGAGAAAGAAAGAAATTCAAAACACAACTCCTTCATTTTAAAAGGACAAATAAAATAAAAATATATAAGAAATGACCTTCTATATCCAAAAATTTAAAATATATATATGTAAGCAGAGACATCAAACAATGAAAAATGAAAAAACCCAAAAAATATCTTTGATTAAATAAGGTAATAAGAGACAACAAAATAATATAGTGAGGGTAAAATGATATAACAATTATCATTTAAATAAAATAATAAAAATCACAAAACTTACATTTTTGCCCTTCGGTCTTTCAAGTTGTTCCATTATATTCTACTAGCCCCTTGGCACATGGTTTTCTTTTTTCTTTTTTATTTTATTTTTAGAATTAAGAAAAGATAATATGGGTAGTTATCTATATATATAAAGCAAAAGGCAGAGAACAATGAAACATTCAAAATAGGAGAAAATGTCCTTTGTTAATTCAAACATTAACAATTAAAATTATTAATTAAATGAGGATAATATGGTAAATTCAAAAAAATTCATATTAAAAAAATTAAAATTAAAAACAAAATCAAATAATAAGTTCTACTTTTATGGAACATAACTACCTATGTTATCTTTTCTTAATTCTAAAAATAAAATAAATAATAATAATAAAACCAATTGGCACATGCGTGAGTATGTGCCAAGGGGCTAGTGTTCCATAAAAGTAGGACTTATTATTTAATTTTGTTTTTAATTTTAAATTTTTTCTAATATAAAAAATTAATTTACCACATTATCTTCATTTAATTAATAATTTTAATTCTTAATGTTTGAATTAACCAAGGGAATTTTTTGGTATTTTGAATGTTTCACCATTCTCTGCCTTTTGCTTTATATATATATATATATATATATAATTAAAAAACACACAAAACTCACTTTCTGTTGTCCTACTCTTCCACCCCTCACCCCCTTTTCCTTTATTTTTTTAAATTTGTTTTAATAACTAGTGCAAATATAAATAACACATAAGAATTAAAAAAAAAAAGGGACGAGATTTCAAAATTATTATGAAACTTATTTAATGTAAATAGACGTTTATATTATAAAGGGACAAGATTTCAAAATTATTAATGACACCGAACAAATGTTAGTTTTTTTTTGTTTTGCCAAAGTTAGGAAGGGAGGTTTTTCACACACATACTGTCAATTAGGGCTAGCATTTTCTACCAGGATATCTCAAATACTGACCATAATTTCACTGCGACCAAACTGTAATGTCGTGAAAACTGACCACAATTTGAGGTTTTTTGGGCCGACTGTAATGCGCTGTTGTCGATGTGGTTCCGCAAATCCAAATGTTGTAGTATACTGCAATACCGCAAATATATTTAATTAAATATGTATAATTATTTTATATTAACTAACAACCTTTAGATGAATCTAACGGTTAGGATTTATTATTTTCGATAAATCCTAGTTGTCAGATCAATCTCACTCATCTCATATCTCTTTCTCTCTCTCTTTCTCTCTCAGACGCGATGGGTCTCACTTTTCTCTCTCAAACCCTTCGCAAAAACCTCCACAGCCTCTCTCAACCTCGTTGACTCTCTTTCTCTCAATCAACCAACCTTGTCGCGTCTCTCTCTTAGTCAACCTTGCCACCTCTCTCAGGTCACTCATCATTGCCTCTCTCAACCTCGTTTACCCTCTCATCATCTCAGCTTCTCTCTAGTCTCATCTCGGTCTCTCTCTTTGTCTCATCTCATCTCTCTGTTGAGTCATGACATCCTCAAGTGACATCGATTTGGAGTTTATCAGTGGACTCTCTGCATCACAATCTCCTCCTCCTCCTCCTCAGGTAATTTTTTTTTACCCAACCCTAATTTCTAAAATTGAGGGTTTGAACTTTGAATTAGGGTTTTGATTTTGGGGTTAAATCAAGCAATTTTGTTTCGTTAATTGATATGTTTAGGGTTTTAAAATGTTGAATTGAATTGATTATGTTTTTAAGCTTTAATTTGATTATGTTAGGCTATTTTTGAGTTGAATTTGAGTTTGTTTAGGGTTAAAATGTTGAATTGAATTGATTCTGTTTTGGAGCTTTAATGTGATTATGTTTGGCTGTTTTTGAGTTGAATTTGATGGAGTTTAGGGTTAAATTGAATTGATTTGATCTGTTTAGGGTTAATTAAATTGTTGAATTGAATTAAAATTTTTTTTTGGAGCTTTAATTTGATTATGTTCAGGCTGTTTTTGAGTTGAATTAAATTTATTTTTTAGTTAAATAATAATATGCCACTAATCAGTGCATAATTACATATCATTTTGTACTATCCTAGCTTATCTTTTGCTATATATTTTGGATGAAACTTATGCTTTTAACCCTCTTTTATCTTGGTTTCAATGTATTAAGCTTTAGGACTCATATAATGCATTTTGGAGTCAAGATAGTTCAAAACTATGTCTGCAGATCTGTCAACTTCACAGATCAGACTGTACGTGCTCAAGAAAACCCAGCTAATGACCCATTCACCATTGGAAGTATGTGGAAGTCTAGTTTCTGGAGCATTTTACGGTACATGATTCCGAATCTTCTAGAGGACATTATGGAAGTTTTGGTAGCATATTGCATGTTAAGGTGAAATTCGGAAGTATCTGCGTTACTTTTATTGTCAATATTGTTGGTGCTTCATGCAAGCGTAATGATGAACTAAAAAAATGCTCAAACTGCTGAAATTGAGCACATGATTGCAATTGATGAGCTCGAGACTGGGAAAGGAATGAACCAAATTGCCACCTTACAATGTGCTTGTGATACTCGTTGGGGTTCTCATTTTAAATCAATTACTAGCTTGGTAAATATGTTTAGTACAACATGCACAGTTCTAATTAATATAATTGATAACAGAACTACTTATTCTCAACACTAATGATCTTTGTCAAGCTTTGCAATGTCAATCCCAATAAATCATGTATATAAATCTTGTTTCTTCCACTAAAGCACTCACCAAGAATTAAGAGATGATGGATGGGATTCTTTGCTTACCAATGTGAATTCTTTTTATGAAGCACGTAACATAGATATCCAAGATATGCTCATTATGTTGCAAGAAGAGGTCGAACTTGCCATCAATAAGATGATTTTACGATTAAGCATTATTACATGATATATATTTTTTTTAGGGAAATAGCTCTAAATGCCACCATTTTTATAATTTTAAATGAAAATACCACCCTTCCCCAATTTTTTTGCAACTATCACTTTTGCTGAAATGTAGTTCTCTCTCAGCTCGCTCAACTCCCAATTCACTCTCTCTGTGTTCGCTCTCTCTCACTCTCTCTGTGTTCGCTCTCTCTCTCTCTCTCTCTCTCTCTCTCTCTCTCTCTCTCTCTCTCTCTCTCTCTCTTTTGAATCACGGAACCCTCCTTGAAGCTGTACTGGATCGTCGACCTTGAATACGTAGTGTTGATGGTTATTTTCTTAATATCTGTGGGATTTTGTGAAATTGGTTTTATTTTGATTGATTGGGTTTCTGTTAAATTGTTTTTGGCTTTAATTGCTTTCGGTTAGGTTTTTTGAATCTTCATGCTCATCCATCTGGGTTTTTACCAATTGCATTTAGATTCTGGATATGTTAATCTTGAAACTTGGGATTTTCCATTTCATGTAGTAGATTTCTATAGTGTGATTGTGATGAATCCTTGTTCTTTGCCATGTTAGTGTTGTATTGCTGTTGTGTTACTGTTATTTTGCTATCGTATTGCTGTTATGTTGTTGTTATATTGGCATTGTATTGCCTGGTTAGTGTGGTTGTATTGTGTTCATGAAATGTTGTTTTGTCATGGTAAGAAATGGAGACAATTGTTATTCTAGTTTGCTACAATAGAAAATTAACCTCAAAGAAGATGTGCAAATACGAAGGGTGTGACTCAAAAGGCTTAATAGTTCCACGGACCATCACATTGGCTGAACTGTTGGATCGTGTGCATCAGATTGGTAATACAAACAGCAAGGAAGACAAGGTATGCTTAAAGTCCTTAGTTTTGGTGTCATCAAATGAGTGGAAGCACATAAAGATTGAGGACGATGATGATGTCAAATTTTTTATGAAGTACAATTGTGAGGTAACACCTTCAAAACTAGCTCCCTTACTTGTGAGTATAGAAGATAAAGGACTGACAAATGATGTAGTTGATAGTATGCATATCACAACATCAATGAAAGCAATGAAGTAACTCGGAATAATACAAATGTCGCTGATGTGGGAGGTGATGTTGGGACAGATTTTATGGACATGATTGATTTTAGCGAGGTGGAGGAGTTGCATGGTGGTGATAATGGTACTAAAAGAAATGAAGTGTCAGTGTACTCTGCCCCTCCTATTTTCGGTCGTTTGAACGCATCTGCCCAATTGCCAATAATGCGTTTAGGAGGAGAATTTGAACCCACTCGTGAACATTATTTGAGTCAAATGGGTGAACAAAACCAATACAATGTGGCTGGTGTAAATGATGTTGAAGCATATTTGGACACAGGGTATTCGCGAAGTGATTGGAATCCAAAAATTAAAGTTGGGCAAATTTTCACTAGTAAGGGAGCATTGTTGACCTAGTTACAGTTGACGGCATTGAGAGGCCACTTTGAATTTAAGGTGCAATTCTCTTGCACTAAGAGGTTGCTTGTGGTTTGTTGTCAACGTCCATGCCCATGGCAGGTCGGAGCATCGAGAATTAGAGAATACAACTTCATGATTATGAGATGTACAACTGTCCATGAATGTGATTTGAGGTTTGTAAATGACAACCATCGTCAAGCAACCGCAGCACTTGTAGCCACTTCATTTAAAAGGAAGTTGAAGGATTCTTGGACAATATACACACCAAGTGACATAATGAGAGATGTGAAACACAACTTTGGTTTGACCATTCATTATTCGAAAGCTTGGAAAGCAAACACTATTACATTTTACTATTTGCGCGACGAAGACAAATTCGTCGTGCAAGCATCACTGCTGCAACAGAAGAAGAGATTCGTTGTGCAAAACTACAAACTCTTGTGCGACGCAAAATTTGGTTGCGCAAAGTGTTTTTGCGCGACCAAATAATGAATCGTCGCGCAAAGTGGGGAAGAAAAACCCGGGAAATTTTTTTTCAAGCCAAACATTTGCGCGACGATATATTTCATCGGGACAAAATTCCATGGCGCGACGGTTACATTTTTCGTCGCGCAAAAGTGGACAGGAAAAACTGCAATATGGATTTTTGGCGACAAACTCTTGCGCGACGGAAATTTTATTCGTCGTGCAAAGTGAGATGTCGGCAAGTTCTCGTGCGACGGAAATTTGCGTTTGCGCGACGAATATTGGCGCGACGAATCGTACTTTGTTGTCGCGCAAAATTTTGATGTTGATAGGCCTTTGCGCGATGAAAAATGATTATTTTATGTGACGAAAAAGTTGTTTTGCGCGACGAAGTGTACTTTTTCGTCGCGCAAAATTCTGATGTTGACAGGTCTTTGCGCGACGAAAAATGGTTATTTTATGCGACGGAATGTTGTTTTGCGCGACGAAAAAGGTACTTCGTCGCGCAAACTGCTTCTTCTACATATTTGCATTTCGCCATTGCAGAGTCAGAATGGAAAAAAAAATTTTGAAAAATCTGTCTGTACTGTGCTGTGCTGCTGTCTTTGCTGGGAATTGAATACGCTCATTGGGTAAGTATTATTTGTCGTTTGTTTAAAAGTATTAATGTAAATTCGTACTAACGGTATTAATTTTGTTCTCATTATAGACATTTGTAATTTGCTATTGTGGAGAATGATTGAGAAGGTATGTTATTCATTTTATATTACATTATTTACATTATGTTGAACTTAGTTTGTTATAGTTATATTTTTTGTTGTTAAATTATATTTATATTAAGTTGTTAAATTGTGCGTGTCATAGCATAATGTGGTGTGATGTACTAAGTTAATTTCAATTAACTTCGTACTTTTGTTATTATTTTTTAGTAACATTTAGTTTCCCGTTCGAGATTAGTTGGATTTCGTGCATGGATGCGTAATGCATGACTGCGGTCCAATTAATTATTGAATTGTCCCATTATTTGGACAGTTTGGTAATGCATAGTGTTGTCACGTAATCTACGGCTACAGGATTAGGTTTCGATTGTGGAGATTTCGGTGTCATCTCGGTACGTTCTTTGGGTGGTACGTAGGTATTTATACCTATGGCCACCTCAAGAGCTGTATTGAGATGCTGACGAAATTCATCCACGTCGAAATCTAATCTCATGTAGCCGTAGGTTACGTGGCAGGACTATGCATTCCCGAATGGGATAGGGCCCTTACCGGAGGCATAAGGTGACATTATAACTTCGTATGAAGTTGTTGTGATTGTTGTGTTGTGATTCTGGTTTCAGGAATTATGGACAGAAGGTGGATACAGAACCCGAACAGATGCACAAACGAATACTTGGATGGAATCGATGATTTTATTGAGTTTACACGTAGATACAACCCGGGTGCAACTAGAATCCGTTGTCCTTGTAGGAGGTGTAACAACACGTTGTGGGAGACAATTGAAAATGTTGGATTTCATTTAGTAAGGAATGAAATGATTGAGACATATAGCATTTGGAACCTTTACGGGGAACAATTAGAGAGCATGCTTCGTCTTCAAATGCCACAAGAGTGGACAATGTTGAACCTATTGTGGATGCTAATGATCAAGTCATGGATATTATACAGGATTTTTTCCATTTGCATCGACCAACATCAATCAAGAAGAGGAAGATGACGTGCCTACACCAATAGACAGTGCGGAGTTTGAACAATATGAAAAATTGTTAAAAAATGCCAACCAAGAGTTGTACCCGGGGTGCGAGAGCTTTTCTATTCTCACGGCCATTGTGGAGCTAATGCACGAAAAAATAAAGTATCGTATGTCGAACCTGTGTTTCGATTACTTTTTGGAGGTTTTCAAGAGAATACTTCCAACGGACAATTGTTTGCCGAAAGACCATAAACATACGCAGAAGGTGTTGAATGGTCTGGGATTGGGTTATGAAAAAATTCATGCTTGCAAAAACAATTGCATGTTATTCTACAAAGAGCATGAATCATTGGATACATGTCCTATATACAATGAGTCGAGGTTCAAGATGACATCTCAGAATAGGACGACTAAGATCCCAAAAAAAGTCATGTGTTATCTGTCCCTGAAACCTAGGTTGCAGCGATTGTATATGTCGACGCATACTGCCACAGACATGAGATGACACAAGGAAAAACGGGTAGACAATGATGTGATGCGGCATCCTGCAGATGGGGAGGCATGGAAAGAGTTCGATCGAACGTTCCCCGACTTTGCTGCTAATCCCCGAAATGTTAGATTGAGACTTGCCACTGACGGATTCAATCCGTATGGGGTTCTAAACCAACACCACAGCACTTGGCCGATTTTCGTATTCCCATATAATTTTCTACCTTGGAAATGCATGAAAAAAGAATACATGATGATGACTGTTTTGATAATTGAGGATCTTGGAAGGTCAATCGATGTTTACTTAAGGCCGCTGGTTGATGAGCTGAAGGATTTATGGACAAACGGTGTTCGCACGTACGATAAATCAACTGGGAAGATGTTCACTTTGCGGGCAGCAGTGAAATCATTCACTGTACGTATGCCCTGAATGGTAGTTAACATGAATGGAAAATCCAAAATATTTATTCAAGTATAAGAAGCAACAAGTGATCATTATTTACAAACGGCTACACATCTATATACATACCTTGGAATTGGCTGGATATACAAAGGGAAAGCAAAACGGTAACTGCTTCGTTGCAAAGCAAAATATTATATGGTTGACTACCATTAACTAAAGTGAAAGGAATTAAGTAGGGGACTCAAAAAGTACAATGTGCTTGGATTTAAATCACATACGTGCCTCACAAATCACCCAAAAACCTGACTTGGAGTCACGTGACGCCTCCCCTAAGTCAAAGTCCACATGCAAATGCGTCTACTTAGGTCATCCCCAATGGGAGCCTTAAATTGGGCTCTACATAGAGCCGAAGTGCAAAAAGGCATCCCCAATGGAAGAATTTTTAGGCTCTATATCGTGAAACTGGCCGGAGATAATCCTAAATCTGAGGACTTGTATAGAGCCTTAGAGCCCCAACAGGCCCCACATTTTGAAAAACTGAATATGCAAAAGCATGAAAAACCAGCGGGCCCTACATATTGAAAAGTATTAAAAATTACTTTTCTTATTGCAACGATCCTTCTTTTCCCCTTATGTTTACTGTTTCAATTCTTCTTCTTTTTTCATCCCTCTTTGCTTTCATTTTTTTTTTCTTTCATGGACATATTGCAATTATTCTATGTTTCTAGATTTAAATATGCTTCCTTTTTTCTAAGTACAAATTTGAAACATTAGGAATTTATATTTTATTGTGTTTACTTCCAAATTTTGTCTTTTTAAATCAAATACATGCCTCACAAATCACCCAAAAACCTGACTTGGAGTCACGTGATGCCTCCCCTAAGTCAAAGTCCACATGCAGATGCGTCTACGTAGGTCATCCCTAATTGGAGCCTTAAATTGGGCTCTATATCATGAAATTGGCCGGAGATAATTCTAAATCTGTGGACTTGTATAGAGCCTTAGAGCCCCAACGGGCACCACATTTTGAAAAATTGAATATGCAAAAGCATGAAAAACCAACGGGCCCTACATATTGAAAAGTATTAAAAATTACTTTTCTTGTTGCAACGGTCCTTCTTTTACCCTTATGTTTACTGTTTCAATTCTTTTTCTTTTTTCACCCCTCTTTGCTTTCATTTTTTTTGTTTTTCATGGACATACTGCAATTGTTCTATGTTTCTAGATTTAAATATGCTTCCTTTTTTCAAAGTACAAATTTGAAACATTAGGAATTTATATTTTATTGTGTTTACTTCCAATTTTTGTCTTTTTAATATTTTCCAAATTTTAATTTTTTTGGGTAGAAATGCTAAAAAAAAAAAAAAAAAAAAAAAAAAAAAAAAAAAAAAAAATAAAAATACATATATAAACAAATAAAAATTAACAACAAAAATTAAAACAAAATAAAATTAAATTACATCAAAAACAAATACTTATAGAGCCCCGTATATAGAGCCCCCCATTGTGAGAAAGATACCTTTAGAGCCCATAATATTCCATCGGAGCTCTAAATGGAGCTCTATCCACCATATTTAGAGCCTCAACCATTGGGGATGGCCTTAGTGAAATCCCATACTTCGTATATCCGAAAAAGGAATGATCCGTTAGGTTCGGGATTGATCTCTAATAATAGGTCGGATCGTACCAATCCATCAACCAGGGAGAAAATATCGAATGAGTGTGGGGTAATAATCCACAACACATGTGACAGGTCTTCTCTCTATGCCTAAGCCAATTTTATTTAGACCCCAAAAATTTTCATTCTAATATGTTTTTGCATTTGAAACTATCCTCGCTCGGTCATGTTTGTCCCTTTATAGATCCATCACAATTCCCAACTCATTATTTAAAACGTTTGTCTCTCTGTAAATCCGTCATTGTTCTTGACTCATTATGTAACTCTCGTATAAAACAAGCTCCAATTTTCCTCACTGCCCCCCAGTGGCGAAGTCAGGATTTCATGTGTGTGGGGGCCTCTTACAAATTATAAAGAATCAAAAATTCAAACTCACAATACATATGAAAAATAGTGTGTGTATATATCACATATGTCAAGAATTATATTGCTTATTGGTTGCAATCATAATTGTCATCGACAAAGGGATAGACAAATACATTCTAAGCAAGAAAAATTGCAAGAGATAGACAAAAAGTAGCGATTTCACAAATTTAAAAAAACCTTAGGTCCCTTCATGCATTCATATCATACATGAAAAAATATTTTATATACAAATATTGACTAAGTATGAAAAATGGTTTTTCGGAATAATCATTTTCTCAAGATAATTTTTGGCGGCTTTTTATTCCTTACACATCAAATAAGAAAACTTGATTTTATGGGATTTTAGTATGAAATATATATTGACTTAATTAGCCATCATTTTTAGCCTAAATCGTATTTTACACTAAAATCGATTTTTCATATTTTGATTTGGTGGGAATTTGATTTTCTAGTATTTTTATTTGAATCCAAATAGGGGGTACTTCCTTATTTACATTGTAAACTTAAGTAAATGTCTTTGTCCTTTTAGACATTTACTTCAATATTGAAAATGGAAATAAGGTAATCTGTACACCTGGAGTGCACCACCACCAGCTGAGCAAGAGGACAATTTAAAGTACCTCATTGTGCCTTAATAGGTCTGCCACAACACATGTGGTGTGGGTACATATCAAAACGTAAAGTATTTGAAATAATATACATATAGAAATACATAACAGTATATTACTTTTAAAATATATAAAAACTTGAGTGGGGACCATACTGGTCCCAGTGTGGCTCCGCCCCTGTGCCCCACGGAAATAGAATTTGCCTCTTTTTTCATTATTACGTGAGAATCTAATTTATAATTTAGTCAAACCCTTAAAACAAGTCACAACAAATGCATATGGCATATGAATATTCTTTTTTCTCGGAAAAGGGGCATGAGAAACGCACTCAAAGAAATTCCATACAGCATGGGAACGATGGAAGAGGAAGACCACTTGCTTCAGTGCATGGGCACCTCCCCCATTTTCCCATACAGCAATACAAATTATAAAAGAGATTTTCTATTTAAAGCCCGCACTAGTCTCTTTGTTTACCCCAATACTTAAATCATTAAGCTATAAGTTTTATTATTGTGTAAAAAGACAAAAAAGGTCATCCAACTTAATAATTAACCCTAGTATATCTATACACACATCCCACCACTCTTCATATTAAGTTTTAGAAACCTCCTTCAAACTCCTGTTTACAAACTCTCTCTCTCTCTCTCTCTCTCTCTCTCTCTCTCTCTCTCTCTCTCTCTCTCTCTCTCAAGTTCTCATCAACTCAACAATACCCAAGTGTTAGAATTCCAGTTACAGTTCTTGGAGAGAGGTAAAGCTGTTCTCTTTCTCTAGAAAATATTAAATTTCGGATTTGGGGTTTCATTTGTTTAAATAGAAAATCTCTTTTAGTTCTTATTTTTTCAGTTTGTGGTGTATTTAAGGGTAGTTTGGGAAAATAGTGGGGTTTTCTTAGAAATTGTGAAAATTTAAATTAAAAGTTGGGGTGAACTAAGAGAAGTGTGGGGTTTAAATAGAAAATCTCATTATAAAATTCAAAACACATGAACCAAACATCGATCTACCAAAACCTAATCCCCCTCCATTTTCTCCCTTTCCCCCACTCAATTCCCAACAAAATATGGCCTCTAACATTATCAAACCCAAGAAACCCATTTCCTCTTCCCAATCAAATCTTTGCACCACCCTCTTCTTCATTGTCCTCTTCACCATCCCTGCCCTTTTTCATAAAGTATAGGATGGCCCTTGTCCTTCACCAATCTACCAGCCACTCCAAACACCAAACTCACATTTTTCGATATGCCGATCAACGACCTACACTCTTGGCCAAGTTTTTGATCTTGGCTAAAGTCAGCTTCATTGACACCATTAACAATCACATGGACTCTTTTATTTGGTATTTGGTACACATCCCTTAGCATCTCCCCACAGCTATCACTTATAGCAACATGATGGGCATAGTTATGGAAGAACCTTATCTCATTCAACACCTTTGGCACAACCCCTTGAATGCTTCTGTTGAAATCTGGGGAGATAGGCTCGGTAGGCTTACGTGTCAAGTCTTGGAATATGCCTGAGTGCAGGCTCTCTAGAGCAATCCCATGCCATGACACTGCCAGGTTTGGTAGGTTCCGGGCCAGCCAATGGGGAAGCACCACGCTTTCGGAGTGAACCACATCGAATTTTTCACGCTGGCTTTCTTCCAAAAACTGCTCCGATGCTTTGTTGTAATGCCAGCGGCCAGGCTCGCCCTCGTGGAAGTGGATGTGTGGGGATGATGAGCTAGTGCTTCCTTGTTGAGTCTCGAGTTTGAGCTCTTGGGGGAGGACTGGGGAGGTGAACACGTGGACTTGGTGACTGTGGAGAGAGAGGGCTGTGTGTAGAGTGTGGGCATGGCGTTCCATGCCTCCTGGGACTGTGCCGATAAGGTTCTTCCATAACTATGCCCATCATGTTGCTATAAGTGATAGCTGTGGGGAGATGCTAAGGGATGTGTACCAAATACCAAATAAAAGAGTCCATGTGATTGTTATTGGTGTCAATGAAGGTGACTTTAGCCAATATCAAAAACTTGGCCACGAGAAATTATTATATGATACTGGAATACGTCTTACCTTAAATTATTAAAAGGTGTGTTGGCTGTCTTTGGCGTTGTTGCTTTCTTCTGGTTGGCTTTAATATGAATGCTTTCCTTTGTGCTATCTGAGCGTGGGTTGTACAGTTTTGGTCCCTAGCCTTCATGTGCGTTAGTTTTTAACGTTTTCTATTTCTTCAAAATAAGATAATATATATCTATATAGAATGAATTAGTAATTAATTAGCATGCCTACTAATTATATACCTCTTATATATCATATATAATGTAGTTGTATAACCATTCATAAAATAATAATAATAATAATAATAATTGGTATTTTGGCATTGTTGTAACATGTGGGTTCTTCAAAGCATCTTTTCTAGTTTATACATTTGTCGTAAGTTCTGTTTAGATGAATACTGATAATTTTTTGTCCGGACTCACCAATAATAGAGGCAGAGTACATTTGCCTCTTGACCTGTTTTCTCCTGGCTTTTTCATGCTTTGTCGAATCAGCCAGGCACCTTGTCCATTCAAACTACCTGCTAAGCACTCCAGGAGCTACTTCTAAAGCTGATGTGAGAAAAGCTAAGAGATCAGTTGAAAGGGGAAGTGAATTTTGGTCACTTGGGCTTAGAGCTCTACACTTTGCTCTTAATTTTCTGCTATGGTTTTTTGGACCTGTGCCCATGTTTGTTTCGTCTGTCACAACGGTTGTGATGTTATCTTGCCACGACTTCAAGAGGTCAGATAATAATCAAAAGTGGCCTGCCTCAGCTGTGGCTGTAAATGAAAGTGAATTATTAATTTCTTGAGCCTCAAGTTTGTAGAATTGGATCAAATTTCATTGATCATAAATGCATTAACTTCCAATTTTTTTATGTGCCCTGCAACGTAGCATTTGTTTGCTTTCCTTTTCGGGTTTAATCTCAAGGTTACATGAAGTCCTGGAACTGAAAAACTTGAGGTAAAATTTCAATTTAGAAACCAAAATTTTGACCATAGACTGGAAAAAAAAATGAAGTTAATATTCTAATTTCTAGCCTTTGTAACTCTATTACATTCGTTTTTTGATTCAAATTACCTTTCTCTAGGGTACCTACTATCCAACAACTCCACATTAACATGCATGCGTAATTGCATTTACAATTTCACATTAAAAAATTTGGTGCTTCCAATCCAACTCATTGAGAAAACAGACTCAAGAAAGAAGAAGGAAGTGTTGGTTTTGTGATGGAATACCAGTTGTTGGTTTTGTGATGGAATATGAGGTGCTGGAAATATGAGTTGCTTCAGCAGAGCTCGTTGTATTCTAATTCACTTAGCTTCTGTTTACAATGATAAGTTCAAAGGCTTTTTAAAAAGAACAAATATTCTAGAGAAAGTATCCTAGAGAACCTAAAACACATTGCATAGGAACTCTACCAAATTAATTAAGGACAGCTACAGCTGCTGCAATAAATAGAGATATTCTAGAGAATGAAGGAAGTGCATTAATTCCAACAGGAAGATGAGAGATAGAAGTATAGAGCAATTGAACTGACCAAGATGATTTTGGTCTCTGTATTACAGCCGTATATATCATGTACAGGAGGTAGACTTTCTCAAGTCTATTTACAGAAAATAAGCAATACAAGGTAAGTAGCATTAATCTTATATATGTCAGAATAAACTACAAATCAATCTTTAGCTAATATATTGTTGATCTTGTGATATCAAGTCTGTCAATACAGATATTGGGGGATCGACTGATTTCGTGGGATTAGTTGTGGTGGTTAGTGAAAATGGTACTTAGGTGACAAGGGGTAAACTTAATCACACAAACAAGACACAACAACACAGCAAGCTTCACACACTTTAACCCTAGACCAAATACGCATATGACTAGTCAACTACTAGTCAAGAAACAATCGCAACCAATAGAATGCACAGAGCATGCCACAATGTACCTGCAATCCTAGAAGATTACTAGTGACAACCTAGGCACTCAGAAGGACCGTCAATCTAGGCATCCCCTGTGCTAGCAACAACTATGGTGAAAGTGTGTGAAATCATCATTATCATGTAATCATCAAACAGCAGATACAGATGACTAGTCAACCACCAAGAACACAAACCCAGAAAAATTACAGATATGCAAAACAGATTTTGTTCACCCAGAAACCCACCATTGGGAAAAACTGGGAGTCATCAACCGACCAGGCATTCCACTAAGTAGAAAAAGATTCTTACAAAGGAAACACAACCAAGCTCAAGAAGCACCTAGGTCTATTTAGGAATATGAGCAATACCTCCTTTGTGCAATCTTCTTCTCCAACTTAGCAAAGCTTGAAGCTCAGTCCTTCATGGCAATGGCAGCTCCTTCTCCAGCTCGTTCATTCCATGGCACTAGCTTGCAAGCTCCAACACAAACCGAAACCAATTTGGATTCAAAGGAGAAAGACCAATTTCTTCAAGAAACCATACTCTTGAAGAAATCAATCTTGAATCCGACCTAGATATAAATGATAGAATGATTCAAATAGCTAGATGCAGATTTGTGTTTCAAATGCAGTTTTTCAAAAAGAAATCAATTGGAAAAACTCATAGATGAAATCATGGTTCTCTCGTGGAAGGAGAAGCGAAAGAAGGCAAGCCAAACTTTCCAAAACTTCCACCCGAAAAGAGACAACTACCAAATGAGAAATCTCGTGGGCTATACAGACCCACAAAATCGTTAGGTCAGGAAACCCACTTGGCAGCAGAGAGAGAGAAAGAAGAATAGGACAAAACAGTTTGTTATCTAGCTGGAGGCAAGGATGACTAGTCATATGAGAAACGGTTGACTAGTCATCTTTTTATGAAGACTGTTTTATGAAATGATATGCAATGCTCAATACCTTTGTCAACTTGCTTGAGCCACCATAGAGCTGAGATTAGAGAGGAGCACTAATAGAAGTTTTCCCTAATCTAGACTTGAGCTTGATAAATTACATTACACAACCTATTACAAAGTTGTCAAGGGAAGCCAAAAGAAAATAGTAAAAACCATACATTAACAGTTAGGGGTGGGCGCGGTCCGGTTCGTTCCGGTTCGCAGCTCACACCGGAACCGGTACTATTCATCCGATCCGTTCTAGTCCGATTTAAAAAAAACAGGAGAGAAACCGGATCAAGCCTAACTGGTTATTTCCAGTCCGGTTTTCCAGTTTGAACCGGTTCTCTAGCAAGTCATAGGCACAATAGACAATAAGGAAAAAAAAAACATAAATTTGGTTAAACAATTCTTACTTTTCTGCTAAAAAATATTCGATTTTTCCTTCCATATTCTCAAATGGCTCGACATAAAAATAACCCTAAACAATCAGATCTAATGAAACTCACCAAAAAAAAATTTGAATACAACACCAGATCTAATGAAACCACCAAAAAAAAATATGGAGACTTTGGAAAAAGCAAAAGAAGAGAGAAATTTTTTAAAAGAAGCCAAAATGGACAAAATTGCCCTTATTTATTTTTGGATTTCCTCATGAATCCTTTACATTTGCATGTCTTTGATTGGAAAATTGAGAGGTTTTTCTATCTTTTTTGAAAAATCTTTGGCTTTTTCCAAAAGTGAAAGTTTTTTTATGGCTAAAACCTAAATTTACTATAAAAAAATACAACACCAGATTTCTCCTTGCATGAGACTTTGATGCTTGAATCTAGTCCTAGGATCTTCGTTACCAACATATGAAGAAGGCTCCATAGCAAGAACTCCTTTCATCCTCTTCATCAGATCACAGAGAGAGAGAGAGAGAGAGAGAGAGAGAGAGAGTGAAGTTACAGAGAAGAAGAAAAAAAGGGCAAAGAGAGAGTGAAGTCGTAGAGAAGAAGAAGAGGAAAAAAGAAGAAAAGAAAAGGGAACGGAAGAAAGGAAAGTAAAGGAAAAGAGAGAGAGAGAGGTCGTAGAGAAGAAGAAGAAATAAAAAAAGAAAAGGGAGAGGAAGAAAAGAAAAAGAAACGGGAAAGAGAGAGAGAAGAAGGAATGAAGAAAAGGGGAATGGGGAGAGAGAGATCAGAGAATGACAAAAAGAAAAAGAAGACCAAAAAGAAGAGGAGGAAAAGAAAAGAAATGGGAAAGGGAAAAGAGAGAAGAAAGAATAGAGAAAGAAAAGAAATGGGGAAGCGAGAGAGAGAAGGACAAAAAGAAAAAGCTGACCAAAAAGAGAGTAGCTCCTTGGGAAGAAAAAAGAAAGGGAAAAAAATGGAGAGAGTTTAAGTGTAATTGGAATGGACTTTGAAAATAAAAGGTACATGGGTTTTAAAGTTGGGCTTTTTATTTGGGTCAAGTGGAATTAGGCTTAAGTATAAGATATTTTAAAATAAATAAATAATTAGTTAATATAACCGGTCCGGTCCTGTAACATATAAAACTGGAACCGAAACCCGTTCAAACCGGTCCGATCTGGTTCGGTGTCAATTTGTTGACTTTTTTAGTCAGCCGGTTTCTTTTCCCCTTTTTCTTATTCGATTCGGTTCGGTGTTCCGGTTTTCTGGTTCCAATGCCCACCCCTAATGGTGGTATTCTCTTTAGTTTCAATTGTTTCTTCATGCTGATGAATGTTCACAGCCACCTCTGTGATTCTCTGACCAACCTCTTTAACCAGCTGCCTTCCCGGAAGCTGGTGGTCATGAAAAGGTCTGGTGTTTGTGCCCATGTAATGGAGGAATATGACCAAAACCAAGGAGGACATAAACATTGGTATTGGACCAAAAAACCACAGAAGCAGAGTGCTCTAAGCCCAAGTGACCAGAAATCACCTCCTCTTATAACTGCCAGCTCCACGTACGAAGCCGGAATATTAC